AGCCAATATAGTTGGTTATATTAAAACGAATTCAGATTATTCAAATATACTGTAGTAATAAAACCTAAAAAGCACTTACGATGATTTTTTTTCATACCGAATCATATGCTTTTCATAAAACTAGAAATTCTTTTCAAGCGTTTCCTTCGTGAAAAGCTAATGTTAAATGAGAATTTTGTTCATGTTTCACTTCGTTTTATTCATAAATTACGGTTTATTTCTGTGTAATATGAATGGATTGCGTTCGCTGTTGCGTTAAAACAAAATATGACCTCTATACATTTTTAATACGACTGGGGCCACCCTTTTCGCCACGCAACCGCCATTAACATTACCGAGAGGGAAGGTTAAAATGTACTTGATTAAAATGTTCTTTTCACCTTAGTAGATGTGTTGCATTTTAGGAGTCACTACCTGTGGCCGCGACTTCGTCCGCTTCGAATAATTATTTTAAACATCAAAATATGTTTTTGCAATCCTACTCCTAAGCGTTATAAATTTTGGCTGTTTTAGATGTAAAAATGGAAGAAAGTAACTAAAACGCAACAATTTAACAAAATGTGGTACGATTCCAAAAACTTACTACAAAAATATTATGTTAAGAAAAGTAAACTTAGCGAAGTGGCTCCTCCAACAAATAAAATGCGAGAGTCTTCACCCTGTCCGTTACCTTATCAGTTATCTACGGGACACGGCTTAACTGTTTGCGTTTATGAAAATGCTTTCTACAGTTTTTCTTGCAAAGCTTATTTGTGATGTTTTTAAATTTTAATTTAGCTTCTTTTGTGTGAGATATTTTTAGAATTTTCTAATATTTACTCTTTAAAGCTTTTCTTCTTTAGACTTTTACTAAGCAGCGCTAAAAATATTTATATTAATATTATGAAGCTGCAGACTTTATTTGTATGAACGATATGCGCTAATCCTAGGCACTGCAGTTTCGATATATTTTTGTTGTTATTATATATATATGTAAGCTTATGGCTATAAAAGTTCACGCTGTGACTAATAGGAGCGAACAAACAGTGGGAAGTTTGGAAAAAACGGGAAAAATGATTAATCTTTGTAGGTTTCCGATGGACACGGTGCAAAAATGGTTCAAGCTACCCAAAAAATATGTATCAAAGAATGATTCCTCTTTAAATGATCTAAAAATAGGTCCGCTACAATATATAACTATCTTTTGAGATTAACTTGTAAGAACGACGCGGCACGACCGACGTCGTGGGTAACAGCATATATTTATTTAAATAAAACACTTTAACAGCAGTCAAGACAGCAGTCACGAAGTGTCACGGGAAGACAGAAGTCTTCCCGTGACAAAATCTTCCGTGACCACGGCTGCTGCAAAGCATCCGAAACGTCGGGCCGAAGTTAAATATCATTTTCAAATAACTTTAACTAATATATCGCGTTTTAAACTGTTAAAGTGTTTTATTTAAATGTGTACTACTCGCGTTAACTATAGACAGCATATATTTATGATAAAGAGGCGGTTACAATAAGAAATTTGGATGCCCAAAATAACTTTTCTACGCGAACGAAGTCGCTATCACAGCTAGTATTATATAATTACGTAAACAGTTAGCATAATTACGAATTCTCTGAAACTATAGTCTAAAACTTTTTACATGCAGTAGAAAAATCATACAATAAAAAGATACACATGATTCACATTTTTAATATACTCCAGCTAAATGGCAGTGTTCCTTAAATCAGAGTAAAGTGCAGTACGACGTTTTCAGTCCCTTCTGGGTAGCATACCGCCCAATCTAATCAATTACAGGCGCAGATACATTCGCAATAAGATAACAGGCGCAATAAAGAGTCTCTCAAGGCAATGACAAGTTAACCAAGAATAATGTCGAGTCGTCATTACGTGCGACGCGTTCCCCCTCGAGGGTTTTGGCGGGAAACTGTTTATGTAAATCCGGACGAAAATCTTGTTCCCGCTCCCATCTGTTATAGACACTGCGGAATGTGAGGGTCCTATTCAAACTTTCTTTGAGGACACGATTGAGCGTAGGTTTTTTATAGCCCGAACACAATCTTGTTCAGGTGTGCTTGCGAAAATCCAACGGATCTGAGGTCACATACGTTACCGGATTTTATTGCATATTGAAATATATTATTCTCTGATATATTTCTATTAGAGGGTTACTTATCCTTTTCGGGGCGCTTGCCAAACTTTTCTACCTTCGCTATATTACTTTTAGAAATATTTCAATAATAATAACTCTTACATAATAGTAAAATTTGAAATGGATTGTCAAATGTATTTTTGACTTTGACAGTATCTTACACTATGGTTCACCTGATATCGCATACAACAGCTTATACAAGTTAATGTATACCTAATTGAAAAAAATTAACGACCCGGGTGGTACTCGAGCCAAAAGACCGACTGTGTACGAATCTTTTTTTCAGTAGTGATTATAATTATTCTCGATTCATAAGACTTGTCATACTACAATGTAGAAAAATAAATTTTGAAGTAATTATTACCCCTGATGAAGATGACAATCGTGATAAAGAAAAGCTCGTGCGGGAAATTTAATATCCAATAATATAATGGAAACTCCAACAAAAGTATTACGTTGCAAAAGATTATAAGAGCTATAATTTCAATTCTTATCTCATTTTCGCAAACAGCAATTACGGCTGGAGCGTCGGCGACAAAGCTGAACGTTTTCATAAGTCGCCTCCGTTTGTATTTATTGTGAGTGTGGAGTTTTACAGGTTCCGTCAGCTATGCCGTGGGAACCGGTAGCGGAAGGTGAGCTTGCATTTCGCCTTTATTAAGCATCTGCCGGCGCCAGACAGCGCAATATGATTTCGGTACGGGAAAAGTTTCGTCGTTATAGCGTGCCAAGGAAATTATTTCATTAAAAATGCGTGAACTCAAACCGCGGTTAATTCTAACTTGTGCTAGAGGTTTATATATATATAGGATAATTGTTCAACTGATTGCTAGAAGCATCTTGATGCTCTGTTGAGAGCTATTGTGTACCTAAATACATAATGTCCTTAGGTAAGATTTTCCAAAATAATATCGCAGTTTTAACTATATTCTGAGTTCTAAACTTTGACGGTAATTTTAATTTTCAGTGGTGATTTAATTTTTAATGGTAACAATGTATGGCTATATATGTATAATCTAAGGGTCATGTCCCTATTGGGTCCAGATTTTTCTAATCGGGTTATAATTTTTCTAAAAAATGTTGGGATTCTTCTGGAAATCTGGATATTAAATGGGTGGTAGAAATATCGAAATTCCATCGAAGTTTCAAACCACCACAGATAAAAAATCCTAGAAGCTTAATCACGTTTCATTTTCAGCTTGTGGATTTCCGGATATCCAAGGCCAAAATAGGTTGACAGCATATCTTGTTTAGATGTTATAAGGCTGGGGTATTTCTTCTTCTATAAAGCGAAGCCTATAATTGTCTGTCCTTTCATAAAAATATACAGCACAGACTACAGTTCAAATCACCGCACTTTACGCGGCTAACAAACGCAATTTTTGGACTAATATTAAAAATCCTTAAGGACGGACAATAGCGTTAGCCACACATGCAGTTAGCAATAACTGAATCAGCATTTAAGATTCCACGTACAATCTGTTAACCTATGTAACAGTATATCGTCACACACATTCCCATAGCGAACACTAACTACGAGAAAAATAGTTTCATTATAAAAAGCTGTGATTTTTATAATAAAAATTTAAATTCAGTCGATATTTTTGTCTAGTGGTATCTTTAAATACAAAACTTGTATATCTAATATAATATTTAAGTCGTAGTTACAAAATTATTGTTATTACTTTCTTGTTCTTGTTCCTAAGACACTTATTTCTTTTAGTGTGTTATAGATTTGTTGTATTTCCGTCAAGTATGTACTATGTAAGTGAAACTTTAGGTCTATTTGTTTAAGGTCTTATGTAATCTATTGTTTGACTGTTTGCTTCGTTTCCATATAAAAAAATACAACGTTCAATTCGGAAAAAAACTACCCGCCATCGTATACTCGTGCCTTTTTAAGAAGGTAAATACACTTTTAAAACCTTATTATACCATCTTTGCTGAATTTGTAATATAATTTATTATAATAGCCTTTAAAAATTCTTGAGATAAGATTTCCATAATAAATACATGAATAATGAGCTCGGCATTGAAACCGAATTGAAAGTCATCTTTTACCGACTGTAAATGAATTATCTGCGATCCGATCTATGGAATATAAATTTTTGGAATAAGTAAGTGAAAATACATGATAAGTAGGTGTGTGAAAAGCAGAGGCGCGTAAGCAAAAACACGTAAATACCGGATGTAAAATTTATTTTTAACGTTTGGTATTTAGGGCATAAACATATTATTGATAAACTTTATTATTGAAAAGATTCAAAAATGTCTAAGCCTTTCGTTTTATTCCGAATTAAATAATTCTGTTTCATCAACAATATAAGCAACATAAGAAAAAAAAAGAACACTCTACAATACAACAATTTCTTTATTTCCGCCTTAATTTATCAGTTATTTGACAAGATGTTCTGTGATGATTTCAAGTAATTACCTAAATAGCTTCAACAAGTTACACGTGATGTAATATTGGAAATGTAAATCATGTTTCGCCCTCAATAATATAGTACATTTAATTTAAACAATGTAATTATTACGGTATAAACAATATTAGTGATCGATTAAACAACATAGCATAAATTTTAACACGAATCAGGTGGCAATAAATAATAGTAAAACATTTCGTTAATATACAAAATAGTCTTGTGTATCTGTTTTCCTTTTTTGTAACAGTTCCTGGTGATATATATATTATCTTTATCTATAATAGAACATGACAAAAGATGTGAATGTCTCTGTTGTCAATCTTTAATTATTGTGTATAGTCTGTGGAAAATTTGAAAATTGAATCTATTTGTAGAAGTAATCATAGTTTGGAGCTACAACGTACTATGTCGATTTTTCGTTGCACTACGATTACTATAAGTTCTTGTAGATTAACAATGATCCGTTCTGAATTGATTCTCTCACGTAATCGTTTGAAGCGCCGGCGACCGCACGAGCCGCGGCGGCAGTGCGGTGACATAAAACGTGGATGCGGGCCTGGACTGTGCGGGCGGCACGTGCTAACACTTGGATCCCACTCGTTAATAGATGACCCCTATCAAATGTGACACGAATGCGAATATCAGCCATTATGACAATTCCCACCAAAATGCACCAATAACAATTTGATTGTAAGTGCAATAGTTAGTAATTGAGGTTTTGAAGGGAAGTTAAATAGAACAATAAACAACTCCATAAAGTTAGTTATACTTGTTTACATATTAGCCGTTCGTAGGTTTTAGGTCAGACAGCGCATCCCGTGACCACGGCTGCTGCAAAGCATCCAAAACATCAGGGCCGTAGTTAAAAATAATTTATAAACAACTAAATTTCGCATTTTATTTCAAAGAAAATGTTTCTTTTTTCAAAGTGAGTACCAATATAGTTATGCTATATAAAATACAAATTATGTAGGTAACCATTTAACTGGTCGTTAGATAAATCCAGCTAATTGTCTCGATGCCAAACCTCACATTGTCCAGAAACTGAATGCCTTCATTGTCTACAGAAGTTACAAAAGAATTCCTGAAGGAGCGCTTGCAAGGATTTGTAGTTCTTACTGAGACAACTTAAGGCATCGAATTTCGTAGCAAGGCGGCGGGTAAGGTAATTTTATAAAGGAAAGATGGCAAGATTGATGTAACGGCTATCGGCAAGTTTGCGCACGTGCTACAGCCGGCTGCGCAAGTTTTAGTTGTCTTCGTCTTAAAAAAGTACAATAGCTTATTGTGGTGTTTTTCAAGGGTATACCGAAGATTATTTTTTCAATTAGTTGTCACTTTATCGCACGCTGGGGACATAAATATTACCATAAGCATACATTATACAAAGTGTACTACTAGTATAAGGTATTTGCTTTTATAATTATTAATATGTCCCAGCAATTAATTCAGTTATTGTTTATGAATACATAATTTGGCGCAACAATTACTAATAGACGATACTCAATCTTCTACTAAGTATTCCTACTACTTCTACTTAGTGTGATAAGCACACAGCTGAGATTGGTACCGATTGCTTTTTATTATCTACTAGTTGTATCAGCGACTTCGACGGCATAGAATAATTATTTAAGCTGTTACCCACGATGTTGGTCTCGTCCCTTCCCGTCGTTCTTGCAAGTTCACCTTAAAAGATAGACATATAGCGTCCAGCCCTTATTTTTCTATCAATTACAAAGAAATAATCTTTTGTACAAGTTTTTTGGGTATCTTGAACCGTTTTTGCAGTATACGCCTCAGGAAACCATAATGAGGAATAATTATCCCATTTTTTTTCCTTTATCACTGTATCTTCGCTTGTATTATTCACAGAGCAATGTTGTATAGCCTGTCTTGATAAATGCTCTAACATAAAAATAATTTTTTTAATCCCGTAGTTCCTGAGATTAGCGCGGTACTACGGATTCTCTTATTTAGCAGTAATAAGTACAATATTATAAAAAAACTGTATAAAAAGGGCAATAAAAAATTTTGATTTTGAATTTAAATATTTCTACGTACTTATATTATTTAAATGCCTTGAAATAACTATATTTAAATATTTATACATACTATTTTTCTTTTTTATAAAATAGAAATGTTTAAATCTTGTACTCTGTGGTACATATACGACTGAGAGTTGACATTTTACCATAGTTGTTGACGACATCGACATATTGTGACATTGGAATTTGATAAAAGAAATATGTCACATACAAGCTGTTGTTAATTTTGAATATTATCCAGTTTTAACTTAAGCTTGAACTTACATTTTCTACACCTTTTTTAAGTTGATCTCTTCATACGGGTAATGTATATTTTGTCATCAAATATATTAGGTATTAAAATTAGTTTGACGATAACTTATTAATTTAGTAACTATTTAAAACGGTAGGCAAATTTTCTACCACGTCCCTGTAAAATTGTATATCTACCCTAGTGTACAGATATGTTTTAGTTGCCTTACTTTAAAATTTAATTTCAGTCTGAATAGTGCCTAATGCCGCCGAAACATAAAAAGAAAACGAAGAAACTAGAAAATGCGTTGCGCGAATGTCATGTTTCAACCCCGCAAGAGAAAATTGTTTCTAGTGTTACCTTTTCTGAAACTCTACAATGTGATCCAAAAAAATGGCCTAAATTAAAAGACAAAGTGCCAGACATTTTCCTGCATGAACCAGTCAATTTCTTGCAACATGTGAAGAAACTCCTATTGTTGGGCATAGAATTCTATAGACCCCATAAAAGTCGCTATTACACAAAAATAACATGTCGCACACACAACGACCACAAAGCTATGGTTCAATATTTCGACAAGAAAATGTTACCTTACCACACTTTTAGTCATCCAAGCAAGCGTAAGATGAAAATAGTTATCAAAGGGTTACCAAACGAAGTAGACATAGATAAACTAAAGACTGAATTTAAATATGCCTCTTTACCTGTGATAAGAATGCATAAAATGCATAGAGAGGCCAATTCAAAAGATAAAAACTGCTTTATTTTAGCTGTTGTGCCATATGATGAGGAAGGTCTTAAGTTCTTAAAAGTGACACAAGTTCTGGGGCAAAATATAAAGTTAGAGCCTCCTAATTCTAAAGTTAAACAATGTCACCGCTGTCAAAAGTGGGGTCATGCTCAAAGATACTGTCATGGTGAGATTAAGTGTGTAAAATGTGCGGGTAATCATTTATCTAAAAAATGTGAGAGAGATCCAAGTAAGGAACCTCCGAAGTGTGCCAACTGTGGAGGACAACATACAGCTAATTATAAGAAATGTTCACACTGCCCAGAGTCGTTAGTTCATAAGAAAACTCAGATGAGAAAAAATAATAGCATATGCACATCATGGAAGAAACCAGAGCTAGTCACTATGGAGAATATTGGGAGTCTCTACAGAAATGTTATTTATATACAGAAACCTGCAATACTGGCTCTCTAATTTATGCTACCATATGCTATAAGCTATTGGTGATACTATAGTTAGGATTAAATTCAGCTAGATGCAAGAAAAAGAAACTTATTTTTTCAAAGTGTTGTACTTTTCATAAATACAGGTAAATTAAATACAATATTGGTATTTTTATTCATGTTAAAAAGAAATCTTAGATTTATACCTACAATTTACATTGTGTGAGCTTTATAGGTTTGGAGACAGGCTTTTTTCACAATAAAACTATTAATCAATCTGATTGATATGTTTATTGGAGTAATAAAATACTGTGCTTTTTGTTTTATGAAAAAATTATATACACAATAAATATTTTTTATTCTAATTCTGCACGTTATAAATAAAAATGTATGTAGCCTATCTAATTTATTTTAAAATTACTTTATAACTAACTATATATAGGTCATAATTTCTATATGGATATCGATTCATTTATGCTAGACAATTTTGCAAACAAACAAAATGTTAGAGATCTATAATAAAATAACTTAACAATATATAAGATGGCTATAAAAATTAAACTGAATTGGCATAGTGGGTGGGTGCTCTTATGTATGTAGATAGGTATTTACAAATGATTTTGCTTAGGACTAAAAATGTGAGATTCATACATTTATACAGCCCTTGTGTATTGCTTAGTGCTACTTGAGAGAACTGCATCACTAGGCTTAACATCTTCACTAATAGGAGTCACTAGGACCTGCGAATGATATAATGGTAAAGACGTTTAAGAAAACATTTAGAATTACTGTATTGTTTTAAGAATAGGAACACAAAAAATCATGCATTGTTGTTGTTGTAACAAATAACCTTCTTTAGATGCAATATACCTAAAGACAAAAATACTTCAGACTGTCAATGAGGAATGCTTATTACTTGTCTTTAGGAAAGTTTGCCGTTAAATAGTAGACTAACTTAGTTAAATAGGTAAATGGTACACGTAACCTCACCTCAAGTTTAAGTTTGGTGATAGGCGTTCTCCATTGGTCATCGAGTTCTGAAAGAACTCTGTCCAGGGTGTCTACTAGCCTGTCAGCATCTTGAGTGGAAAACACCATGGGTGGTTTGAATTTCAACACATTAGCATCGGGACCGTCACGGCTAATGAGAATTTTCTCCTCTCGCATTCTGCAAAATATGAATTTACTAAAACACCTTTTTCATTCTTTTCATTCTTGATTTTGTGTTTAATGTGTATATGTGATACAATTAAAAAAAACATATAAGATTTTTGTTTAACAACTAATCGTTTTAAGGAAGTATTCGGAGTGGTAATTAAAAACACGATAATTTGATAGTTAAAGATTTCTAAACGTAAAAAAATTAAAAGCATTCTATTTGTTTTTCTGTCTCTTTGTTTTCTGTTTATTGTTGCGCTAATCCAGAACGAAAATTTATATCCACCGCGGGTAGATAATAATAAACCAAACTGGATTTCCTTCCTTCTCTACAAATTAGTAATTTTTTCTTAATCGAAAAATAAATACGTTTAAAAAATTTAGAAGTCACCTTTTTTGCTAGTATTAAATTAGTAATTACCTATTAACCACATGTTTCGCTTCAGCAGTAGCTGGAGTCCGCGAATCTCTATCAGTTACAAGTTCCACTCCGACGAACAATCCCCTTCCCCGGACGTCTCCAACTAACGGGTGCTTGTGCTTCAAGCTTTCACAGCGAGCTAGAAGATGGTTACCAACCCTCTGCGCTCGTTCCAGCAGATTCTCCTCTTCTATCACATCAAGAACTGCGTTGGCGATCGCGCAAGATACAGGGTTCCCACCATACTAGAGAGATAAAAATCACTTTAATACCGGATCATGCTACTTCTGAAATGTATGGACTTTCATGTCCAAGTAGTACGTAAAATATAACCGAATATAATTTAATTTGGTTGACAAGCTCTTTTTTCTTATAAAACCAGGTGGTTTAGGTTGAAATATTTTTAGCAAAATGAAAAACTTTAAAATGCAAAAATATGGTATAGATAAGTAATTCAATAATGATTGATAAGGCTTTTACCGTATTAAAATATTCAACGCCAGTGTCCGCGAAACTTTTGGCGATTTCTGGTGTCGTGATAACTGCGGCGACTGGGTGACCGTTGCCCATAGGTTTCCCCATGGTAACGATGTCTGGTATGACATCCTGGGTCTCAAACGCCCACATGTGGGTACCTACTCGACCGAAGCCCACCTGTACTTCGTCAGCAATACATACACCACCCGCTTCTCTTACGTAACTGGGGATGAAAAGATATTGTCAAAAATTGATACCATCGTATAATTATGTCAAATAATAAAAAAAAATTAACGACTAGTAGTCGTTCTTAGTTCAAGTAAAACCAAAATTATAGGGATTATTGTGGAATTATACGAAAGAAATATACTTTTTAAAGTCTACCGGCTTTAAAAAGTTTTAGAATAATTTTTTTTATTAAGCTTAAGTAATCGCAATCAGTTAGTAATTTTGATTGGTACATATTGAATTTATAATATAGTGGGTCGTAGATCGGGTGCCTATTTTTCTCCTTGAGGACAAATAGGTATTAAGTCCGTAACTCCTTTAGACAAATAATCCGTAAGGACAAATTCCAAAATATATACATATATATTTTATGTAACTACGTATTATATTTTGCATTCTATTTTGTAATTAGCTCAAGTGTGTGATTTGAATTTAACTAATATTTAAGGGAATGAAATGTGTATTACAGAACTTACTCATACGCGCGCTTCAAATAGCCGTCAGGAGGGAAAATTTGCCCCCCACAACTTTGTAGGCTCTCAGCGATAAAGGCACAGACGCCCCCTTTCCTTTCTGCTGCATCTTTGCAAATTTTTCCAATTTCATCAGCGTACAATAGCCCTAATTCTTCTTCGGACTGTGAGTCGTTTGGATAAGTGTATTTCCCTCGGTAGATATCGGGAACCGGTGCCTGGACAACACACAATGATTTTAGTACATACGTATTAGATCTACACGATAGATAGTACCAATATAGGAATTTAATCAAAGTATTAACGCAATAAAGGGCCAAATGCTGCCCCAACGTAATAACTCCTCATATATTAGCGAATAAGGGAAAAACATGAACCATAAACGTAGTCATAATTCGAGATTTTTCTCATTTCGCGACCCCGATACGTAACAATGTATATCTTCTTAATAAACAGTATGAAAAGTGGTAAAATCTTTGTGAAAAGTTTTATATGACCTGCATCATTTTTAACCAACAATATACTAGAATTAGTTTTAACTAAAATAACTATCAACAATATTATAGCTTTATTTAAAAACGCCACGAAAAGAACTAACATTTTGAGTTACTTTACTTTAAAATAGTAAACAAATATTGTGATAGATCCTCAATAACGATTAACTTAGTGTTTTCGTTTCGGACTTAAAAGATGAAGGAAGTAATCTTAGTATTTTATCATTTGATTCCGTATAATCTGAATTAAAATAATTGACTATAGAACTATTGGGGGAGTAGCCATAGCAACTCACCACATGAACCCACTCTGGCTTGTCTGGCCCTCCTGGTAGGTTCAGTTTGTAAGGGGAGACATCGATCATGGAAGTAAGGTGGCCATGATACGCGCTGGAACAAAATGGCGCTAGTAGCACCCTAAATAGGGACCTAACTCGAATCTTGCATACATCTCTTTCGAACTAACAGTTTTAAAACACGACAAGAAATTAAGTACTGTCTGTAGGTAGTTTACCCGAGTCGTACACGTTAAAATAAAACACTTTTACACGGTTTAAAACGAGATATATATTATCCAAAAAGATTAACATATATATATATATAGCGTTTTAAACAGTGTTTTATTTAAATGATAAGAAATAATCGATTTCAAACATCTAACACAAAATTACCCAACTATTAAACGATATAGATAAATTTTATCTATGACAATAAACTAGATAAAACGTTCGTTCAACCATTCATGCTTGACGTAATAAAATAATGTGAAATTTTAAAAGAAATTCGCTTACTGGTCAAGTGTAATGACATCCTTCTTTTTTGTGTGGACTCGGGCCAATCGCAGCGCTAGGTCGTTGGCTTCAGATCCCGAATTGACCAAGAAACAGACAGATAGCGAACCAGGCATGGTCTTCACCAGCCTTTCGGCTAGAATGACTATTTCGTCGTGAAGGTATCTGTTGTTTGTTGATATCAAGGACATTTGATTTCTGCCCGCTTCCACCACGTGCGGGTGGCAATGTCCCACTGAAAAGGATAGACAGTTTAATCGATTGGTAGATATTAGCAATTAACTGAAGATTTAAAAAAATATCTTTAACTGTCCCAATCAAAAGACAAAGATTTTAGTTACTAAGCTAAATACCTATAGCTAATGTTTGAGGACATTTTTATTATTATATACAATGTTAGCTATAAAGTGACTTAAGATGGTAAAACAAAATTTTAACGTTGAATAAGTCTGTTTGTGTTAAAAGCAGTGCAGAATAGTAGAAAGTACACAATGTTTGTCCTTTTCATATGACGTCAACACAAATATAATTAGATACGTAAAATTATTAAAGTTAAACTTAGCTAAATATAATTTCTTATCACGGTGCAAACAAAGTCACATAATGCAAACAAATCTAAAGATATCAATTGATAACAATAATTGTAACCGCTTCGTATCTGAGATGATCATGCATCGACCACGTGTAACGTCAGTTATCTACTTGCAATAAGACAGCAAGTAATATATTTGTCTATTATTTGTTGTGTTTATTCCTAACGAGGTCATTTTCATGTACAAACATAGGCATACCGCTATCTGCCGTTGCATTTAAATTGAACATTTTTAACGGTTTAAAACGTTAGGATTTCTATATTAAAAATTATCGGACGTATTGGATAACTAATATTATTAGAGTCTTAAACTACAAAAAGTGTTTTATAAATAATAAATAAATGTGTACTACTCGTGTCAACTACAGACATTACATCTGTATTTTGGTTTTTGCAGTACAATGCATGATGTGTAGACCGGTAGTTCAGATCTTAGAAGCGTAAAGTCTAAAGGTTTTGACCGTAAAGACCAGACTAATAAATGCAAGAGAGTTGCTACGTCCTGCCTGATACTCGTTATTAGTACTCGCTATCTTGGTCTTTTAAAAAAAGGAATTACTAAACGACTTTGAAATAACCTCAATGGTTTAATGATTAATTTTGTCTTTCTTTGCGCAGGTTCTCAGAGTGCATCATTTTTATAATAAAATAATGATGGAAGTGAAACACCCGAGCCATTGAAACTGTAAGGTTTTTAACTCACCATGTGCTACATTATTGATGCAGTCCAGGTACCTCTCGCCCGTTTCATCATACATGAACTGGGCGATCCCCCTGACAATTTTCAGCGGCGACGAACGGAAAAACAACTGGCAGGCGCCTCTGTGGAGGATTTACTGTTTTTAAACCACGCCCGAAGTGTGTACCACAAGATCGAAATGTTCGATCGGTGCTGACGTAATAAAATTGGTAATGTGACTATACTTCTGTATTTTTCATTTTATAGGAATTTTCATATTTAATACTTTTGAACTCCTGATACTGTTTTTATATCAAAATAGATAATACCGAGATACCGTAAAGTTGTTTCGTTGTGTTGTAACAATGTATAGCTAATAATCAACGGGTCGTGGGTTTGACTCAGATCCAAAATCGCAAAATGTTGGACTTCGTTAGGAAACCTCGATATTAAATTGATGGTAATGGTGGAATATCGAAATTGACGCGTCACGAACCACCGGACTAAAAATGAAAAAGTCGTGAAGTTTAATCGCGTTACGGTTTCCGTCTGCGGATTTCCGAATATCCGAAGCCGAAAGGAAAGCGCATGCTGCTTAGTTGTTATATATGAACCCTATGCTTCTCTGCCCTTCCTCTATCATATAAAATATCTTACCCAATGTACTTTTCTCGTAGCTCAATGGTCTCAGATTTTGGTTTTGACTGTAAGTAAGCCATTGTTATCTGAAAAAAACAACAATATATAAAATTAAATACTGTCTATAGTTTACGCGAGTAGTACACATTTAAATAAAACACTTTAACGGTTTAAAACGCGATATATTATCTCCCCGTGACCACGGCTGCTGCAAAGCATCCGAAACGTCGGGCCGAAGTTAAAAATCATTTTCAAATAAGTTTAACTAATAAATCGCGTTTTAAACCGTTAAAGTGTTTTATTTAAACAATATATAACTCGAAAAAAGAAAGTAGAATATTTTATTTACACCATTTTTTTAAGGCTATTAATTAAAGCGATAATAAATGTAAGTAACGATTAATATTATCGATCGGCATGCATAATTAGATGCGCTGATTATGCACCGCCTATCAGCGAAATAGCCAATTCACTTACCGTAATTAGTAAGGCTTATTGAGCCGGTAAGTCACGTGCGACGCTATACCGCGGAATGCTACAGCACCTTATTTGTAAGACGATTTTATAGCGCAGAGGCATCGGCGGCACGCCCTCGCCGCGTCCAATAGCAAGTACGTCAATGTTATCAGTGCTAACTTGATAAGCCGCATGAACACAAATGTTGTTCACCACGCGTCCGTCGCATCATCGCCATGGAGGGAGCGCATGGCAAATAAGGCTAGCAGACGCGTGCACTCAAATATCTTTCGTTTAAATTATTACTATTAGGTATTATGTTTTTCGGGCTTAACTGTATTGATATATGCCAAGAGAGAGATAAATGCTAAATACCTAGACTAGAACACCTGTTGCAAAATGGCTCTTCCTACGCCCCCCCCTCTACCCTATGACCACGACGGCTGCGAAGCCTCCGAAACGTCGGGTCGTAAGGAATGTGATGTATGTTTATTTCGCGTTTAAAACCGTTTAAAGTGTTTCATTACATGTTCTACTCTCGTAAGCTACACACCACTTAATCTTTTTTAACAAAAATTTAGACGCATATCTCATTTGGCAGAATATAAAAGCTGCTTTACTTTTTTTAATTATTATAAAAGCTATTCTAGGCAAAAAGGTCGTATATATTTTGTCGGTATTCGAAGAGCGAACTGTACTGTTAAGAAACACTATAAATAGCGTTAACCAAAACAATATATAGAATACCTACTTATTTAGTTTTTCCACACGTTAGTTTACGAAGGCCGTGAATTTAAAGTGTATGATAGGAAACATTATGCTTTCATTACAATAATAACGCATTGAAGTATTAACCTAAATAGCCGATAACTTACTCCACTCCTGATAAGGTGGGGTTAGTGGCCAAATGCTTAAGAGATTTTTATAGGGAGTGTTGACACTAAAATACATTGTTTTCAAAATATGTTTTATTGATAAAAACCTATAAATGTTTCGAGAAAACATTTTTCAGATATAAACAACAGTTTTGTAAGATGAATTGACAGGTCAATACATTCATTGACAGCTTTTAAAAATATCCCACTGTTGGTACTCAGGACTATTCTATATATAAGTTTGGACGGGTTGGTGTGGTGGTACCAAAGTAACGTTGGGTGGGTTCGATTCTCTCCAGGTCCAATATTTTTCTAATCAATTTATAATTTTCTGAAACATGTTGGACTGCTTTTGGTCATAGTACAATCATAGAAGACTTGTGCTTTGAAAGTTTTATATCTATACTAATATATAAAGCTGAAGAGTGTGTTTGTTTGTTTAAATAGGGAGATTTACAAAAATAAGTTTGGATGTCCAAAATAACTATTCTACGCAGACGAAGTCGCTGACACAGCTAGTATAGTAATATAAATCTATATATCATATATTTACGTCACTAGCGTCCATCTTAGCACATATAATCTTATTGTAAACACAAACAATTGTACTTTAAGTACATTCAATGTCAAATCTATCATTGTTAATATGATTTGTTAAATTACTAAAGGAATACGATACGTAAAATGATATGACGTCTTGCGTTTAAGATATCGAAATAGGATTATTGTGATAAATCCTAAATTAGTAATAGATCAAAAGCAAGGAACACTGAGGTTGGTAGGTAAAACGAGGAAATTCATTATCTGTTGATTGAAATGCTATCATCAAAAAAATACAAGACGGATATCTTTTTTTGTGTTTGTTTCTTTTTATCTTTTAGTATCTTGAATTATATACTTTTGGGTAAGATCAGCGGGGGATTTTATCTTCATCCTCCGTGAAATTTACGGCATTTTACTAGGAATTGGAGAAAAAATACATTAGATTATAAAATTTATTGTCGTTTTTAATTTTACAAAACCTATATTGCTACTGGATTTTAGATATATAAATATTAGGTGTTTAAGTGAACTTCGCCATTGTCTGTCCTCCTCTCTCACAAATAACCAAGCTGTATTTGCGAGCCAATGCATAGTTCGTAACATGTGTTTCGAAAGATAAACATGGCGTGCACTGTTCCAAAACTGTGGTCATTCTACATGACTCACATTTCGCAGCATAGGTATTTTACGTCCCAAGCACTTGCTATTGGCGCCGCTCCAGCTTCAGGAACATTGAGAAAATTTACTATTTTTCGATTCCTATGAATCGGGTCATCCTAATCTTTTTCCCTTTAGGACATAGAGTTAAGAGTGTCGTTAGAAATCGTCTCTGTAAAGATATATTGTCTAAGACGACTGAGGCATGATTCCTTACAAATAAAACATTATTAAAAGCGATTTATACCATAAACTACATATTTTTACGCACAAGTTTTGGCAACTAATTATTAAATGGTGGTTTTAAGGACCTCACTATATAAGCTGTAGAAGTTATGAATAAATTTATTCTCAATACAGACCCGACTCCTAGCTGTCGGGTTGTTGTCTGTATAGCTTTATTGTCGTTCCTAATAGTAGCAAGATACATTCGGTTTTCTTTTCTATGTTATATCACTATTTTTCCGTATTCCTAAGTAGGTATACAACTGCGTACTTTATAATAGAATATTATTATTTACTGCCGTAAACAATTTCAATACTTGTATCGACACTGCATTTCCTTATTTGCACTCTATCTGCATAGGTACTCATTATGTCTACAAGGATAAGACTTGACACCTGTACCTAAAGTCTAGTCAGTAAAGCATAACTAAACAACAAATGGACGTCGTTTAATAACAGTTGGTATAAATGTTGATAGGAGGCCCTCTCCCGAGATGGAAAGTAAAGAATCACTACAAGAAACTTAAACATATTTTTGAATTATTTGTGAATTATAAAACTTCGTTTTGGACAAATATTTTTATTTAATACACGTAAATACGTACGTAATGTAAATACTCGTTTACATCAAATTAATTTGATACCCTGTCGTATCTAATAATATTTGCTTATACGTGAAAGTACTTATCTAATGATCAAATATTTATTAGTAAACACCATATATCAAAAGCGAAAATAGATCATTCGCAAACAAGTAAACGACAATTAACTGTGTTTGACAGATCAACAGTGCGGAATTTTCCGCAAGACTTTTATCTCAGTTATAATTATTAAATATTTGTACAATCAATTAGGATTTGTTAGTATTTAACTGATAGGCTGTGTTTATCGCACTTAAAATAGAACTCACGTTTCTATGCCTCTAGCAATTGTTATCTAATTCACAAACAAAGTGCTTCGCTTCGCAACGTTTATCAAACATCTACGAGTAAGTATGCATACAGAAATAAAATGGGTCTGTTTGTTTGTAATTTGAAATTGGCAATATTTAAACTATGTACTTCACTCGGCTATATGGTTACGCTTAACGATAAACACAAGTCCCGGGTCGAATCGCCGGAGAACAATAATTTTGGGGGGGCAAATTAAAAAGTCAGGGTGTATATAAAATCAATCAGGAAACTGACATAGACGTGTTTGTCTCATGACCTACATAGGGGAAAGGGGACGAGCACTATACGTGCTTCACAGTTATGAAAGTATGGAGAAGCGACGTTAATCTAAATAGAGAGATTCCGTGCAAATAACATAGATAAAAATCGCGTAAGTAGGCCAATAAATTATTATGTATTCATTAGTACATATTACTGGTTATATCCGCGAGTTGTGCGTGCAATAGTAATTTGTGGCATCAGATTATTTATTTTTGCAAACAACCTCCTCAGCTTTTAAAATTATAGCAGTTACCCACGACGTCGTCCACGTCCCGTCGTTATTGCGAGTTACCCGTGTCGTACTGTCGAAGAAAATGTTAGAACTAATCATTTAAAGATGCATCATTCTTTCATACTTTTTAATGACAAGTATGGTTTTCGCAGCTCACGCAACGGAAGGCGGCCTTGAAATTAATAATTTTCCCCGCCTTTTTTCCACATTTCACTTGTTTCTTTGCACCTATTGGTTGTATAACCTAAAGTGTTCGTTAATATATGCTCTAACCACATACAAAAAAAAACCCTTTTGAACCAGGACTTTCTGAGATTGGCGCGTTGAAACAAATTCTTCATTTTATAATGATATTGATTACATAGGTTTTATGTCATGTTCCGACTTTACAGCCAAGGTATTTAATCTTGTTACATATACCTATAGAAATAGTAAAACTTATAAACCTTTCTTATAGTTAAATTTGTTGTTTTAGTTAATTAAGTAAAAAAATCATAAACAACCGACATGGTCTAACTTACTCAAGTCCAATCTTATAATACTTATTTAGGAACTACGCTCATTCGCTATTCGCGAGTCTGTATTCCGGGTTCTAGCTAGAATCAAGCGGTGACATTGGAAGTCCTTACACGAAGGGTTTATTTATCGCTGAGATGAGACGACGGCTGGCCTAGTGTGCCGAGTTACGCGGTTAGTTCGCATACGAAACGGCACTTCCGTCGCGCACGTGACGAACGTGAGGCAAATATGTGAAAATCATTTTTACGAACTTTTCAATTCGCTTTTGTCTGACGCATAATAATTTCTTTCAAACTGATATTAATTAAAATAACAGAAATCTATTGCGCGAGAGGTACAAGTATTCATAGGTTGAAAAAATAGACGATGACGTCGAATTTTTCACTTCGAACGCTGTAGATGCCGGTTCAAGTCCTGCCCGTGTCTTATTATATTTTTTCAATTTATAATCGAATTTTAACAAAAATCTAGAAAGTTTTATAAAGCCAGTGTCACAGTTTTGACGGACTCGTTGGTGTAATGGTAGCAATGAATGACTAATGCAGGTCGCGGGTTCGATCCCCACGAATTGGATTCAAAAAATTTCACATCGATTTATATTTCTGTAGGAATATCGACATTTCGTCCGGGTCAAGTTTAATCGCGCTTCAATGTAAAATAGGTCGACAACATATCTTTTTTAGATGTTATATGGGTGGGGTATGTCACCTACCATCAAGTGAACCATGCTTGCCAGTCCTCCTCTATCATAAAAAAGTAGCAATATTTGTTACGATAATATATTATTTAATTCATACTTACTAGACTTTAAAGTACGCATTTCTTCTATACGTACGTATATTCTAGAATCTAGACTTAGTAAATATTACCCTTTTCAAATCTTAAAGGAGTTTTGTAGAAGAACAGTGTATCACTTATAGTTGTCTATATATATCTTCTTGTGAAGGGCGTTACGCCGATGGCATATTTGTGACATGTTAAAAAAATATTTTAGCGTTGTTTTTTTTGCAATCAGTACATTTTATCTTCCCTGATTATATATGTACGTCACACAAAACTAAATACAATCGAGTTTATCTAACCTCATGCAACGACATCGTGGGGAAACAGTACTTTATTACTTGGATTACCTAATTTTGTAAATCCTATCATAATGCCATAAATAATTTTATTTTTGTTTTTAAATTTCTTACAGTAGGTATAGCTTGAAATAAATTTATCTAAAAATAACATTTCTCAAATGAAAGTGCTTCACGTTTTTTACTAAACACCGCAAATGGAAATTCGGAAGTTACAATCTTAGAACGTAGACCTTAGTATTAATAAAACAACACAAAAATCTTAAATATAGAATAAGTATATTGAATAATTAAATAATGTTATTTTAAATATTTCGCCAAAAAGACTTATGTGTTATCGTAAAATTAATAATAAAAATTATCTAGAAGTCAAAACATTTCGAGTTGAAGAGGAAACATACGGGAAGTTATTGCAAGTGGGTGAAAAACGCGTCGTCGGTCGTCGCGCGAGTTACGAGCTTACGTATACAACTTGTCATCTCGAAGCGTTAAGGCTCGTTCACACGGGACCGACGGCATCCATCAGTGCACGCCCCCAATATCAAATCGTGCATAACCGCATCGCTAACTATAACTCCACTATAGTTACAACCGTTCGCGATATCAGAGAATTACTAGTGCTATTAAGTTATATAAAATGGGCACTTTGATAGCAAGTAGATAAAGTTACGAGTTAAAGTGAAGCTCGAACAGCGTCCGTTTCGCATTCGATCGTTGTATCTCGCCTGGGACCGAAATGCGGAACGGCTGTGACTTTCTGCTCGTGTACACACATACTTAACAAATTAATCTAACGTGAATTAATGTAAGCATGAATGTCACTCTCACTGTTATACACCGGGAAAACAATCGAAAATCTTAACGAGATATATACAGAATTAAAAGAAAAACCCTTCAGAAACGAGATAATGTATGCCGAAATAGTGTAACATTGTATTAGGTATTAGAATATTTAGTACCGTTCTAAATATAAGAATATCTAAACACAAAATTTGAGAGGACACAGAGTATTCGATTTTTAAAATGAGAATAATCTCTTTAAGGTTTTCGATTCAATTCGCGGCAAAGCTGTAATCTACGATAATATTTTCAATTATACACGCTACTTGAACAATAATATACAAACGAATGAATTTCAATAGTTTGGTTCATTCAAACTGTAACTGTTACATATATTTAATAGGCGGAGACACCACACTTACAAAGTGTATAATTAATCTACAATCCAAGGTGTAAATATAAAAAAAATATGCATCCGACGATGACAACGTACAGCGGTGATGTATATTGGGTTCAAACTATCGACAATTTTACGAATAAACGTTCAGCCCGTATCTATAAACTATAAACAAAAAATAAAATACAGAGGTATGCAATATTAGCCGCTTAGAAGCGTTTAACAGAATTGTTGATTTCATTTGTGATATACGTTACTTGTCGGCAGAACACCAACTGCCCCGCTCATAGACAACAGACTCTGATACGCCATCTTCCTTTACCATAAACAAAATCCCGTAGAACGTGACGCGCGATTATACTGCATTGAATTACAACTAGGACATGCATTAAACGACTAATTATAAAATATGTTTCATTCTAACGTCTTATAATTACGAAACTAACGTTATATATTTTTTTAGGTTTTTTTTTCTTTAAATATACATTTAAGTGTAAAAATAGTTCTTTGAGACAAAATGTCAAAGCACTTTATGCTAAGAGGAGGAAAAAGATTATTAAAGGTATTTGAATTAGTGTCTTCAACGATCCAATTATCGTAAGTCGATATAGTAAATATGTATTATGCATTTTTAAAGTGTACAGTGATATAATTTCACTATGTATTGCAACGGAAACTATTCGCAAAATAAACATGGACGGCAAGTAATTTGAGAAGTTGTTTCATTTTGTCGACTAACCAGTTATTTTTAAGAGCTCGCAGCTATAAATTACAATCAGATGTCAAACTGAACTTGACGTCCGAAACTGTTTCCATTGTATCAAAACGTTACGGGAATTTTAAACCTTTGCGTACGGCAATTTAAACGAGTAAAGTAGTTTGAGGTCAAAGTACAATTAGCTGTCAACAGTTATGTACTCGTTTTAATATATTTAGGTTTTCAAGAATGACTTCTTTCTACGTCATACTTCTTTCTAAAATGGTTAACCTTCATTGAACATTTCTGCGTTTGTAATAGTAGCGTTAACAGTCAGTAACGACCATAACTTTTCCTACTCATTGTCAAAATTGTTATGCACTTTGACCTCAAACAGTGTGACTAAAACATCAAATCAATACAAGGTACAACTTCATAAACATTTTCGTAGAGCCGACTGAATGACACAATAATTACAATAAAGTTATCAACGCTGAACTATAACCGAAGTCCGAATATACGGCAAAACTTTGTTAAATTCATTTAAAGAACGAACACCGAATAAAGTTTTCCCATAGATTTCCACGTTACAAACTTCAATTTACGCTAACTAGCATTCTAGAAATTTACTAACTACCGAATGTCGACAACATTCACACGTCAATGTCTGCACGTCTAGTTAATAAAGATTGAACTAAGCCTACGACACGCGACCGGCAACAGGATCCATTCCGATGTCCTCGGCTGAAGGGGTCTAGCGATCGCTAATACGTCTCGACGACACCGAATTACGTTACGACGACACGTAGTACCTTATCTTAAAACAATTACGACCTGGAGGAAATCTTGACCTGCTTGGTGTGATCGCTTTTGCTCAGTCTTATCTGCATTTCCTCCCGAGCAGCTATAAAAAGCCCCGCAACAAGCGACCATTACAAAAGATATAGTTTAAATGTTTTATTGCTTCGTCCAATACAGGAAAACAAGTACTTAGTTTTAACATACTAAGGAGAATTCTCCTTTTTATATATGAATGATACCGAAGGCCCTGTCGGCGACTAGTCACTATGTGGTGTCCGAAATCGGAATGAGTCGTTGCCAGCTTATCCTATAATAATATAATCAAGTCTCTCGAGAAGCTACATCTCATTATAATATTAACTTGTAAATAAAGTCACTATAGTTAATAAAACGCACGTCCAATACATTCCCCGCAAAAACCTCACGGAAACACTCATGAATTGCAAATTTCGACAAGAGAATATCAAAAATAGTGTACCGACGGTTCCCATCTACGGTCTGTCTTATACATATCTGTATTCTAAGGATTATCGTGGGAGAAAGGAAAATGGAATTCCTTGAAAACTACGACGATTCTATGGGTTAGGTGTAAAACGCACTTCTAGCGATTAGAATGGTGAAAATATTACGAAAATTCGCTATCGATTCAAAATTCACGCCATGTACAAGTGGAGATGATTTTTGGACGAATTTACCCATTCTCCTTAAAATGGCCATCCTAGCTTTACATGTCAACCTTTATTGCAATCTTCACTTGAACTACCCTCCTTCGTTGCGCATGGCAAGTGGCGCGCCCTAATAACATACACGGCAATAAAAACTCACGGGCGACACTTTGCAAACATGCACGTTAATAAATGCTCGCGTGCCGCCATCTTGGTAGTTTTGTCAACTCGCTACACAAAATAATGTAAGATAGCCATCTAATACGACCCGAAAACGACGCGTCGACGATCTAGCGATGCTAATCAAACGGCAGCGTCGCCCGAGACAAGATTTAATTATCGACATCAGCGCTACCGTCTGCCACTCCCGACTTGCCAAATTACTTTCCACGAACTCCGCAATTGTTTTATCTTAGTCTAGCCGCACGATTGACCCAATTGGGGTCCTAATGAAATAATTATACAGCGAACAAAATGAGCAATGAAAACGCATGTAACGCGGAGATCCTTACGTAATTCACTAATGGACGCCGATGAATGAGTATCGATGGATAACAGGCTTGACCGCTGACGGGTTGAAATTCAGAACTTGTAATGTATGGAAATGTCAAAGATTACCAAACATTCTTGAATACGTTAGAAGTTGCTCCGATTCGAACGAGCAACATCTATAAGACATTTCTGTTATCCATCGCGCATAAAATTAAACTAAGCAACAATATTAACCAAAACAGAGTTGTCAAACATTACGCCCTTCTGCGATATAGCTAATACTTTCAATACGAGTTAAATACCATTCGTTCACTATAATTAACCCGAGATCTATGTAAAAGGTATCCAAATGAGTACTTACACCATAAAAGAACGAGAACTAAATGAGCTAGAGTCGTGAAGCTTCACTGGTGTCCAATGACGTCCAAAACCATTGACTAGTTAAGAGTTGAGAATAGAGAAGGAACGAGTCCCTAGCCGTGTGCTAAAAATCCTTTGTTCTTACACACAAGCACAAATACGTCACAACGAAGTACAATGTCTATAGTGATTTGAAACACAACCTTTTACTCACAAACAGGACGCATTGGAAAGCGGCTGCAATTTATACATCTTAGAGGGAGAAAGTGGCATTGTATATCTATCTCGTTTCTGGTGTTCTCTCTCCTTAGAAATTTTGTTCATAGTATCTTTCTCCCTCCAAGCAAAATTACGCCAATTCCCTCAAATCTAAGTGTAATTTCAACATCGTTTAGTCATCTATAGAAACGAGTTGACATTTTAATGTCATTTAAGTCATCTAACATAAGTCACGTTGTTATCGTAACACTTTATAGGATAGAACAAATCAATCAAATCACGAACTAATAGTTTCAATTTGCAACGATGAGATCAACTGTGCGTTATTTACCACAAGATACAAAACGTGTTTTCAATCAAATATTTTGTGTGATATATTTTCAAGCGATTGACATTAGAAGTGTAGAAAAACAAATCGATGTAATTGTAAGATAAATATAGCTATCAAATGTACTATTGAAAATCTTAAAATATATTAAAATCGCTTTCCCACAAAGCTAAGGGTAACGATGATAAGAAATATGATAGTGAAATACAAGTGGGGCGAGTTTTATCAAAGTAAATGTTTATCACCGTTTAGAAGAACATACGCTTTTTGATTCGAATCGAAGTTTACATTTTTATACATTTCGTAATTGTCAGTAGCTTAAGATTACAAACGCTTTAGTAGACATGGCGTAATGAAATAATTAATCTATGTTTTGTCTCTTTCGTCCAAATATTATAAAGAAGGGACAAAACATAGAGTCCTTACAACACGTTAGTATACAATTTAGTCCGCATAGCAACACATTTGACTAAATTTATCAATGTGACCGATAAATTATCTATTTCGACATGGTGACCATAAAACAGCCACTTGTATTCCTCTACCGCGATAAGAGTTTAATCTGTACAGTGGCTATCCCCGAGCGAGGAGCGTACGAGTGTGAAATAGGGTACGTTTAGAGTGTGTGTGTGTGGATGAGTGTATGTGTTTGATGTCGAGCATGCCGCGGACATCGTCGCGGGTGAGACAGTTTGCGCGCCGAGCCCCGCGCCACACAAACTATCGGCTGCCGACGTCATTTGCCGTTCGTCTGCAGCGCCGCGTTCAGCTGTGTCCACAAGTCCTTCTTGCATGACTTTGATCTGTTCAAAACGAACGATTTGAGTATCGACAATCCTTCCCCAACATAATTTAAACACGCACTTTTGGTGTTACAGATGTAAGAAGGTTGGCGCCTAAAATTTTTCACTTTCCTAACATGCTAAGGTATTAAGAGAATAATTAACAAGAAAATTGATAAGTGATATGGGTACAAACCTACAAAAACCCAAACCCCAAAACCCTTTTTAATGATATCTATCTTTTTATAAGACATATTCAAAGAATGAAATAAAATACAAAGCTTATAAACACATGATGTGTTTATCACGCCATTAATCACTTTTTACTGTCATTAAGACCTAACTAACGTGGATAAACCTGCTTAGCGTATGCTTTTGGAAATAACACGACAATTTTACAATTAACATACATAAACATGTAAAAAGCAGCTTACCCTATGATACTCTCTTCCAGCAAATACGAAAGAAAATGTTGAGTTATAGAATTTGTGAAAAATAATCGACTTAAAGATTGGAAGTTATATCCTCTTGACTGTCATAAGAATGGTGTTTCTAAAAAATCATAATAGATGGCGCTATAGAAAGTTTTAATTAAATTTAGAAGCATACCTGCGCAATGATGCAAGCCACTCCTTAAACTGCGTGTTTCCTTCTGGTGTCAACTGGAAAGCTGTTCGCGCTGATAATACGATGCCAACGAACTCTTCGTACTCCACGGCCGTTAAGTGATACAACTTCTGATGAATGCACTGTATGTACCTGGTGGGAAAGGTGTTAGTTCTGTCTTTAGGGATTCTTATTATATACATTAGTAGCTGTTCCAGCAACTTTTGCTGTCGTGGACATGTTTTTTAATTATTAAGAAAAGGAATCAATATTTTATATGTATTAACGGAAACCTTTAAAGATGATAAGAGAAGATCAATTCGAACCAGTAATTCCCGAGATTGGCGCGTTCAAACAAACAAACACTTCAACTTTTAGATTAGTATAAATATATCAACGCAATCAATTAACTTAGCAAATTTAAACGTAATTTTTTTACGATCGGCACTTTACACTTAAACCATATAATAGCTTTCCAACTTCTAATAGTACTTACATCTGCTGACACTTGTGTACGAGTGGCGCTAGTGTGCCTCTCAAATGCTGCATCACAAGGTGATGGGGGCCGCCCCGCGCAAGCCAGTGGGCGGACTCGACGCAAAGTTCGTAAAGGACGAATGGCGAGACCACAGAATTCACTGCGCACACGCAGAACTGGTGAAGGTACTGTGCACCGAGACGCTTTGATATACGCAGGAGCCATTTCACGTGCTCGCCGTATGGTGGGTTTCTGAAAAATAAAGCGTGAATCAAACATTACTTAACTTACAACTTTAAGGTTAAGAGATTTTATTTTATATCATATTCGCATAATTCGTGAAAGAAACGATAACGACTTTGACGTTCTTTAAATGTTTATTTCGTTGTTATATATTTGAGCATAACTTTTGGCCTGAAAAAATCTTTCTTTACATAGAACTATAAAAGTATTGTCTAAAAAACTATCGTACCTTCCAAATTTATTTTGCGGTCGATCATCATGCACCCTTCTAGCTTGCGTCTCGAGTGCTAGCATACCAACACGGTACGCAGCTAGCAAACGCCGTAATTGCGCTTGCGGTAACGCTGGGGGGCCCGCGCCCGGAACTTGTGGAACAGGGCCCATGGGCGCCCCTCCCATGTTGTTCGCGTGGGCAGTGCTCACCGGTACCACTCCCACTGGTCCAACTGAGCCGTGGGCGGCAGGTAAAGGCGGCGGGATTGGAGCTGGGTGCTAGAAAAAGAATTGTCATATAGCTCGAGACGGATATGAACGAGCGACCTATAAATCCGGTTCAAAGGACCATGATAACTCAATTGCGGTTAGTAATATACTGAGTTTATTATGTAATTATGGTGTTACATAATATTTCTTAACATATTAGAATCTAAATATATTAAAAATGTTCGATAGTCTCGACTGTGTTTATTTTACGATGCCAAAAAAATAGAAATACTTACAGACACATTGACGGGTATCGGCTGTGGATGCGGGGGGCGCATGTGGCTGTAGGGGTACGTGCTGCGCCAGCTGCGCATGTTGCGGTGCATGTGCAGCGTGCGGCGCGTGCGTCGGGTGCGAAGGTACGATCCCACGAACAAAGTACTGCGGAATGGCGTACTGCGCTGGGCCGGGATGCGGCGCACCCGCACTGCCGTACTGCGGGCACTCAAACTGCAATTGAATATTGTATCATTCCACATCCTTAACTTACAATAATCATTGAAAGCCGAATAAGACAAATACTCTTTTATATGACGAGCTAGAAACATCTTATGTAATTGAATAAGTATACTTATTCAATTACATTGCTTAAAACATCATTCATCGTCATTAGGACCCCAGTTAGCAAGGCAAGAGAAGACTTATAGATATTTTATTACTTCATAAATTTTAAATATATTCTGCATTATTTATTTACAGTCGTTGATATTGTACCTTTGAAATACATAGTTCTTATCATATCATTGTCTTTCGGGCTGTTCGGCCGATGTGAGCGAGAAGAGGTTCTCGACGTTTCGCCATCACGTGTGGCATCATCAGGAGATGTTAACTCCTAATGATGCCGTCCTTTCCACGATGGCCGTGAAAGCCTTACACAATTTATAGTTCATATCGTTGGTCTACCGTTTTTCCTAATGTTTCTACTTATTGCTTTCATTCTCATTTCAATGTCTTATGTCATTTCATTCCATATGATAGATATTTTTTTATATTTTACCCGTCGACAACCATAAATATAAATATTAGTATTGACAGTTCCACACAATAGCACTTCCCTTATTCTTAATAAAACTGACCTGCAGACGGTAGATATGCGGCGGGTACGGGTGGTACGTGAACGGGTAAGGCAGAGGGTACGGCAACGGGACGGCCAGGGGCGGGGGTGCTCTGTACGGCTCGTCAGGCTCCTCTTCGCTTGCCTGACGCAGGTACAGTTCGTGCCAATAGCGCGCCACCGTGTACAGCACCTCGGGGTACACGCCGCCACCTGCGCACGCGCCTTCATCGCTCATTACACATGAATTTTTCTCGCGTTTTACTTGGATTTTTAATTAAACGAGGTCAACAACAAGAAATAACTAATCTTGTCATCCCAACAGCAAACAAATGCCTTAAATACTTGTAAAATATTCATTTAGGAATATCTACAGCAAAAAGGTCTAACGGGGATATGAAAGAAATGAATTTTTTTTTGCAAGTAATTATTTAAAGTAAGTTATAAGAACAAAGTAAAAATCGATTGTAAATTGAAATAAAAAAAAACGACACGAGCAGGATTTTAACTGGCGTCCACGGCGTTCCGTAGTGTCAGTCTAATCTTGTAGAGAACTCAAAATATAATCATACATTTAAGCGGGATATTAATAAATTCAACAGTAGTATGACTAAGGCAACCTTTAGCAGCAGCTTCGACCGTGAGACAGGCTCGTTCAAGCATCGCATCACTCTGCTCCTTGCACTGTAGTACAGCCCGCTGTATCTCGTTGTAGTTCAGTGCATGCGCATGGGGCAACACTGATAGGGCCAACTCAGCCGCTGCACGAACTGTTTGCACATCGCGGCCGGATGACGCCTGGAAAACGACATTAGTGGATTAGATCCTTACAACCTCCGACTATGAATGGAATGATAAATAACCTGAATTTAAATTAAATTCACCTATGATATTGTCATTTTAAAACATAAATTAAATTGATTCACATTTATGTACGCGTTAGAACTGATAAAATATACTTTAAATAAACATTTTTTAAAATGCTGCTGTTTCCCATATTTTTGTTATTGTGTAGTCGGATGACGATTTATAAACTTTACTACTTGTTAACGGTTCTAAAACTATATTGAAATTGAAATTGGATGCTATAAAATTAACTACCTTATCTGCAATCCCAGCAGCTTCTGGTGGAGTCAAGTGACCTTCCCATGCGTCTATTAAAAATAATATAGCCGGTGCACCAATGTCCATGGCTTGACCTGTGAATAAAAATCATTAGGTTACAAACATTATCTATGTAGATATGGATGTCTATGCCAATAGTTTAAAGAGTTTGTAACTTTGTTTGAATATACTTATCTCACGAAATACTGTATTAAAAGAAACAAGAGTGTGCTGACTTAATCATAAGATGTATGGCTTATAAACTATAAAAGAATAAAAAAAAGAAACAAGAGTATTGCGTGCGCTGCGAAAATGGTTTAAGAGACCAAAAAGGAAAGATTTATGATCCTTTTATGATCTAAAAAAAGTTCGCATTAGTATGTCTCGCAAGAACGACAGACCGGGCCGGTGACTGCCTTTGTAGCCAAATGGTTAAACGTATTGGCTAGCATTGCGTTACGCGAGAAACATTCTGGGTGCAAATCCCAGGAAAAAAAACAGTGGGGCAGGGCACAGTAGTCTGATCAACTACTTGCCTGTTAAAGAACGGATCAGTGAAACGGACACAGAAATGTGTTCGCCCCATGCCCCATGAAGGCGAAACGGGATTTCACACAAGAACGACGGAACACAGACGATGTCGTAGGTACAGCTATAATTTATAAATCTGAGGAGGTTGGTGGCGATTATAAAAAATATGATGCCCAAATTAACTGTTCCACACGGAGGAAGTCGCGGGCACATTTTGCATAAAAATAAAACTATTTTGGTAATATGTTTGTGTACCTGTAATCCAGCTAACATGAGAAGAGTAAGTACGACTGAGCCAATTAGCGCTGACACAGTTGTGTAGGCCGAGAGCGTATAAACCCAGCTGGAATGCAGCCATATGCAAGCCCCTGAAAGAAATTATTAAATTCAAATGCTTGGAAGAGATTAAATGTGTACTGTTTCATTTTAAATGTCAAGCATGGGGCATCACTGAAAATCGGCGTTGTTCCTACTTTAAAGTACAACAAAAGCTGAGTGGTATCCCTCCACATGCTTTTATTATTTATTTTATTGTATTTTTGTATGTGAAATAAATGATTAGATTTAAACCAAACACACAACAGTGAAAAGTCATAATTTACCTGTGAGGTCCATGGTGTTCTCTAGCGCAGGACGTAGGCGTAAATAAGCTGGTGCTTGAAGACCCTCCGGCTTTGAAGAGGACCGACTTCGCTAACTCGAACATGAAGTGCGCAGACGCTTCCGATGGCTGGTTCGGCACAGAAGGATATTGACGTTTGCCTTTGTATCTGAATATAAGAAAAAGAATCTATGCAAGGAGGTAGTCCGCTTTTATGGTAGCGCTAACAAAACCACTATAAATAAGTACCATTTGTTTACATTATTTTATATATCCCAGCAATGAAACAACTTAACGAGATGCGGTACCAACTTATTTGAGTTACCAAAGCGCCATTACATTTTCAATTGTGGATGATTGTTCGCTACCCGGACATAGTTTAGATATTAGATACCTATCTCAATATCTAGATTTTCCCGATAAAATCTTACTTGTTTAATTTGTTTGTTTCAAAAAATATTGATTTTGAGAATGTTTGTCCCACCAGGAATTGAAACCACTATCTGTTGATTGTTAGCTGTCCAATGGTAGGTCTATTGGACTAACGAGACCATTACTACAAATTCATACTATACATCTTGTGTAATAAAGCAAAAGTTGTCTCAAGAAGTGGGTATATTCAACACATAAGAGTATAAGTTATACCTGGTGTCCTTAAGCCGGGGCAAAGAATGTTGTGTATGCTGTTGATGAGAGTGTTGTGGTGCGGGTGGAGAACCGCCGCCTTCGCCCACGGACAAGCGCTCCATGTCCCCGGATAAACTGCACGACGGACCCTGTTCAAAATTACATGACTTCTATACTTTGTGTAACATAGGATAATATTTTTACAGTTTACATGGATTGGACGCTTCGATTGTCGATTTGTCTATACTAATATAATAAAGCTGAGAGTTTGATAGTAAGTTTGAATGCGCTAATATCAGCTACTGGTTCAAATTGAATGTTTGTTATGTCTTTGTTGGACCATTTATCGATGAAGGCTTTAGGCTATAAACTATCAGGCTGCGACTAATAGGAACAAAGAAACTAAGGCAAGGCTATAAAACGGGGAAAATTATAATTATAATGTTCCCCATTTTATGATCTTAGAGATTCCTTTAGTTCATGATACTTATGTATAAAATAATTTTCCTTCTTTAAATAATCTATAAATGTCCGTAACAGTCTATGTGTTTTAACAACATTAAGTTTTTATAGAAGAGCACATCAGTTAATGTGTAACAAAAAGAAATAGCGACTAAAACTATTACTATTATGTTTTCCTGGTATAAAAACTTCGGACCTCCCGTCTAACGTTGCTATAAGCAATGCATTATCTATTCAACTAAGGGGATTGAGATGGGTCTAGCGAGCATAGAGAAAAGAGGGATTTAACATACCGCAACAGGCATGTTGGGTGGCGGGTGATGATAATGATGTTCACTGCGAGTATTGAAGCGGGGGTTGCTGGAATAGTACATGCTCACCATTGGACCCTTGGTCAGCTGGTGGATGTCGCGGTCCAAAAGCTGTAACAATTACATAATAATAAATCCCTTCAAACAGAAAATAATTATATTAGAAAGTGGTGATTCCAAAGTTCCCGTCAGCATGATTTGCAGCACAATGAAAGAATGCTTATATTCAGCAAAACCTTGCTGTTTTACAGCGCACTAATTATTTCTAATAGATGTTTGTGTTATAAATAGAAGAGAGAAGTTCTTGCGGCCAGCTACAAAGATCTCGAATAATTCAAAAAGTAAACTTTATTATTATAGCTAATTAAAACCTTGTAAATGTTGTACAGCTATTCATGGATATAAATGAATAGCTGTACTGTACTGTTCTTAACATATATTATACAGCAGTCTATGTACCTTTAAACATTTATGAAACCTTATGAAAAAAAATGTGTTTTCCTGTAATACTAAGGTATGCAATGTTGAATATGTCAGGGTTTTTAGGGTATGATATACATAATTTCTGCCTGAAACTATAAACACTATTTGTTACAAAAAATGATCACAGCTTCTCCTACTTTTCGCTGCAGTAGCAGACACAAACTTAAAATAGTGAGGTACAAAAGCATTATTACGTTAACCTCTACTTAATAAATAATCAAGATAATCGTATATAACGCACCTTATTCATAATCCTTGCAAGTTTAACTGGGCTGTTCTTGTAGAAAGATAACAAGGTCAGCGCAAGGTCACCGCGTTGACGCCGGGTGCCCTCACAGAGTAATGGGTGATCAGCTTCAGAGACGTTTGCCTTGAGTCCGAGAGCCGCAACTGCCGCTTCAAACCCAAGCACTTCATCGGTCACTACCCTTGCCTAAAACAACACAAATAATAAGTCCCTGCACATTGACTGTCACCCTATCTCAAATAAACTTTTTGCCTATGAATGTGTGCCTAGAATGACATCCTGGGTGAAAACTTTTTTATGTCTTAAATAACGTAAAGATTGCGTAGAACAGTTTTTTTAACATGAATAGACAACTATACTTATTGTTGGAAATAGTTAATATAATTTCATGAGACTACTTACATCATGTTTGTTCTCAGCCGCTGATAACACCAGTACTTCAAAGAGAAAAGTCGCTAACGATATCGGTAGCAACGCGGGACCACGACTTCTGAAATAAGAAAGACGAGACGCTGCTATATCAAGTTTATGAGGTCAGAACACAAGCCCCATCCCTAAATTAAAGTTTTATAATACCAGCTGACCAAAGCATAGAAATTAATTCTAGAATATTTTAGTAGATAAAAATATTTAAAATACACTACAAGTACAAAAGTAATTCAGAAAAAATAGATACAAATCCATGCTGAGGTCTAACTAATGTATTTACAAAATTCAATTCAAATCGGTTGAACAGTTCTGGAGTTCACGCACAACCACTGTGACAGCATAATTTTACAACTTAGACAAACCAAATATAAACCAAATTGGAAATTAGTTTTAAATTTCAAGCAGACTTAGACCAACAGAAAGGAAAGATAAATCATACCGTAACAACCCATCTCTCAGTTGTTCAGCCTTCTCTCTCGCCAGCGCCAACTGTTCAGCGCCAGTTGGCAACTTCTTCAGCAAGGACACCAGCTCCGACTCTTGGTTATTCAGTTTTACCTCCAGAGCTTTAGTACTTGCAGGTGGTCGGGCCATCTCTAACGCGAATAGGCCGACACGGAATGCCAATTCGTGATGTTCACTAAATTCTGCTAGTACCTAAAAAGTAATTAGTAGATAGTTAGCTACTTAGTAGGTAGTGAACATTATATAAATCTTTGTAGAAATATATACTAAATACTGTGGATCAAATCTTAATCTTATCATCATTTTAAATATTTTATATTTCAGTAAGTATGTGTTGTAATTTTTAGAAATTTGGTATTAAATAAAAAAAAATTGATGATTCTAGGACAAGGGGCAGGATTTCAACTGGCATCAGTGCTGGTGCTCTGACCAAATTATATGGTGAAAATTTAAATGTTTTCATAGGTTTGGTATTTTTATTGGCTTATTTTAACACACATTTTCAAAAAATAAACTTTGGATTTCTTAAAAAAAATTTTTGACAAATAAAAAATATCTAATTCTTTGCATCGTTCTGACAGATTGTATAAATTATAGGATATACTTAATAATATCAATAAATGTTGTCTACTTTTCCTTCCATCCACATTGTATACTGTCTTCATCTATTACAATAAGATGTACTCACTGTGCATAGAAACGCGCATTTAGCCAAGGTGGCTGAAGCCAAACACGAAGTACGATGGCTTGCCGCACAAAGGCGGGGCGATGGCGCGTGACGTCTGCGCGCGCGTCGCAATTCGGCTGCACTACCGCCGCCATAACCTATATAATAATAAATATAGATAAAACAAGAAATGTACACGACAAATAAAATAATTTGTTAAAATTTTAAAAAAAAAAGTAAAAAGCTTTTAAAATTTAATTTCTATCAAAGCCATCTTACTTATAAACAATAAATAAAATGCTTTAAACTAAAATAGAATTTACTCAAAGAATACACAATCGGTTAAAGGTTTCCTTTTCAACTAAATAGCAGCTATAAAATTATTTAGCATTTTCTACCTAATAACGCAGGTGGTCTAGCCAGCAGCTCTCTAGCTAGACTGGCTCCAAGAGCGCAGGCTTCACGGGCGTGTCCATGTGCATGTAATCCCTCGGCGCGAGCGAACTGCACCTCCCATCCACATTGCCAACTTGCGCCACTACTACTCGCACTACCCACACTGTTACCCTACAAAGAGACGATGTATTTCATTTATTAACTAACTAGTGTAATTCTTCAGATCTGTAGATAATTTGATAAAATATGTTTAGACTTTTTGCATTTATACATGCTTAAAACACAATATGATGTTATATCCTGTTTTCGGTTCTGGGGCATGGGGCGCACACACGTGTCCGTTACGCGGTCTGTATCGTTTTGTCAGGATTGGTAATTAGGATCTTTCATGTTTGGCACAATGTACGCCCGTTTTAATATTAAGCTACAAAGGCGATCAAAATGCATTAAGTGAAGTTTGATTATTATCTATTTTTTTTAAAGCACATTTGAGTTTTGAATAAATGAGTTAATACCCCATTTAAACTTACCCCATTCATAATAGAAGCGCTAGAACCATCAGCGGCCACGCGTCTCGCAGCACTGGCGTCATAGAAGTAGAGATGGCACTCGTCATCAGAGACAGAGTCGTCACGCGGTTGTCGTGCGTCATCTGACGATATCGGTGGCGAGGTGGAGTCTTGCGAGTCAGTGTCGCCGCCGTCCGCACCGCTCACTTGCATCTCTTCCTCGTTTTCGCAGAAACCTATTTTTTAACAAGATTTAGTTTTACTGTTCAGGTAATATTATAAGACTACTGTTGTACCACTGTTTGTTACATAAACGTTATATTTTAAGCAAATCTGTTAACAATTTATTAATGAAAGGACGAGCGGAGGGGGAGGGTTAGGTTGAAATAAACAAAACTACGCTAACAAAAAACCTTTAAAACATACCTTCAGAAGAGACACTTGAATGATTCCCGTCACTAGGGCCAGGGTCACGAGGCGCTTCTTGTCCGGAACCACAGGGCTAAAGAAATAAATTGGTAATGAGAGATACTTATAATGTCATACGAAAGAGTGATTACTACTACAATCCACAATGCTATTAAATCTCACTAGGAAATAACATTGTATTGTCAAAATCGTTGAAAAAAGGAAGAAATCGCTTATATGCTTTGGAAGGGCTCGTTAGTCTAATGGTAGCAGTATATGCTAATAATCAACGGGGTGAGTTCAATCTTCACCGGGTCCAACATGTTTATCAATTTATAATATTTCTAAAACACTGTAGACTCCATAAATTGTGTAAGGCTTTCACGGCCATCGTTCAGCATATCATTGTCTTTCGGGCTGTTCGGCCGATGTGAGCGAGAAGAGGTTCTCGACGTTTCGCCAACATCTCCACACCGTGATGGCGAAACGTCGAGAACCTCTTCTCGCCGAACAGCCAGAAAGACAATGATATACTGTAGACTTCGTCTGAAAACCTGGACTTAATGCGATTGGAATATCGAAATTCAGTCCGGGTCACTTCATCCACAGATGAAGTTTAAACCCGTTTCGGTTTCAGTCTGTAGATTCCGAAAACCAAAGCCAAATACGTCAACAGCGCATCTTGCCGAGATGTTATATGGCTGGGGTACTTCAACTTCCATCAAGTGAACTGTCTGTCTTCCACAATAATAAATACTGTCTTGCAATTGAATACAAATAGTTACCATTTGGTTATCATACTGGTTTTAAATAAATGTATTTACTTGATTTGAAGGTCCAGCGATTGCGATATCCACATTAATTCTACTGTTCCTATGCACCAGGGCGCGGTGTATTGATGGGTCAGGATTTGTCAGTCTGTAGCTGAGAGACATCTCATTGTTAAGTACTGCTTTTGATGAATTAACCTGAAAGAAAAATTCACGTAACATGAGATCTATGGTATTTTAATTTTTTTTATAAACTAGTTATCTCAAAGGTGTATGTTGTTGAGATGCTATATGGCTGGTATATCATCAAATAAAGCTATGCACATCTGTCCAGCTCTGTTATAAAAAAAGTCTAACACAGTTCACAATCAGCATAAAGGTTTTTGTTTAAGTACAATAGTTGATGTTCAATAATACTGTATATGATATGGTACGACATGCTGATAACGAGAAATTCGTATGGGAAAGGCATCTGGCAGTACATGTTACCTCTGTAATTGAAAAACTTTGTAGTTGAAAAGGATAGTGCCGGACTTTAAGTAGTTATTAAGTGATTTTAAGGAGTTACTAATGACTAAGTTTGGTAGGGTTTATGCAAACTGTTTGTTTGCTTAAACCATCAATTATATTCCATACAATGAGTGATAAATTATTTGTGATAAAAATATATGATCTTCAACTAAGGATAATAATTAAATACAAAAAGCTAAATAAAATTTGTATGATGATAATTAAAAACAATGACTGACCTGATGAACGCTATCTGTCTGTTTGTCCGAGTGTCTGAAGATAGTGAACGGACTATGGTACAGCGGGTTCAAGTCCTTAGTGTATGTGACACCAGGTATCTGGTAATCGTCCCACTCCAAAAAGCACGCCTCCATGGCCGGATTGAAGCCAGGAAACACTTCATTCTCGCTGATCCCGTTGATGTAGGGCGGATGTGAGTGCGCACGCGCATGTCGTGGGTGTGACGCGTTTATGTGATTATTGCGGTTCTTTGCAACCTATAATCAATCGATAATTATTGAAAACACGATACGGGTCTTTCTCGTTAATACTTAGCTGTGATTCCAATCTTAAAAATGATTGCAATTAAATGGAGATCTATTACACTTCATAACGTTATAAAACACAGTGCGCTTGAGACACAAACATTCGTTTAAGAACGATTGCATAGAATAGATCTAGAATATAGTCGGTTATAAAACTTAGAATACTACTATAAAATAAAAAGGAACCTACATCCTTCGATTTTAACATGCCAAAAACTTGCACGAACCTTGTCCAAGACCTTCATATGCCACTGTGCGAACTGCTCATGTAGTGTATCTCTTTCATGCGGCGCTAGACCAGGGTTTAGAGCCGCCAGCCGCCATAGCACAACCACCTTATAAAGAAAGGTTTTTAATTATTAATATATTTATTGTTAGTAATTTAGGAAAAGTTTTGACGGTCATTCGCATTTATTTAAGGTAAAATCGATTTCCAAAAGGAAAAGTATTGTATGTACCTATTTTTAAGAAGATAAGTTTATTATAATTTCAATGTATAAGTGTCAACTTTGTTAAATGGGAGTGTTTAATTTTAATAGGAAAATTTCAAACAACGTTCCATGCGTTCGCTCGACCTCTGAAGCCACAGAATATCTAAAGAAAATCTATAAGTGTTGGGACATCAGTCCCAACATAGCTGAGTAGCTTCCTTAAATTTAAATTATTATTATTTTCTAGTTCTACATATTGTTAATTAAATGTAAATGTTGTTTCTGAATTATTATATTCTATATCCAAAATATAAAAAGTTAAATTAACTTTGAACTGAAACCCGTCTAATTTGTCCATTAAAATCTTAATCTAAAGAACTGAATGTGGCACTTACCTCATCACAAAGTGAAGAACAAGCATGTTGTGCAGCAGAATTGCCTCCGCTGCCGCCATGTTTACCTCCTGTGCCGCCACCCCAAGCTACTAAAGCAGCCTTCGTGCTGTACCACCATACGATAATCTGTAACGTAAAATGATTTAAAAATTGCTCCAAAAATAAATAAAAATGCATAATAAAGAAGGTACTTTTAGGTCAATATTATTTATTAAAAAGCCAAAGTCTGTTGAAAATAAATACAGAATACTATTATCTTCTGAAGAGCCTGTTAATCTTTGATTATCATCTGCTATCTTAAAATATTAATTATCCACAACAACAAACTTGTACAGTTCATCGAAAACCGAAAATACATCTTGAAAAATAAAAGTAAAGCAATTAGTAAAAAAAACTAAATAATTAGTAAACTTGTGAATAAAACACTTTTAAAGGTACAAAACGTAATTTGGCAACCTTGTTAATTAATGTTTGACTACCAGTAACTACAGCTGCTGCAAAACATCCGTTGAAGTCCTTAAGTTCAATCACGTGTCGGTTTCAGTCTGTGGATGTCCAAACATCCAAAGTCGATATAGGCCGACAGCGCATCTTGTTTCAGATGCTATAAGCTGGGGCATTTCACCTACCATAAAGTGAACCCTATACTCGTCTGTCCTCATTTAAAAAAAAACCAGTTACCTGTTCGCAAGCCATGACCTCCTCGGTGATGATCTCCAGCAGCGGGATCGCGTTTCTGTCGCTGCGCTTGAACATCTCCCGGACAATGGAGAGCAGGTTCCACATGCCTTCCGGTTCGCGTCCGCGCAGTGGCCGCAAAAGCGACGACCACTCGGCCGCGGCCGGCGGTGCGCTTGTACTTAGATAATTTACGTCACTGCATAAAGTTCGTGAAAATACGAAGAATTAATTTTTTTTCGTTAAAGGGTAAGCTGATCTTGGAAGTTACATGTTTAACAATGTAGTTGACAGCTAAGATATACCTATATATACCAAGACTACTAAATTGAACGTCGAACTTGTTCTATTTAGATAAAACACTTTAACAGTTTAAAACGTTATATATTAGTTAAACTTATAATTATTGTAACGAGTCTTTAGCAGCCGTGGTCATGGGGGGTGTCTGGTCAAAGCAAAAACTGCTACGCTAGCTCTAGTTTTAAACTGTTAGAGTGTTTTATTTAATTGTTAGCTTAACTCGTTCTGTTTCGCTTGATGATTTCAATAACAGGCAAGTAGTTGATCAGGCTTTTATGCATTGTATGAAACTCAAATGCAGGGCCAGAAATGCGAAATATAAAGCCCGATGCGGTAAGGCTTGTTTTAACAAGTAAATTTTATTAAAGTAGGTTTAAACATCCAATTGTATTATTATTTGTATGTTTTAAATAGTTTTTTTTTAATAGAATAATTCAATTAGATTAGTAAACTTTAATATTTTTTACATGTATGCACATGAAGGCACTATATGACTCGGTAGCTCAATTGGTAGAGCAACAGCACGGAACGCGGACGATGCCGGTTCAAGTCCTGCCCGAGTCGAACATTTTTTTCAATTTTTTTTCGAATCTTTTAAATCAATTACATTAATCAATGGGTTGAAGACACTGTCACGGTCACGGTAGCTTAATTGGTTAGAGCAGCAGCACAGGATGCTGTGGTTGCCTGTTCAACCCGCCAGAGTCTTAAATTTGTCAATCTAAATATATTTTTAAATTTGTAACTGAAGAACAACTAATAAATAACTTACTTATGAAAAGTGTATCTAAAATAAACCAAAATCTATTCACCTAAACACAATCGGTGTGGGCACGCAAAACTTCACCAATATTTTATTGATGTTATTGTGCAGAGTCTTCTCATCGAGGAACCACGACGTGTACTCGTAGGCCGATGCCCCAGCAGTGGGGTCTGGGGCCCCGCAGGTAGTATTAATCTGGTTAGGCTGCGCGGATAGTAACTCGTCCAATATCTTTTGAGCCGTAGGCAGTATTTGTCTTGGCAACTCCGATATGAGGTATTGTGCGAACTTTTGCAATTGATCGCGACGCAACCTCTGAAGAGATTCGGATACGGGCGCTCTGAGACATACTTGTGTTGGCTGAAAGGACAGATATAGTCTCTTACATACATTTTGACGGCATCCTGTGTATGTGATGTTAGGGATAATCAGAAGGTCAGGGTTCGATTCCCATTTAATCTAAGAGGTTTCTGAAATCAATTTACATATATATGGTCCGAAATGAATATGTTTCGCTTTGTCTGAAAAATCTTGATATTAAATCGGTAGTGGGAATATCGAAATCTCGCCCTGCTCACGGACCACCATACACAATTGAAATAGTCTTGGTTTAATAATAATAATAAAACTCTTTATTGCACAAACATAAGAAAATAGACACTCAAATGTATTTAAACAAAATAAAAAATGTTTGTGCAATGGCGGCCTTATCGCCAATGGCGATTTCTTCCAGGAAACCTTTGCATGTAGAAATACATATCAATTCAGTTTTAATATCTAATTACAGTAAAGGGTCGCCAACATATCTCGTTTAAATGTTATATGAGTTGGATATATCACTGTCCTTCTCTGTCATAAAATTTGCAAACACCACAAATGTATGTTTGTGTGTTATATTTGAATGGGCTACGCGTTTCCATAAATTGCAAATTTTAATAAGAATTTAAATGTCTTAAGCTTGTAATTTGTCTGACAGTCGAATGACTTATTCATCTCATGTAACAATAATTTCAAAAGTGATGTTAATTGCTAAAGTGATTTCAAATAGTTATTTAATGGTTATAATAATTTCAATATATTTGTTTGAAAATTGTGAATCACAATTCATTTACAATATATGACTCATCAACCACACTTAATAAATCATCGTGTAATATATAGACCAACATGTAATTAAGGAATGAACTTACCAAATGTATTCTGAATAGGCACACGGCAACAATATGTGAACACCAGTGAGCTGATGATGAGCACGTACAGTTACATGATGATATTTTCTGCCTGTCAAACGTGACTGCTACGTTAAACTGCGTCCTTGCCATTGTAAGGGATACAGTAGCAGATAAGTGGAATCCTAAACAAGAAAAAATACAATTACTCACAAAGACGAAAAGGTTTTCTACTATCCTTCTGCAGACCGAGTTATACTTACTCAAAGCATAACATTTTAAAGACATCTTGATAGACGCCTTAACAGACAAAAGCAAAGGACTATGAAGATATAACAGGTTTTTAACAAGAAAAATGGATAATAGCATACATTTTTTTTATTACAGCATAACATTTTTTTGCAGCAGTTCCGAATGCCTAAAAAGGGCTGAATTTTGCAAAATATCCAAAGAGACTGTCATTGAGTTGAATCCAATATTTTTTAACTCGTAGCTCTCTATTTATAATTATTAGTGTATAATAAATATAAATGAACAGCATTTTGAGCTGCTTGAACTATACAATTATGTATATCACTTACCAATTTGTAAAACATCCTTAACTGCTTTGTCACGAAAGAGCTGTTCTCCCTTCTGAAACTCCTCTGATGAACCATTCGCAAGACATGAGTATAATCGTATGTCATCTTCACTGTCTGGGAAACTCCAAAATGCAATCTGCAGTTGTAATTGCTCTGGCACAGGTGGATACACATGTTCGACAAGTTCAAATGGTATATGACAGGCTACACACTTTGCTGCTAATTCACTTAGGGATGATACAGTTTTGTCTAAAAAAAATATCCTTCTTTGGGTTATAGTTAGTGGATTTGGTCATTAATTGGTATCCACAAAAGAAAAACTAAGTCTTCCTAATAGCTATAATAATTGAAGAGTAATTATGAAGCCCTGTTATATTGATAAAATCCAAAGTGTTCAAGTATTTAAACATAAAAGGTGTTTATTTTACTATATAGTGAAATAAATATCTTAAGCTTTGCTTATTATGCATTTATTTTTAACTATGTTTATTTTACACATTACTAACATGGTAAGTAAAACTTCTTTTAAGCAAGTTTAGATTTAGTTAGCGGTGCTCTACTATGATAACCTAATATTTAATGCATTTAAACATAAAGATGGATGTATATTATATCATCAATTCTTTGACTTTCACTTTTATTAAGAGCTTTGGTAATATAAAAGTAAACAGTTTCAGTGAAAGTGGAGAAAGTTTAATATGACAGCATAGTAGCAACAACAATGTTTGGCACTTAAACAACACTAAGAACAAAGAAATGCTACAACAAAACGACAAGAGCAAGTTTTCAAAGCTAAAGTATTATTAACTGCTCAGTCCAGTCAAAGGTAAATGACTTTAGACCACCTGTCTTTATGTCAATACATACACACACATACAAGTATGCACACAAAAGATTCGCAATAAGAACGTACCGATTATATTAGATTTAAGAAATGCAACACATTAAATTACACAAGATCATCTTTAATATTATATTGAGAGATAAATTATGTCATGTTTATGCGCCAAAACGGAAACAAAGGATCAGCTGTCATACCTTGAGGGGTTTTTTTCGTTGGACGAGGAGCAAATGAAATGGGTAAATTCGGTCTTCTCCAGCCACGCCAGTTGTTGCACAGGCTTTCAGGCTCCGAACTCCAGCTGCAAAGGGAATCTTCCTCGAATCGTTCAGAGTCCTCGAAACTGAAGTGGTCTCCCTCCTCCCAGTCGAGTAAGGGCGACCCCACGTCGACCGGGACAGCTGGTCGTCCCGCTTTCCCATTATTATTTGATGTCCCCGCCACTTTACCGGAATTCAGGCCAAATTTTCAGTAAAACCGATTCGCTGGAACACTTCAGCGAATTACAGCTGAGGAATCCCTATCACTAAATATGCATACTTCTTAAACACATGAGTTTTTGCACCACTTATTATAATCCTTCAAATAATGATGTGTTAAACTAAAATGCATCACAAACTTGTAAAACTCAGACACTTTCTATTCAAAAATCAAACGATTCAAATAAATTTCTATGGAGTACAATAACAAATATGGCCGTGCAACGTCCCAGTCCAACAGCCCCCTGCCCCCAGCCCCTAGGCCCTTCCTTTGCTTAAAAGTTCATTGTCTTCATAAAGGTTCCAGTTTTCAACAATAGATGGAAGTAACCACAAGTAAACTATTCACCGATTTCATAAACTTAAAGAAAATGCTCCCGAATTTTTAATTTTATTAAAATTATTTTCTTAATATAAAGCTGAATAATTTATCTAAAATATAATAAAATGAATCTAAGTATGTAATATAAATAATTAATTATAAGGTTGACATGTGTATAGTGTCACTAATTCGTTATATTCGTCAATCATCAATTAAAGCAGTATTTAAAGTCAGCTGTCAAGTAACTTAAAACAGTTTTATATTTATTTTTAAATATTGTCAAATGTCAAGACTTAGGATTGTTCTCGATAAACTCGATAAAATTTTTACCTAACTTATTTACTTTATAAAATTAACAAAAATGTCGTAATAAATCTATTGGGAAATATGTTTCTACTCGACAATAGTAAATAGTAATTAATAATTGCTTTCGTTAAAAATTGTTGATCAGGGTCTTTAGGTTATATTCAAAATAGTAATATTGTTTTTGTAATTTATTTTTTCAAATCACCTTGTACTCTTTATCTTTAAAATGTTTTGTTGGGGTAATGCGACTCATCACGAATTATGCATTGAAGGTTCTGATAATCTTGATTTGGTAAGACTATTGCTTATTTTCTTAAAGTAATGCAAGTGCAAGGATAGTTGAATTGTTTCCGTGTACCTTCGTTTTTATTATCATATTTATTTTTATTCTTTTAGGTAATAAAACCAACATTATCGAAATGGAAAGAAAGTAGTCATATTAATTCTGTAGCAGCTGGGGAGTTCCATACACTTTATCTGACAAATGTTGGCCATTTGTACTCATGTGGCAATAACGATGTTGGTCAACTGGGACGACACACACAGGAAGATGATGGCAAATATCCAGGTTGTTGTGTTTTGGATGCTTATTAGCTAGGCAGGTTTGCAAGAGCCTCATTAATCTTTATATGATTATTTATTTCAATTATTCCATTGCTCCTCAAACAGGACAAATTGATAATATTGGACCTTAATTAGAAATTAGTACGCATCTTAAAAGTATTTAAAATATTATTATGTCTTAGGTGCAACTATCCAAAAATCACATCTTTTAACCTTTTAAAATTCTTTGTAGCTCTGGTGGGAACATTCAAAGGTTGTAATTTGTCAGCGATAGCATGTGGTCTTCAACATTCTATGGCTTTAGACGAATGGGGTCAACCTTTCAGTTGGGGATCAGATAGTATGGGCCAGTTAGGTAGCAATTTAGGTGCACATGCTCAGGATAAACCGAAATTAATAAAATTTTTGGCAACCAAAAATGTGATACAAATTTCTTGTGGATCTTATCATACAATAGCACTTACTAACAGTAAGTAATACTTATTATATAGTTGTCAGCAAATATTTTACTGTTTAAATATATGTGGAATAAATCAAACGCAGTTTGTTCACTGTTAATGTAAAATTTGCATGATACGTAATTAAATATTTGAAATATGAGAATTGAAAAGCGAAGCAAAATGTTTTTCAATGAATAAATATTTATTAAGTTGTTTTTATAGTCATGGGAATAGTGTTATGTTAAAGTACCTACTTAAAACTTTGACTGCTTTATACTTTAAATTCTTTAAAATATTTCATTATGTTTAATGATGCCAATTTTCTTTGTAGGGTTTCATTTTGACATGCACTGGGAATTAGCCCAGACTATTTTAATTGAGATAAACATAAAACTGTGACATTTACAGATGGTGAATTATATTCCTGGGGTGCAAATTCGTATGGTCAGTGTGGATTAGGTACGATGTCAAATAAGGAAACCACACCGCAACAGATAACGTCATTAGTAGGGGTTCCTATTGCTTATGTTGCCTGCGGTAGTAACCACACATTTGTGTTATCAAAGTATGTATTAAGTATTAACTTTTTCTGTATAAAGTTGAAATAGTGATATATCTAGGAAATGATAAATCAACTGCCTTCAGCCTTGAGGCTGTATTATGTTAGGCTTCAACGCACATGCAATACTGTCACTATTCATTGATTATTTTGTTGAAAACATACACACTATTTTTAGGGTTCCATGTCAAAAGTCTAATAATATAAAATTCAACTCGCAATAAGCTGTTTTTTTATTAAAGAATTAGCTAGGCATACTTTAATTAAATATTAAGTTTGACAGTCACCTTTTTTCAGATCAGGAGCTGTTTTTGGTTTTGGAAAAAATACTCATGGTCAGTTAGGGTTGCAAGACAGGGAAAATAGATGCTACCCCACACACTTGAAGCTGTTACGAAATGTTAAGGTAAAGGGATTTATAATTGTGCTCATAAAAATGTACGTAGTTTTCTGTTATTTGTTTCATGATTTTGGGCTCAATTTTGTAAGTAAAGTTTTATATATGAACTGGTTGATGTTGATAAAGGGAAAGCTTTTTTGTTTGTCTCTATGTACATCTACGTCTCTGAAAAGAGGTCTTTGGTGTTTGAATGAGTTATATTATTTATTTTTAGGTGTGTTATATATCCTGTGGGGATGACTTTACAGCATTTTTAACGTTAGATGGTGGTGTATTTACTTGTGGCTCGGGTGAATATGGGCAAACAGGACACGGCGCTGTTAAAGACGAACTTGTTCCTAGAAAGGTTAGTTTCAGATATTCTAAATCTAAGTAGTATACCATTGATCTTAACTGTTGGTACTTTAACTATTATTCTCTATTGGAGACCCCGATAGGCCTGGTGATGATCTGGTACTAGCTACTACCCATTTCTCTGTGGAGGACATTGAGTGGTCCAACTCCCACTGTACCCCTTAAAATCTTCAGATTTGCTTACAAAGCAATTTACTTGCTATTATTAATTGTTCCATATTTAATTCTATAATATAATATGATATTATCTTTTGCGATTTTGTCAGTTCCTATATGTTTTTGCCTTATTTTTGAGCACGCAGAGCATTCAGGAGTAGGAGGATGCTTGTTTCCTTACTCTCTCTGCACTCAGGGCATAAAGGATCTGCTGAAGGCTGCTGCGATCATTGATAGATGTCTGTTAAGACGACAATTTTCTGTTATGATTTCTACGATAGATAGAACTTACGTAGATTTAAAAATACGCATGATTGTGCAGATTCCAGCTAACTTTACCGACCTGTTGTAGATCGTCGAATTAATGGGAAGCACGGTGACTCAAATAGCTTGCGGGCGACGTCACGTGCTGTGCCGCGTTGGTGACCGTGTGTTGGCTTGCGGGTACGGTGCGCGCGGTCAACTCGGGTGTCCGCATATGACCTTCGCGTTAGTGCCTACGCCTATATCGTTTACGCCTAATGACGATTCGCCTGTAAGTTTACATGCATTTAAATGATTCTTCTACTTATGATAAGCAAGTTTGTTAAAATTTTTATTCTGGAATTTGAGCGGATAAAATTAGACGTATTGTGTTTTTTATCGCGCTGTTATTAATGTTTTTTTTTATAGAGGTAGACAAGTTTTCTACCGCCTATTTAATATCATATAATGAAAGTTATTAATTGATTAGAAACGTGCTACTAAGTAGCCCATAAATTTATTATAAGATTTATAATTACTTTCTATACCATTAAGAATGTTAAAACTTTGACTAATAAATTAAGTAACTTTCAACTTACAAATGCACCAAATAAAATATAATATCTTTATCTATTAGCTGTCAAATATATCAAAGTAACAATTTTTTTCTCATGGCACACAGACGGATCAAGCTGAAATTAATAAGGTGAATAAACCACTTTATACCGTTCTTTGTAGTTTCTAGCTACTTCATCACAAACTTCATAATTAAGTAATATATTATATTTTTAATTCAGCTCAAATCCTATCCTTGGATATAAAATATGAAAGATTTTATAGAAACGTCTCGAAGTTTTTAAAGGTACAACGTTGAAAATCCTTTTACTCCCTGTACTGTACTTTATCTATATAAATTAAAAATCGACTTTAGGTTGACAAAAAATTACGTTACGGGCAAGACGGTTCGGTGCTAAGGCTCTAACTAATATTAGGTTGAAATTACAATGCGCAAAGTATCGGTATAAGTAGAAGTGTCGTATAGGTTAGAAAAATTGGACGATGACTTGAGGGTAGGTCAATTGGTTAGAGCAACGGCACGTAGCGTATCGTAGTTTTTCTTTCAATCTAATATCGATTGAAAGAAAAACTACGATACGCTATTAGTATAATTTGATTATTATTATTAGTATCAGTTAGGATTAATAGAATCTATAATTGATAGCCTAAGAAGAAATCTAAGCTGGAGAGTAGTACTGCCACTGGTAGACATGGTGAAGGATCTTCTAGCCTTAACGTTGAGTTACCTGTTATTTAAAACCAACTTCTATAAAGTCATTCTTTTTTAACTTGGTTAAAACGTGAAATATTTGGAGCTAACATATTTACAAAAAAAGTCTGAATTTATTATATTAGACCTTTACAAATGTACTAGTTGTTACTTTAGAACGTACGTTGGTTTTTTTTATACTGTTGTACCATTTGCGTAGATATATGCACAATTCTACAGTAAATATTGTCTGTAGTAAATGCGAGTAGTATTAAAATAAAACACGTTTAACACTTTTGCATGGGAAATATATTTATATATTAGTTAAACCATTGTTTATTTTAACTGCGACCCCGACATCATGCTTCTACGCAGCCAAGGTTACGGGGGACTGAGGATAGAGGGCGTTCCTAATGTAGATGGCGCTAGGGTAGCTGATTTGAGTGTTTTATTTAAATTCTAGAGATTCATATATAGAGCATGCATTTGAGTATTGTATACTTTTGGTATTTACTTAGCGTCGTATACTTATATGTTGTGTTTGTTTTGCAGTTTCCACCTGCCTTACTCAACGGCCCTATAAAAGTGTTCGCCGGCGGAGATCACAGTTTCCTCGTAGTGAACAGTGATAAGTCAGTCCAAACTGACGCGCGAATACCAGATCCGAAGAAGCAAATACTTACACTCAACATACCTAAGTTAGCAGCATGTGAGGTCTTCAAAGATGACGATGTAGTTAATCAAGTAAGAAATATACACATGAATAACAAAGAATAATTACTTTATGTTACTAAACTTAAATACTGTCTGTAGATTACGCGAGTAGTACACAGTAATAAAACACTTTAATGGCTTCAAACGCGATATATGTTCAACTTATTTGGAGACTACTATAACTACGGCCCAAAGTGTGGGATGCTTTGCAGCAGCCGTAGCCACGGGGAGATTAGCATTCGAAATGTCGTGCCGTAATTAAAATAATCTTCAAATAACTTAAATCATTATATATCCCGTTTTGAACCGTTAAAGTGTTTTATTTAAATGTTGCTAAAATTGTTAAGAATTTAATAAATTTCTACCTATCAAAATAGATTATTTGAAGATGCAAACCCTTAAAAAAATATATATTTTGTAAATTCGTATGTCTTTAAAAGAGATAAAACTTTAGATCTTTGTATTTTGTGTTATCAGAATACTGTAATATTAAGCGATATTAAAACTCTTAATTTCTTTTTCAGGATCTGATGGCGTATTTAGAAACAGTTTTTGGATCTTCGTCGTGTATGAACGCATCTTTCTTGCTTGAAAACAGTGCGCATTACGGTTGTAATACGAAAGTTCCAGGCGTTGATTTAAAGAAGGCTCAGGAGGCATTTAATATTATTAGTCGCTTTGAAAATACCTCTATTAAGGAACTGGTAAGTTTTTATTACGTATTTTTAAGTACTAGCCTTGACGGCGAATTCTTACGCGTTTTTTTTTATATTTAAGCTGTTAGCCTTGGCGTCGTCTACGTCCCATCGTTCTTGCAAGTCATCATATAAGTTAGATATATAGTCACGTGGACATCTTTTAAGATCATATAAACAGGAATCATTCTCTCATCCATATTTTTGGGTACCTCGATACCGTTTTCACAGCGTACGTATTGGAAAGCCGCAAGTCACTACGTAATCTTTTATAGCCTTCCGCAATAAATGTTCTAAGGAACGCAATTTTTCGATTCGAACCAGTAGTTCCTGAGATTAGTGCCTTCATACAAAGAAACTAACTCTTCAGCTTTAAATATTCTCCTAGATAATACGGTGACTGTAACGTAAAAACGTCTATCATTTATTCAAAAGCCTACATTATATGGTTTTTCGTCACGCGTTAATAGTTCCTATATAAGATACGCAGAGGAGATTGGGGTGAAATGGTGCTAACTACTTCACCCCAATCTCCTCTGCGTCGTTTCTGTAGACTGATCACCTGGCTTTTACGATGTAGCCACTTAAGAAAGGTGATAATAAATATATGATACTGATATTCCTAAATGTTTATAGATATTTAGCCATCTAACTGAAAATGTAATCAAGAAAGTGAAATCCTCGCCACCGGACGCCGAGGCGCTGCGGTTATTTCTTCTACTTCCTCTATATCATGAGATGAGGAATCCGAGACGGCATCCTGAATTGCAGGTATTTTGTACAAATTTTTGGCCTGCTCGTTGGTGTAGAGGTCGTGGGTTCGATCCCCACCGGGTTCAACATGTTTCTAACCAATTTATAATTTTCTGAACCATGTTGGACTTTGTCTGAAAATCTGGATATGGAATACCAATTACATATCCAGATTCCACTTTCACCTACCACCAGTTAGGAATATCGAAATTCCGTCCGGGTCACGAACCACCGTCCATAGATGAAAAAGTTAAATAACGAATCGGTTTCAGTCTGTGGATTTTCAAAGCCACGGTGGAAATTTTGGTTACTGCAACTTACAACAAACAAAATGGCGAAACAATTTTCATTTTGTTAGTCTTTGTGGGTAGATGTATAAAATTGCATTTCTAATTGTTTCTTCAGGGTCCTTTTGCAGAAGCGTTCAATAATTTGTTATTGCATCCAAAACGCATCGTGCATTTGTGGTGGGAGGCGCAGACCGTGGAATATTTCGAGATGCTTGTAGATATATTTAAAAGTGTCATAGTGTACGAGCTTATGCAGCCTGTGGTTCGAGCGAATAAGGTAAGTCTTTTGACGTAGAAGTAGTTAAAATTACCGATTTCCATAATATTTCGTACTTGTAAATAAACTATCAGATCAAAATATGTAAATTAAATGAAAATTGACGGGCTAGTTGGTCTAATGGTAGTAATGTATTGCTAACAACGGGTCGCGGGTTCGATTCCAACCAGATCAAACTCTTCTAATTTTTCAATTTATAATTTTTCTGACTGCGTCTGGAAATTAAATGTGTGGTAGGAATATAAAACTTCCGTCCGGGTCACGTCCACAGGTGAACAAGCGGCAAAACTTAATTGCGTTTCGGTTTCAGTCTGTAGATTTCCGAATATCCAAAGCCAAAATAGGCCGACAGCGCATCTTGCACCTATCATCAAGTGAACAACATGCCATGTCTGTCCTCGATCGTTCAAAAAAATTACATACTTAATCTGTACTAACAAAAGTAGTGAGTGACAGAGAGAACACTAAAATGTATTTCTGTCTCTTTCTACATGTATACAAGATGATTATAAATGTTTTCTTTTGCAGAAAATCAACTTCACCCACAGCATAGTACAAATTTTAAACGCCTTATCCACGCTAAATAAAATAAACTTCACAAATCCCAAAACACCAAAAATACCAGCGGAGTGTTTTTATATCGAGGACTTAAGCGGTTACGTTAATATTGCTAAAGACTACATGTGCTGGCTTTCTGATCAAGATGTAAGTATTCAATTGTTGATTTATATTTTTGAAAGGCGGATCAATTGGTATTAAAATTCAATAAATACATGTATTAATTAATTTAATTTAAGTAATCAACTAAAACAATATTTAAGTATTATCTATCGTTTAGTTAAAATTCAAATAAATAGAGCCTTAGTCACTGAGGTACCACGGCTAACACAGAAAACTAGTATATTACGCGTTTTAAACCGGAAAAAAATACATCAGTAAATTATTGGCACTGGATAAAATTCTTTTAAATACTGTCTGTAGTTTACGCGAGTAGTACACATTTAAATAAAACACTTCAACGGTTTAAAATGTGCGATGTATGTATCCCCGTGACCACGATCGCTGCAAAACGTCGTCGACGTTTGATTTATTAAATATTATCTACTTAATGTGTATATATTAAAACAAATTGATGCGCCTCTCAGTTTTTATATATCGCGTTTAGAATTAACCTGTTCGCGCCATTAACAAAGCAAATCTCAATTTTAGAGGCTTCGTAAAAGGTCGTACCACTCAGCATTTAATTCGTTACAGTCGACACAGCCTCACCTCTGCAACTACGCATTTCTATTCGACGTACAATGCAAGTCGTTGCTTCTAAAGATCGACCAACAGCTCCAAATGCAGATGGCCATCAACAGAGAGGCTACCCAGATTTTCACGAGACTTTTCATGGACCCGACGTACGCTATACATACGGACCAGTTCCTCAATCTGTCTGTGTCCAGAGCTCATATTGTGAGAGATACGATGCTGCAAATAAGCAATCACGATAGCTCGCAACTGAAAAAACCGCTAAGAGTAAGTTCATACATTATGCCATACGTACTTATACGACTTAGTAGGTCTCTGTAAAGAATTACATTTGCAAAAAAAAACTGAAAAGTGTAAAAATTAAGATTTTTTTATCGAAAAAGAAAATTTTCATCGTAACTTTAGGTTAGACAACAGTGCTTTAGACCTTGTGTCATCTAACGCTTTTTTCTTATATAAATTTAGGCTCATATACCCTATACCTTGAAAAGGGCTTTTTGTAATGTCTATTGTTATTTTTCATCCATAATTTTATAGATGTAAAAGTTAACATTATACCTCGTTATACATTTTTAGTAGCAAATTCAATCACTGTCTTTATTATTGTTATGTCTTAAAAACGATTCTAGTTTAAGCCGAAAAAAAAATGGGTGTATGATTTATTACAAAAATAATAAATTAGTTACAGATCATCACTTTCACAGCAAAATCAATTGTTGTAATATAAGCAAAAATGATACAAGTTTACATTTTTTTTATGATAATATAAACATAGGTGTATGATAAATATGTTAAAAATAATTAGTCTTTATCGATCACTTAAAAATGTCCATAAACTACGCCTAATTTATTTTTTTCTATATGTAAAATCCATATGAATCTAAATTTGTAGGTACAATTCATAGGCGAGGAGGCGGAAGATGCCGGTGGGGTTAAAAAGGAATTCTTTCTGCTTTTGCTCAAGGAAATATTCAATCCTGTGTATGGAATGTTTAAACAGTCCGAGGAAACAAACATGATTTGGTTCTCTAATAACCCCTTTGAGGATGATATTATGTATTATTTAATAGGTAAAGTCATACTTTATTTTTTATTATTGTAACTAATTATGAAAAATCAGTTATTTGTATGTATAATGTGAGGTTAGAGGCAGAGTGGCCTAATCACAAAAAATACTATTTCAAAAGGCGCAAATAATTCGGGCGAAAATGAATTTGTACTATTATTTGTGTAAGAGTTATGTTAACAATTTTCAGTCACTGTGCTCTTGTAGATTAACATTTTTAAACTATAAATAAGACAAGACATAAAATTGCAGTTTGGCTATTCTGGCTCTATCGGACTCATATTATATATGGGTCATACATCCTTACGTATATGTATGATGTTTAGCGCTGAACGAAGTGTAGAGGGGATAGTTGCGAATCTTTACAATCGCGCACGTAATTGAATGGAAAACGAACGTACAAAAAGAAAACGGTGCGAGAAAGACAACACGACTGGGGAACCAATCGACGCTAGCGCACATGACGTTCACTCGCCCCGCGCCCGCTTCCGTCCTTCGTCGTCGATCAGATTCAGCGCTAAAAATCCGTGCCGCTATTTATACCTACGAACTTGGATGCTCTACATCCGCGACAAGAGTCTCCAATCTTAAGTCAAATAAGCCAACTAATAAAAAATCTATTTTTTCTTTCAGGTGCAATATACGGGCTAGTGATATATAACTCTATAATAATTTACGTGCCTTTTCCACTTGTCTTGTACAAAAAGTTGTTAGACGAATCCGTGAGGTTGGACGACCTTTCTGACTTGTATCCTACGCTCGCCAATAGCTTGAAACATCTGTTAGAATACCCTGATGAAGATGTTGAAGAGGTAATTATGTTAACATAAAGAAATATTAGTTTACATTCGAGCCTTGTGGGTTAGAATCTACAGTGGCCAAATGTGTTTTGGCAGATGACAGGAGCTGTATCGTAGATTCATACCACTTGATTATGTTTACCTAAATCATAGTTTTCATATTTTAACCCTAATGTATTAATACCGAATATCAATACAAAGTATTTGTTATTTTCGCCAAAACACTATAATTTTTTTGTAAAGTATATACAAGTTTTGTTTCACAATAAAGAATATTAACATGTGATAAGTAAATAATGTCTGTGGTTTACACGAGTAGTACACATTTGAAATAAATCAATTTAACGGTTTAAAACGCGATATAAATTAATTATTAAAATTATTAATCTCTTTTGCAGAGTAGCTGAAGATGAGAGTGTTTCTGACGTCAAAGTAAAAAGGCATCCGAAACGTCGGACCGTAGTTATAATTACTTTAAATAATATATATCGCGTTTTAAACCGTTAAAATGAATGTGATAAGTTGTTTAATTTAAAGTAATTTTCAAACTTTAATTAATTTATTATAGATACCAACTTGCTATTCTGTCATGGTTAAAGTCTAACCTTACGATAAAATAAACCAGTGTACACTAAAGTACTCAAATATACTCAAATTACATTATACATTATAACAAATGTATTGTTATTTCAGGTATTCAGTCTATGTTTCGCTGTAAATACGGTTGTGTTCGACCAAGTACAAGTTCATCCGCTGAAGGAGAACGGTGAAAATATACCAGTAACACACGAAAATAAGGCAGAGTATGTTGATTTATATGTGGACTTTCTTCTTAATAAATCCGTGGAAAATCAATTCAAAGCGTTCAATCAAGGTTTCCAGAAGGTGAGTTTAATTTATATTATTCTTTACCCCATTTTCTTATATTTACCCAACTTGTCGGGGCTTGGGTAACATTATCTGTATAAGCACATGCGCTTGCGCAGCTGGTGCATTTATATATTTGAACCGATTTAAATTCGATTTCCTGCGTTTAAAATAGGTACAGGATAAACCCTTGACCTAGGTAGGTACCGTAAATTTATCAATTGTTTTTCAAATAGTAATTTTAATGTCCTTAGGTTTCTAGGCAAGCAAAGAGTGATTTTGAAAAAGTTACCATATTTCATAAATAAATAATTACAATTGAACTTTCCCCAGGTGTGTGGTGGTAGGATAATTAAACTGTTCAGATCGCACGAGCTGATGTCTGTGGTGATAGGTAACGAGGAATACGATTGGGATCTCTTTGAAAGCAATTGCGAGTACAAGAACGGCTACAGTGTCACTGACCACCAAATAAGGTATTACACAATGTTAAATTCTTTGTAGTTTACACGCACATTTAAACTACACACTTTAACGTGAAATATACTAGTTAAACTTATTTGAAAAATATTTTAATTACGGCCTGCGTTTCGGATGCTTTGCAGCAGCCGTGGACCCCCGGTGACCCCCCCCCCTAGGTCTCCCCGTGACCACGGCTGCTGCAAAGCATCCGAAAAGTCGGGCCGTAGTTAAAAATCATTTTCAAATAAGTTTAACTAATATATCGCGTTTTAAACCGTTAAAGTGTTTTATTTAAATTTTATCTCTTTTTTTAAAACGCGGTACTACGAATATTGCATCGGCAGCAGTCATAGACTATAATGGAGATAATAATTTTTATTATTTGTTACAACAGATGGTTCTGGGAAGTTTTCCACGAGCTATCGCTTGAAGATAAAAAGAAGTTTCTGCTTTTCTTAACTGGCAGCGATCGAGTGCCGATACAAGGAATGAAAGATATAAAAGTGAGTCTTTGCATCGCCACCTAATTAAAGTTTTTGACTTAAGCTAAGAGACGTATACATTTGTGTGTCCGTTTCATTGATCCATTGTCTATGAAAACAGATCTGTCTACTTATCGTAGATGCGCATGATTTATAGAATGCTTGACCTTTTCGCAACACTTTGAACTAGCCACGAAAGCGGTCAAATAAAAAAGTATTCTTTTTGGTTAGTTCTTTTTGTTGTAATTTTATTTTGTTATGTATTAAAATATAATGTTAACATATTCTATTCCACTAGATATTTATCCAGCCGGTAGCGGACGATCGCTTCTTCCCTGTCGCTCACACGTGCTTCAATCTACTAGACCTGCCTCGCTACAAGACTAAGGAGAGACTAAAATATTATCTAGTTCAAGCTATACAGCAGACCCAGGGCTTCTCCCTTGTCTAAATCTCAAAATGTTAAATCTTAACCACCGTGTGAAAGAGATAGCATTATAAAAAGTGCTATCTGTATCGCACTCATGTGAATTTGCAACACTTCAGGTTATAGACACGTTTTAGATTGCTTTCAAAGTTTTATTTGATAATTTTTAACACTCAAGGAATATAACCTACCTGTTTCCTTAACAGATGATGAGTCTTAATAAAAAAAATTGATGTAAAGTATAAATTAAAGTTCACTTCCACCATATGTTTCTAAGACATTTGAAAAGCATCTTAAGTCTATAATGTTATATTATGGACAAACTGGTGGCTTTCAAAATCCCTTTATATAATAGGGATATAATTTTCGCTAAAAAAATACCAGAAAGGACCTACTTAAAGCTAATTGAATTGAACTATCCAGTTAACTCTTACAATACCAATTAATTGACATAATAATAATTTGATTTTGATTATTTATTATGTATTATTTGCTTATATGTTGAATTATTATAATTATCTTTATAATCGTCACAAAATACTTTTTAAATAAAATGAAACCGAGCCGGATATTTGAAAAATTAGACTAGCTTTTTTTTAAAATTATAACATATACTCGCTTTAAAAAGTTTGCTCACTGCATAACATATTTGTATACGGTTTAATTGGTTCTTTAACAATCTATATAAAACTCCCGTTGCACTATTTAATATTAATGAAATCTTATCTTACTTCCCTCAATACTCTATCTTTACCCCCTTATCCCTTTTAATAAATAATTTATTTATTTATAATATCCGTTAACTAACTAAGATTTAATGTAGTATATATCTAGCACCGGCACTTGATTTACAATAGTGAAAAAATATTTTTTACTAAACATTTGATATTTATATTTCACTACCTGTGTCAGCGACTTCATCTTTATAAATTTAAGCTTAACAGCTTAAACCCACGACATCGGTCGCGCCCCGTCGTTCTTGCGAGTTCATCTTAAGAGATATACTGTCGCGGACATTTTTTTTATTATTTAAAGAGGAATAATTCTTGCATGCATATTTTTGGTTATCTTGCAGCTACACGATACGATTCTTCCGCTGATTTTTTCAATTCGTACCAGTAGTTCCTGCGATTATCGCGTTCAAACATATAAACAAGAACACTAACCCTTCAGCTTTATATATTAGTATAGATCAATCGGATCAGATAATAATAATTTAGCCGCTCGTGTCTGCTACCTTGAACCCAATTAATCAGACAGAAAATGCATTTCATTGTCGCGTCATTAGAAAAACAGTATAACAGGTGTACAATATGAATTTATCTCTAAATAGCCAACGCGGTACAACAATAGTTCTGTACGTCATATCTATTTTAGAAGCAGCGTGCAAAAGGGTGTATATTAAAATTGTGGTTGTACTAAATGTGCCAGCGACTTTGTTTAAAATAGTTTTATTGGGCGTTAAAATTTGTTTTTGCAAACATTATTTATAAATTATAACTGTAAATTAATAATCGTGATTATTAGGAAATTAAAAATATACGACACGGGCGGCATCCACACTGTTCCTTATTATTTCAATAATCCTACCAACCATTTAATATCCAGATTTCCAAATTCCAGCATGTTTCGTGAAAATTTTAAATTGATTTAAATAAAACACTTTAACGGTTTAAAACGCGATATATTAGTTAAACTTATTTGAAAATGATATTTAACTTCGTCCCGACGTTTCGGATGCTTTGCAGCAGCTGTGGTCACGGGGAGTCTCCCCGTTAAAGTGTTTTATTTAAATGTGTACTACTCGCGTAAACTATAGGCAGTATTTAAATTGATTAGAAGGACATTCGTTCCAGTGGGTATCGAACCCTACATTGCTACCATTACTTCAACGAGTGATGTGAAAAATATTAACGTTAAACTCACTATCATATTGTCATCATCAACAGAATGGCATACGGATTGTTATGTGGAGCGAAAAGCTAGCCCTCTAAAATTTGTAGAATAACACTCATGCTAGTTCTCCGTAGTTCGCACGGCGTTCGTGTTTGCTGTTTTTATAATGTCGTTTTTTAATGTACTCAGTTTTTGGGATTGTTATGTCTGTTTATGATATTCTGGTGTATAAACGCGATTTTTTATATGAAGCGCCAATAACCCAGTGATGGAAAGATTGCTCTACCAGCTAAAATAGTTGTCTATTTTCAAAAAGCAATCTTTATTGTCGGGTCCTGTAATTACTCTAGATTTATTAATTGCGATTATCACAACAAACAACAGATGTAACTCCTATAATTTTTTGTGTTAAATAAATCAGAGGATGACATTAATTAAAACATTTTGACGGTGAGCCTGTAATATAATTTTTGTTTTATATATAATGATGTTGTAGATAATGTATATAAGAGCTCAGCTGACCATATAGCTTGATTAGTTCGCTAAAGATAATAATTTTGAAGCATTTATGTAGCACCCGTTGGCGATTGTTAAGGTGTTGTTTGAATACTATGATAATATATTATTTTCTTATTAACAATTATCTTTTATTTCTGTACTAGTCGTACAAGGCTATTTATAACAAGACAAGAATACTAATGCGGTTTTTGACATTTTTATTTCATTATAATAAAATTAACATAATGAAATACAATATTAATAAAAATAACATTTTATATACAAAATAGTTTGCATTCAACAATTCGTTGACTAGGTACATACGAATTAGCTTAGCCAATACATTTAAGCGTAAAATATAGAACGTAGCTTTTTGCTTTCAATTGGCGGGTTAATTTTATGATCATATGAACAGATTTTGAATTTGTTTAGTTATAAAGCAATAGATATTAGCAAGGTCGAAATCGCAACTTTGGCCGCACAGAAAATCGTTATCGATGCGAGTTTATGTAGAGATGAGTTCTATAAATAACCTTATAAGCTAAATGATTACAAAGTAAAAATAAATTATATCTATAAATATTTATGTATGTTCGGTACATGCACGAGGACTTTATTAGGTAAAGTCTTCACAAGTACTCTGCAAGATCATTTATGACTTCAGTGAGGATGAATTATCTACGGCAGTTACTTCGTCTAATATAGGCTTTTGGATACACATAAAAATTCAGATTTTTTTTTGGTTTATTTATTAGTTTTAGTAGAAATACATAATCAAATCGAACATTTTCAAACTTATCTATATTAGACAAAGTATTGCACGTTACGATTAGAAAATAATCGAATCTTAGCTTTCCATTCGATGCTATCGACCATCGATGGTGTGGTAAGAGCCTGAGTTCGATGACCCATGAACAATCCTAAGAACTAATAAGATGATCTGCCTGAGTTATCGTCGTAGTGCTGTGTGCCGGGTGGGACCCTGTAACTGGTGTAGGCGTGATTCAGGGCGTGTTGAGAGAAGAACAACGCATAATCCTTTTTAACCTGAAAAACAATCGTAGTTTGAAAAGTGGAATTGATTTTTATCTATCCACATAAAAAAGCTTCTTAGTGACGTCATATAAGTACGTACTTACGTCTACAATATACCTAACAGTCATTAATCTAAAAGACTTGAAATAATAATAAGCAAGATATTAGTATTAGATATTAGTGCTTATTAGTGGACCTATTTTTTTACAATCACAATTTCCTCTAGAACCAATCTTACTAAATTACTATTAGCGATCTATCTAACTTGATTTTGTGGATGTCTCCACTTAGTTAATACGTTTTACTAAGTGAGAACTAGCTACCCACAATATCACTTACAAACACAGTCCGGCATGTACCGTACATTACTGCCGCTCAGACTTCGTTCATCGCAAGCAATTCGGCAAGCGAATATTGTCGCAGCTAAAACAGATAATGGTCTAGTAAGGAATATGACAGGTTTTAAATCCGTGCGAGTTAACTGGGGACCTGAGGCGGATGACGTTATTAAAGAAACAGGGAACAAGTGGTTCTGGAAGTCCCAAGTTGTCGTTCACGCATTGAAGGTTCTAGTTTTTTTATTAGTTATTCACCTGTTAGTCACAATATGATAGCTTTTGAAAGTACACTTTGATATTATAAATCAGAGATACGAGAAAGTGTTGAGGGTAACATGCGCTTTTCGGGACTTTTAGGGCCAGAAAATGACAAACGTATGACGTGCAAAAGATACGGTGAAAAGTTTTTGCTGCATGAGTTACCTTGCGCGGTCTGCAGGCAGGGCCTTTAGCCAACTGCCTTCTCGCCTCATTTTCAGCGGCGACTGCTTCCTTCACAGACTGGGGTGGCCATTTCATGTCGCCTCTCATGTTTACGCCTCCTAAAACAAACATTTATGTAGCTTCTCTCATTAAGAAAAAACTTAGCTTAAAAAGCCTTTGAAAAAAGTTTGTAAGCTAAGCCGGGATATACTGGCTAGGATATTCCATAAGTCTGATGTCTGGTAATATAATTTATATACAGACCGACCAAAGGAACGTCTTTGGTGCATTATAAAAGCTTTTACGTGTAATAAGCCATCAGCCACACAAAGACGGGAGTAATTTCGAAAACAATATAATTCGAACAATGCACTGTAGCACGTCTAGTGTCTTTAAAGGTTTTATATTCTTAATTTTGTTCTTATCTCAACGATCTCTTCACGTTGTTTATCTACAGCGTGTTTCAATTGTGCAAACAACAATCTACAACAGTGTCGCATAATAGAACTACCTACAATTATTTTTATATTAGGAATGTATTTTTACAAAACTAACAACATTTGTATGACCTAGAAATAATATGAAAAAAGGTTACAACTCTTAAGAAATGTTTTACGTCTAAGAAGGATAGACAAGTATACGATTCATTTGATAGAAGGTAATCCAGCGCGTCTTGTTGAGATGATCTGTTTTTCCATCTAATTAACCCTATACTCGGCTGTCCTCTACTATAACAAAATTTAAACTATTTAAAATTGTTTTTGAAATCATTATTTATCCTATTCACTACCTCTTAACATCAAACGATATAGGGTAAGGATGCGAATACTTGCGTTCTTAGAGTAATTCTCAATAAATAAGAACAACAACCCGTAGATTTTCTTCTTGAAACAACGAATATAAACTAGTGGGAACAGAATAATATAATGTGTCACTATAATTTTTATTGTGTTAACGTCGCCAAGTTTATTTATAAAGTCGTTTGATACTTTCGTTGAAACATTTTTAGAATTTTCAAGGCCACAGGTATATTTTTATTGGTATGCGGAAATTTGGATTTCTTACGTTATACGAGAAGGTAATATATATCACCTCCTTCGATAATGAATACTTATAGATTTCATTAAGTTTCAAGAAGGAAAAATGCAAAGTGTATTTAAATAAAAAAACTGTTTGGATCCTACAAAACATGTTCAGATGGAACTATCAAGATTATGACTTAGTCCCCATTATACATTCGTCTGGAAAACTATATATGAAATAGATTGGGATTGATAGGCCTTGATTTCTAAATAGACAAGCCAAAATATGTTGACAGCGCGTATCGTTTTGACGTTTACGGCCGGAGTATTTCACCTTCCATCATGTGAACATGCTTGTCTCCCCTATCTGTTTTGAAAAATACCTTGAAAAGATGCTGCAGCTGGTTGACTCGGGAAGACAGGGGATGGGGACTGGTGTACCGGTGGCTGTGGACGAAGAGTGATAGTCGCTGGCGGGGGCTCGAATTGCCTCTGAGGAGGCTGGTACACAGGCTCCGAGTACTGCGGTTGGGGCGAAAACTGGGGTTGGTAGGGGTTCGGCTGTGAAAGATAAATAAGCTGTTTTATGAAACTAAAGATCGATGAATGTTCTGAAACAATTAGTGAGTTGTCCCGTTCACTAGGTTTTGCTTAATTTACACTGTGTTAAACAATTGGAATTAAATGTCCTGTTATGATAAAATACAATTTAATTTTACAATATCTATAATTGCATATTAAAAGCTGGCCTGTTAATCGATTTTAAAATTGTACATTAAACTAAAATAAATTTAAATTACACCAACAAACATATTAGATATGAGTAGTTCCCTTTTATAATCTTACCATTATCAAAGAGTGACTTCTTACCGTGTAGCGTCAGATGCACCATGAATACTATTTTAATAATATTTTATTGCTACTCAATTTTCTATGACGTCCATTATAGGTTAGGCGAAACACGAAGGCGAAATAAATGTATAGAATGATTCCCATATATACATGGTGTTCTTATTACAATGAGTATTTTAGGTTATAAGACTTCTTAGCTTGTAAAGCGTTAATAGACTAAAGCCCTCGTGCATGCACTACCTGAGGTGACGTGGGTGCTGGTACGGGCGCCCAACGATTTTGTTGCTGACGGTAGGGCTGTGCAGATGGGGACAATGGACCAGTAGGAACCGGGCGATAAGGAGGGGAAACCGGGGCAGCAGTCACTCCAGGCCCAACCGGGATCAATTTACTCAGTCCCGTGGGTTCTTGGCGACGACCTTCGCTAAAGGCAGGTTGACTCTGTTGGTATTGGTTTTGGGGGCTATAGGATTGGTATTGAGCTTGCGGGGAATACTGTGGCTGAGATTGAGCTTGAGGGGAGTACTGTGGCTGAGATTGAGCTTGCGGGGAGTACTGTGGCTGGGACTGAGGCTGGGGAGAGTATTGTGGCTGAGACGGCGAGTGTTGCGCGTTGTCGTAGAACCCTGGACTCTGCTGCTGAAGAATTAAAAAGGACTATCTATCTTTTACCCTTGTTACCGCAATAAAAATGTGAATTAAATATTCAACCCCCAATTAGTTATTGTGTGATAAAGTCAAGTTTTATAACGAATAAAACAAAGACGTTTAACGGCATTTAATAATAAAAGTTAAAAAAGCAGAACTGCACGTATCGGTGATTCATGTATTGATAATTAGTTTTTTGATCAAATACAACCTCCTAATTTAGATTTAGATCTTCGACCATGAAAGTGTTCGACTTTTTCCTTAGATAGTCTAGTCTTATACTGTCTCTATTAAACCTAAGTAGCCCTGTGAAATTAGATATGAAAAAAAAATACAGTGAATAATTAGCATGCTACATTATTCCCTCTACCAAGCTATGTGCAGCGTATATGTAATATGTACAGTGTTTTATTAAAATACCGTTACCTTTTTAAATAAAACACTTTAACGGATTAAAACGCGATATCGTTTCGGATGCTTTGCAGCAGCCGTGGTCACGGTTTTTACTTTGCCGTCAGAGACATCCTCCATCTTTAGTCTCCCCGTGACCACGGCTGCTGCAAAGCATCCGAAACGTCGGGCCGAAGTTAAAAATCATTTTCAAATAAGTTTAACTAATATATCGCGTTTTAAACCGTTAATGTGTTTTATTTAAATGTGTACTACTCGCGTAAACTATATACAGTATACAGTTACCTGCTGTGGTTGATGATAACCGTTGGTTTCAGGCGTTGGTGGCCACACCACTTTCTTCTTGCCTGCGAGAATAACAACGGTTTTTTAAACATTTCTACGAATACAAATAATGTTTGTCACATAACAAGAAACAGAACATAACACGGCATAATCCATCTCTTCGATAGAAAAGGTGTAATCGTATTTATTTATAAATCAACGAATGTTGCAGTCTAAGTGTTGACTTTACTTTACGCGATTTGTAAACATTAAGATAACAAAACTTTGGACGGTTTAAATTGCCAAATATATTAGGTAGCAGTGACCACCGCTGCTACACAATACGTTAGCGTTTTAAACCAATGAGTGTTTTTTTTTTAGGTATACAGATTTATAAAAAAAACTGACTGTTTTTTTGTACAGCCTGTTTATTAGTGTAAACAAACAAACAAAACAAAAAATACTTTATTTTCACCACAATGTTACAAAATAAACTTAATTAAGATTTAACAAAAAGTAGCGGGAAAAGTGTAATTATATATACAAGTATCTGTTTGTAATTCCATCTTGAAAACCCACGGCTTCGTTATTTTAAAACTCGGTGATATTTTTTTCAATTCTTCAAATGAGATTTCATGTCCTCCTAACAAAAATATCATCAGTGTCCTATCAAGCGATCTTTGACGCATGGTCTTATATTCAACACTGTAAGACAATTATTATGACACATTCCGCTGTAAATAAGCCTGGCCGCGGAGATTTTGGCCTCGCGCCAGATGATAAAGAGGCAACTTTCTTCTGGATTAAATTTAATTTACATTAACGTAAAGATAACGGAAACTTTAGGTAACAATCTGGGTTAAAAAGTCTACATATTTATAGCAACGATAATGTTTTATAATAAGAGAAAAAAATAAAGAAAAAAGAAAAATAGGTTATTCTTAATCGGTATACCTTATATCGGCTGATTCATTCTAAAAGCAGTCCTTATTACTGACTGCCAATGGATAAACATACTAAGTAATTGTTCATATAATTAAGGCGAGATTGTTTTCTTATTTACAAAATAAATAAGCCTGGCCGCGGAGATTTTGGCCTCGCGCCAGATGATAAAGAGGCAACTTTCTTCTGGATTAAATTTAATTTACATTAACGTAAAGATAACGGAAACTTTAGGTAACAATCTGGGTTAAAAAGTCTACATATTTATAGCAACGATAATGTTTTATAATAAGAGAAAAAAAAAGAAAAAAGAAAAATAGGTTATTCTTAATCGGTATACCTTATATCGGCTGATTCATTCTAAAAGCAGTCCTTATTACTGACTGCCAATGGATAAACATACTAAGTAATTGTTCATATAATTAAGGCGAGATTGTTTTCTTATTTACAAAATAAATTGTTACAATTTAACAATCATGTAATGGTCGTAGTTTGGACAAAAGCATTGGATTCAGTCGCAAAAGTAATTTATTTTAAAAGTGTTATTTAATTGGTAGCATGGAATGTGTAATAAAAAAATTCATAAATTGTAATAAAATCACAATTTCAAATAGAACTCTAGATTCCAAATTGTTTCGAATCAATTGAAAAGTTTGAATTGCTAACTTTTAAACTCCAATTAAATCGTACCTAGCTGTGGATTTTATTTGAAACAGTATTTTTTATTTAATAAAACTCACTGTGTGTATGGCAAGTGTTTGCAACCAGCAACCGTCGAGGACTATTCGATAATTTGGCGCTTACTCCGATCGCCAGGTGTGTAGGTGCCTAAACTACTAAATAAATATATTTAAAGATAACAATTTTAAATATATTCTATCTCTCTCTAGCGTTCCTGTTTTCAATGCCTTGGACCTTGACTTGCGAATGACGTCAGAGAATCAAAATAGCAGAATATTTCGACTTGCAAATATTTCGTTACACAATTTTTCATATTTGTAACAACTGAAATGATTGTTGTACTTGCGAACAGGTTATTTCCCGAGATGTTAAACCACAACACTATTTTGATGACACAGATAATTAAAGAAATGATACATTATTGCCACCGCCGCAATAATCTTGTATTAAATATCGCTAAGGTCGCGTTTAGTTATCAGATAATTGCTATTGGGGATCATAAAAACCGTTGTATGTAATTAATGTTGCAATAAAGAGCATTTAATGAGAAAAAAAAATGTTACACTATTTACTTGCCAGTAAAAAATATTTTTCATTTTATTAATTCTTTTTGTATTTAAAATTTACAGCGCTTTGTTTTTTCGTTTAGATTTAGTTCACTGATTTTTATCTTCTCTTCTCTTCTAAGAGCAGAATTATTGAAACAATTAAAGAATTATTAAAAATTACTACGAAAAGTTAGGTATTAGTTATAACGGTATTTACAATTGATTTTTTTTTTATTCTGCCAAAGTCCAGTATCTACCTATAGGAACTCCTTTATCTTTCGACTAGTCATACTGTCTCTTGCATTTTTGGCATGCAATCAGCAATGATTCACCGCACGACCTTACCACTCATTATAGATAAATTTACTATTTTGTCACCGCTAAATGCGCAATTAATCAATTTAAGCGTAAAATAATAGACACATGTGTTTCCAAGTGTAATTATAATGAAAGATGCTAATTAGTTTGAAAATCTCAGACTAATTATAATATATTACTTTCCTCTGTATTACTTATTTATACTTTAATCTCTTAGACAAACTCAAACAAGTCTAAAAACTCGTCTTTCAAAAATACACAAAATGGCGACCTTTTTATACATTTGATAAGGACGCTGCTGCAAAATCATAATAAGCTCAGCTTTATCTATTGTAACACCATGATAATCGAATTTAACACTTTCTTTACCGCGTCTATAGTGCCCTCTCCTCCTCTCTCCCATTGGGCAATCACAATTCTGGTACAATTTCGCTAATCGATTTTCTTGTTATTATTTTTCCAAGTTTTAAAAAACGAAACTCTCGTACTCAGTGCATTGTTAGGTGTAACATGATCATTAAGCTCTTAAGCGGATACGGATCTTAAAGTAAAGCGTAAATAGTGTAAAAGTGTTTACCGATTGGTGTGTCTGAATCAAATAATTGTACAACTATTTCGATGTCCACGGATACTGACGAAAACATTTTAAGTATTTAGGTGATAGCGAGATAGTCATTCGCCACTTGCATCCTCGGGTATAATATTAGATGTTGATTCATGAACCGTTCGCGATTCTCGACCAGTCACCAGAAATAGTTGCGCGTTGCGTCAAACATTATTTTTTATATTTAAAAAAGTGGCTAATGCTAATAAAGAGTGTGGCGACTAGATACAGTGTAAATTTGTTACAGAGGAGTTTTTGCCTTCGATTTCGTCTACTCTCGTGGACGTCATTTTATTATTAAAACTAGCTGTGTCAGCGACTTCGTCCGCGTAGAATATTATGCAAACCTCCTCCTTATCTATATGAATTTAAGCTGTTACTCACGACGTCGGTCGCGGTCCATCGTTCTTGCAAGGAAATCTTAAAACATAGACATTTTTTTTAAAGAGGAATAATTCTTTTATAAATATTTTTGTTTATCTTGAATCGTTTCAGCAGCGTAGGGATTGGAAACTAAGATAATTAATTTTCCCCGTTTTTCCGCGTTTCCCACTGTTTTTTTGCTCCTATTAGTCATCGATGTGTATAGCCTATAGCTTTCCTTGTTAAGTGCTCTTAGCAACACAAAAATAATTTTTCAGTTCAAACATATAAACAAACTAATTCTTCAGCTTTATATATAAGTATAGATATAGATACAATATCAGACACTGTACAAATTTTATTATTTAAAAATAACTATTGTTAATTTCTGCTTTATAAATATTTATGTAGACCGCTACGTTGTATATTTCCAGTGTAGTTAAAAGAAATAAACTTTTTAAGAAGAAGAATATATACGACCCAAGACGGCCATAAAAGTACTGAAATTGTCTCGAGATAATCAAGTTGTATCGATTTTAGAGAAATATTAATCTTATCTTTTTATCAAAAGTTTGTGATCTATTGACGATATTTTTATATTAAACGCCATGAGTGTTTATTAGAAAAACTATGTTTTATTTTGAGCTAATTAATTTATTAACAATATAACTAACCTAACTAATAAATTGTATGTAGGAAAAAAAGAACTACCTACAACAATTCAAATGTATTTCTTTATGCCCTTGAAAAATAATTTATAGACAAAGCAAGGAATACGAAAATAAGATGGTACCTTACCAACAAAGATCGTTTCGAACATTTCGGTCGTTATTCTTTCGGCGCTGATTAAAAACTGACGAAAATGACAAATTTTTGAAAGAAATCAGCAGAAGTGTTTTCCAATCCATGCCAATTACTGTCATGCTAATGACCGATCAACGTCACATGTTTTTGTCATCAGTAGGTGGTGTTGTGTCATACCAAACACTATAATTTTGAAACTAGAATAAAATTCATAATATTTAGGTACTTTGGCAAAAACACGACAACTAAAGTTCACGATAAGAATTGAAGTCATTATAATTATCAGATATTAATGCATATGAAGGTTTATATAAAATTTAGAATAAAAATTCAAATTATTAACTCGAGTTCACCATATACTGTTGCATAAATCATGAATGAAATATTTTTTAACATATCTTGATTTGAGTTTTATCAGAAGGACATATGTTACTATTGGTGTATCCGAATCGTATTTTAGATAAAAATTATACTAAAAGTTTTGATGTTAATAGTAATAAGTTAAATACTTGCTTTGCTAGTTGAATTGTCTTATTTACATAAATATTAACGGCCATTTTAAAATAATGAAAATGTAACACAAAGCTGCCATCTATCTGCATGCAGTATTGTTGTAAATCCCCATCGAATGACACTTTAACCCGCGGCTTAAAACATCACAGGTTAAAATGAATTTATCATCTAAATCTACTGTGACATATACATTATCTGTGACACGGTAACGACGAATGCTAGTTAAAACATTGTATTACAACGAATGTTGATGGACTCTACGCGACTATACCAAGGGTACCTTTGGTAGCCTTCATTAATTCAGGATAAAGATAGGCAGTGGAGTTGATTTGGCCGTTCCAACTACGGACTGTTTTTTGAGTTTGCGGAGGCCAAAGGTCCTCGAAGCGATGTTTGGCGTGCTCTAGATTGTCCAAAATCGCCTGCACTTGGGTAGGATCTAATTCTGATAAAGCAGCGCATAGATGCGTTAATATTATAAACTACTAAAGATTCCAAGTCAACTTAAATTTGCCGACGAACTCTGTAATGCAAAATTGTCTACAATATTTTGCCGCTGTATGGACGACTATTGTTTGTCCTACCTTTCCCAAATCAACTTGCTGGTCTTCAAATAACAACGTGTACAAAAAGCACAAACAATAAATGACTTACTTGGATATCCTTTTCTATTTCTTTCCTCCTCCTCTAGCATTCTAAGGACAGCTGAGTTTGCAAGGTTAGCTGGCTTGTCTGTTGATGGATTTTGGAAGTCAATTCTGAAACAAATGAAATTCGCATTTGATTTATTGAATTCGTCTATATTAGTGAGATACACTGTCAAAACAATAAAAGAACAGGCCAAAATTATAAATCATTTGAAATGTATCAATTGTAATAGATGTAAAGAAGATGAAAGTAAATTGGCTTATTACAGTCTGTGGTATATTAGGTACATATAGTATGTACATAGTATAAATTAAGCATAAACGTGTACAACTAATAATATTGTTCATTTTAATAACCCAGCAATAATATTGCATTTAAAATGTTTTACGATGTATTTTTCAGTAGTTACGAGAGATGCGCCGAGTAACACTTTTACCGAGTAACGAGTACCGAGTTTTACCCTATAGTTTATATGTATAGTTTTACTAATAAATACTTTTGAATTAACACTGTTATTTTAATTATATATACCTAAATATATCGCTTTTCAACAAAGTATGTTAGTTATTAAATAACAAAATATAATCGAGTTCTTCGGACGAGTACGAGTATGAAAAACTCGGCAAGTACTCAGTGTATTGAGTATCAATCGAGTACTCGGCCCATCTCTAGTAATTACGTTTACGTAACACAATCAAAAGTATCTTAATAAGCTTAGAAAGTCTATTACCGCGAAATTCAACGTTGAACTTTCCCCGTTTACCCAATGAATCAATTTCCATCGGTGCTCAGAAAGTCAATCACAAAAACGGTAACTTTATTTAAGTGATATAGGAAACTCGCCGTGGGAAAGAGGCGCAAGAACTTGTGACAAAGCGTGGGCAAGAGTGAACTTCGCGATTGTGTTTCACTTTCGATTGTGTCAATCTGAGATACACTTTACACAAAACCTTTGACATCGGTGAAATTAAACAAACGTGCCTTTTAAATGTAAATAGTGACCTTTGTTATATGATAGGCGACTACTGTAGCTAAATGGTTAAACGTGTTGCCTAGCATTGCGTTAAGCGCGAGGTTCCAATCCCGGGGGGAGAAAAAACGGTTTCAGTTGGGCGTAGCATAAAAGTCCGAGCGACTGATTACCGACCAGTAAAACGGACACAAAAATGTGTTCGCCCCATGCCCCTCGGAGGAAACGGGATTTGACTATTACCTTTCAGATATCTCATGTTTGTGGATGGTGACGCAGTAACTTGTGTAAAGTAAGGGGATAATGACGAAGGCTTTTTTATGTTACGTGTCTTAAGATATGCAGTACAAAAGAGAAATTGTATATAGCTTACGCGAATAGACATTGAAATAAAACACTTAACGGTTAAAAACGCGAAATATATTAGTTATATTGTGTTGAATTTAATTAACCTACGGCCCTACGTGGATACTATGCAGCGATCGTGGTCAGATATTAGGTCAATCAGGTCAACAAGATAGGATTCTGAAATCTGCAGTAATAAATTGAAAAACTGTAGAACTTACAAAGCGCAATATACACACTAGGTACACATACAAGTTACATCTTTTTCAATTTCCAACGAGATACTAGTCGTCACATTTTATGTCATGTTATATACCTGCGTTTCATTCTTATCTTATTTATTTTTTTATTGTTTACTTATAACAAGTGAAACAATAAATTAATTTACCATATTTCCCAAGACTTGAACTCAATCCTTAAGTTTCATGACTAAAACAATGGCCGCTTTTTGATATAATTTATGCAATGGCATGACTATTTATGGAAAAAAATAAACTCTTTGTTTGTGTCGAATAAAATAATTTTAACTATAGTGCTTATCCATAGACTAGCTGTTCCCGCGGCGTCGTCCGCGGTTATTTTGAAAATTATATTCTTTAGTTTTGTAAACGACCTCCTCAGCTATATATATTATAGCTGTTACCCATGACGTCGTCCCGTCGCTCTCGTGAGATATAAGATATTTTGCATCATTTAAAGAGTAATAATTCTTTTAAACATGTTTTTTGGTTTTTTGAAACGTTTCCTAACGCACGCAACGGAAATCAACAATGATATACAATTTCACAATGACAAACAATTCAACAAACAAACTTTTCAGCTTTTTAATACTATTATAAAAATATAGATTTAATTTAGTATTATCTGTATGGATGATATTCAGAAAGGTAATGTACATGTTACATGTTTGTCAAGACATAAAATCTACTATAATTTTGATTGTTTTAAAAAACATAAAAGGAAACAAATTTTGAAATTTAAATACCTACCCTTTGAATGACAATTTTTTTAACAGGTTTAAATTTGGAAGCCTATACCTTTTGCAAACAATATTCTTCCAATTAAAAAAATAGATTCTTAACTCCATTCGTGTATATGTTTTTTTATATGTTTGTTCGCGCTAATTGCGTCGTTAATGAACCGTTTTGGATAATCGTTTTTTTTTTGGCGCTGGAATTCAAAATAATATAATACAAATATTTATGAAATAATTTCTATGTAAATAAATAAAAACCCGTATTACTTTGTGCTAATTAAACAGACAATTTCTTCAATCTTTGGAGTTATTTTTTATTACATTGTTATTTTACGCGTATGTAATCTTACTAAGCTACCCGTGGTAGTAGACTAGCCTTAATGTTGATATTCCTTATTTGGTCTGCTATAAAAATATAAACAAGTTGGTCTACTTTCTACGTTAAATCTTACTCGTTTTATCGTCACCTTACCTACTAGTACTTAAAGATTACGGGGCTTGAGTCACTGTTACTTATTACTTGAGTATGTATAATTATGTATTTTGGCTTCGGTAATATATTTATTTATTAGTCAAATCGACGCTATCATCGCGTTGTGCAATAAATCATTATTATGAGAATACCATTGTCAATTTTATACATAATTTTAACTAAAATAATAGGGCCACGCAAAATGCTACCTTGCAAAATGTATTTTTTATTTATTAATCGAACTGCAACTTGATCGCACGTTTACCTCGATTTCCATTTAAGGTAACGCGATCAAATGTCAATGTCATAGTTATGGTGTGCTATAAAATAGAGTATGTCCCTCTTGTTTGTCCGGGTTATCGGGCCCTTTTGTTAACCTGAGAACTAATTAAGCCGGGCATTTATGGCGATCTTGAAGAGGGCTTTGTAACTAATTTCTCATATTACTCTTAAAATAATTTTACTTAAAATGTAGTAAGTGCTATTTGTTAGTAATTACTAAGTCATCATGAGTAAGTAAGTAAGCTTACCCCACGTATATTTTATTTGCAAGTTATTAAATAAATAATTAAGACATTTTTGCAAAAAAACTAATATTGATGATTTCAGGGCGGTATTATTTTATTCTTTGGTATGACTTCTATTTCGACACTTGCCAAACAATAAATGTATAACTTACTCATCACATTCGATGACCAAAGCCATATTGTTCACTAGAATAGCAAGACCTATTAACCACTTTGTTTATTAAACTTTAAGGCTATAATGTTCCTGATTTTATGCCAAATATTTTGATGGAACCAACGCTTTTATTCTGTATATACTTATAGCCTATATATTTCTTATTTCGTATTTATTAAGACTTATAAAACGATATTTGCGCACGAGTGCTGCGCTTAAGTACCTCGACGCAACTGCCTAGTACTTGATTCATCTGTGCTTCTGTGTTGACTTTTTGCATTCTCTCGTACGAAGATTTTATCTTTTAATCTCTTAATAATTACATGCACGCGATCATCATTTGATTACACAGGTCCGGTAAAAGTAATGATTGAAAAGTAAATTAGTTTACACTCCGCTTCGACGGTACTTAATTGAATTGTTATTAATTATATTAATTGAATACTAACCATTTATTGTTTAATACATATGTATTTACGTAGCACGATAAGTTCAGTTAAAATACAATATTGAAATATGGTATATGGTGACTAATAGGTATTTTTAACGCAATATATTTTAGTTAAACGTGTTTAAAAATTATTTTAACTACGGTCTAACGTTTAGGATGCTTTGCAGCAGCCGTGGTCACGGGGAAAAGTCGGGTTCGTAGTTAAAAATAATTTTCAAACAAGTTGAACCAAAATATATCGCGTTTTAAACCGTTAAAGTTTTTTTATTTAAATGTGTACTACTCACCTACAGACAGTAATTACTATGGTATGTGATTATTGTTGACGTGAAATTTAAGTGAGAAAGTGACCTTTAACCGTATTTTAGAAAGTATATAAAAGGAAGTTTAAATATATATTTCGCGTTCTAAACCGTTAAATTATTTATTTAATGTGTACCTACTACTCACGTAAAAAACAAGCTTTCCGACAACAAGCAACTTAAGTAAATAATATTTCTGTGACACAAAACTTTTCATTATCAAATTGATTTTGAATGTATATGAAACTGTATAAAAAACCTTTGATACAAATAATGTGTAAATTTTTTTCATAGAACTTACGAAGGTTATTAGGACTCATTTGTACAATGAGGATAGCCGTTTCTTTTTACGCAAAACTTTTTATTTATTAGTCCGTCAGAGGAGAATAAAACAATTGAAATGTTTTTCGCTCGACGCAATTAGCGAGCCTAGTTCATCACGTCTCTATGCGAAGTTTATAAAGTGAACAAAAAATATAACAATAAACATCTACGTGCCGCATTATTTTAAATCGTGATTTGAATAAATATCTCTTTATAAAGCCAAATTGTGTCCGAATGATAAAGGCGCGTTAAGTGAAATTTCTCCACCACCAGGCTCTATATATTAAAACAATAACATTTATAAAGAATGAAATACATATATGAACAGACAAGAGTGTGTCGAAAATAATAGATAATCCGGTAAATGACCTGACAATTGGGACTTAACAATATAAAATAAAATAAAACCATATACTTAAATTAAATAAAATCAATGAACACCTACCTATGATGAGATAGCAACCAATAGAATGACCAAAAAACGGAAAAAAGAACTAAAAAAACACAGATTTTTTTATAGTCTTACAATCTCTCAATACATTATTGTTCTGCTATATAATATCTAAACAAAATACGCTTTTAACGACTTTGGATTTTTCAATTCTCTTTGGATATTCGGAAATCCACTAAATGAAATCGAAATGGGATTAAACTTCACGACTTTTCATTTCATGGTTGTTCGTAACCAGGACGAATATCCAAGCTTCTAAACGAAGTTAACATGTTTAAGAAAAATTATAAATTATTTAACTACTAAACGAATTTTCCGAATATCTGAATATCCGACTCCTTGATCGTCAGTATATATATAGTCAGATATTTTCGTCCTAACCTCAATAAGTCCTTTTGCATTACATTAGTTGCAGACGTACGTATCGCGATATTTTAGTATACTTTGATGCATTATCAGGAATGCAGTGCTGGCTGGCGACTGAATTACTGCCTAAATGTCAGTGTTTGGGACGGTGTTTCGTATGATACTTATGGGTCAATAGTCCCATAAATATAAGACAACTAAGTAGTTGACACAAATAATACACGATTTTGTATACGAACGGTATGATTATGTATCGTGTATGTTTTCGGGAGAAAATAAATTAGGATTACTAAAATACCCAAGGTATACACTTTATATTTCTTAATAAATTTATATATAATTATATTTAATACAGATTAAGAAATCAAGTACAATAAAAATTATTTTGAGTACTTTAAACATTCATTGTTTTAAATTAAAAACTACGACACGGAAGGGATTTCTACCGGTATCGTCAGCGTTCTGTGGTGGTGCTGTTACGAATTGAGCTACGGTGTCCTAAACGTCATTGTCGAATTTCTTCATCAAATTAATGACAAAGTGGAAAATATTAATTAATATCTATGAAGTCATCTTGGAAGTTTCAGGAACATGATAGAAATAAAGATTTTGGGGCACAGTTAACTCTATAACTATTGTTTTATTAAGTGATTTTTCTGTCTTCTGTTTAATTATATATTTGCGTTTACTATTCACATGGATCTTTCATTCATATGTTTATGATTAATAGTAAATTGTGTCTCCATTAATATAGCTGTTACGACTGTTGATAAATTTAATCGATTATTTTAAACGATGATCTTAGATCGAGTCATCGCAATTGAAGTATTCGATAAGATTGATGCGTGAACACGCGAACACGTGTGATTGGATGTGATTCATCTCGTTCGTATGGCAACGTTTGAATCTTGCTGATAGATTGTTCAAGAACGATACTGAATTGCTTCAGCTACGCACGTAAACAATAGATGTTCGACGTCGCGACTGCGTGTTTTACGAACTGTGAACCTAGAAATATATAAAGTATAAAAAAATCTAAATCACATTTTCCGTTGGCATTTCTGTGCCTTGTACACCGATTAGTTTTACAGGCAAGTAGCTGATCAGACTTCTATGCTCGACCGAAACAATCTATTGTTTCCCAGGGATCTGAACCTCTCGCACTTAACGTAATGCTAGGCAACACTTGTACCTATTTAGCTATAGACTGTCGTGTCATACAGATGCCATATACAGATGCGATATCTAGTATATGGGCAAAAATTCCGAAGCAAATTCTAAGGACACTAGATATATTTTCGTCTCCAATCTTCAAAAAACAATAATATTATTACATTTTAAATAATAAGAATGTAACAGTAAACAACACATTTTTTTAAAAGTAATTTAAGTTAGAACGTAACAGACAGGTAATATTTCATCGTTTTTTATATAAACGAATGTACGAATGAGTTTTCACGCTTTCACATCACAAAATAGTATCTAACATAGACCAAAATGCTAAATAAAATTAATCTCACAACACTATAATTAAAATTCGATCAAAGATTTTTAAGAAATAATGTGAACCAGAATAGGAAATAAAATACTGTCTATAGTTTACGCGAAGTAGTACACATTTGAGCAAAACACTTTAATGTCGACGATGCAAAGCATCCAATACGTCGGACCGAAGTTAAAAATCATTTTCAAATAAGTTTAACTAATATATCGCGCTTTAAACCGTTAAAGTGTTTTGTCATAATAGAAATATTTTTTTGGTTCCCAACATACATAATACATAGCCGTATTTTTTTGATTTAAATACCTTTATTTTATGAATATAGTTTTACATTATTAGTAAATATTGACCTTCTTAGTTGCAAGTTAAAACGGAAAATGTATTCTACGCTGCCTCGGGCGATAGATGAAATCCATTGTTTTCTAAGTTTCGACGTTAATTAAACAATAAATGAATGTTAGGTGAGTTTAATATACAAAGTTTTGAGTGAATGAGGAGCGAATAATTATATCTATTAATTCATCCTCGAGCTTTCAGGAGCATGATAGAAATTAAGATTTTGGTGCACAGATAACTCCATATTTTTTTTCAGTAAATGGTTATTGATCAACAGTTTTTTTAAATATTTATGTTTATTTTTAAACAATATATAAAAAATTTTAGGAACGATTGGCATATTGCATGTGACTATATGAAATTCATTTAATAGCTACACAATACTTAACGCGGGTAGTAACACATTTAAATAAAACATTTAAATATGATATGTGATTTACCGCCGCAAACATTGCGGCCCTTGACCACGGCTGCTGCAAAGCATCCGCAACGTTGGGCCGCTGTCAAATTAAAATGTAAATAAGTTAACCAATATATTTCATGTTCTAAACCGTTTAGAGTGTTTTATTAATATATCTACTATCTATATTTAGAACAACTCATATAAGTCGATCTCTTCTTGTGCTACAACAGTAAAAGAGACCCAACTACATATCTAAATGTGAATTGTAATGCTTTCTTTGGGTTCTGGACAAACTCACCCCACACCCCCATTGTCGAGATTATGCAGGTGCTTGTTGAGTGTCTCCTGGATATTCTGTTGCGAGTAAAGCCCCATGGGCGAGTTGAACTGCTTGTGGACTAACTTCGGTCCCGTCGACATTTTGGAGTCGTTCGTTGCGCTGGAATTTTCAATAAAATTATTAATATAAGAATGGAAAATCAATAAATTAACCATTTTTCACATGTCACGACATAAAAAAAATCGATTTTATATTTAAAAAAGCACGGAACGCTGTAGACGCCAGCTTAAGTCCTGCCCGTTTCTATTTTTTTTTTCAATCTAAAATAGGTTTTTAATCAATAAAAAATTTTGAATTATAGACTCTATCATAATCTAAATAAATATCCTTAGATATTGATAAACTTCTGTCTGCCTTTCCTACATTTCCTTATATTATAATTAATAGTAAAAATACATTTCCATCATTTGGTGAATAGTCGAAACGTCAGTGTCAATTTCGACCTTATGTTATAATTTTATTACATCAACGTAAGATTCACGCACGCTGGGGTTAGGAGCAGAACTCGTCTCATTGCGATTTTATTATACCTGCCACCTAATACGACGGCCATAATATATTTTCCGTAATATGTCTGTGGGCTTGTACAAGTTATCTGAAAGGCTAAACATGTTATTGAAAAATCCGAGCAGCGAGTTGAAATATTTTTATAACTCCTCAACCTATCTGCAAGAATAAGATTTAAATTCAGTTTATTTATGATATACTGACACACACACACCCCAGCCACAGAATTATACAAGATGTGTTGTTAACCTATGTTGTCTTTGGACATTCGGAAATCCACAGACTGACACAGAAACGCTTGACGGCTTTTTCATCTGTGGAAGGTGTACGTAACCCGACGTTTGATATTTCTACGACTCATTTTCCATCCAGATTTACAGACCACGACCAATGTGTCTGAGAAAATTAATAATTGATAAGAAACGTGTTGGATTCGATGGGGACCGAACCCACAACCCGTTATTAATTAGCCATACATTCCTATCATGACACAAACGAGCCCATCAGTTAGATGTGGGTTAAATTAGAATGAGGGCTGACACATATCTGTGTCTGTCTCACTGTATTATGTTTCCGGGGAATTAAAACCCTGGACTGTTCTCGCTCATCGCATTGCGTTTAATCATTCAGCAAAGATAGCGATTTGTGATGCTTGTAAGGATTTGTAATTCTAGTAAAAGCAGAAATTCCACCGGTTACTCCTCAATGTTTATTTTAGCAAATACCAATATTGAAAGTCTCTGCAGGTTCCTGGGAAGTATAAGGGTTCTGCAAACGAAGTGTTGCTAGTGTCTATAATCTTATTAGACGAAGCGGGAGACGAAGTAAAATATTCCATTGTTTCAAACCCTCTCTAAAGACTACAGCTAAGCTTCTTTTAGGATCATCTTAAGTTCTGACAATGACCTTACCTAAACCGCATCAAATAGAATTGATCTATCATATATTTTATAGATAGGTAGATCAAGATTAAAAGCTTAATAAGTGCTCACTGTTAACGGTTTGAAACACGATTTAAAAAAAGCAAAATGTGACCGCGTGAATTTGTGTGTGTCATTATTATTTTTTTATTACGTCAATTAATAATACACAAATTTAAGTAAAATACTTGTAACGGTTTAAAACATGAATTGTATTTATAGACATTTTGCGTTAACCGTTAAAAGTGTTTCATTAAAATGTGTACTACTCCCGTAACCTACAGGCTGTAAGTCTTATAATAAATTAATAATTTTATTTTACGCGATTGTAGTTTACGGGAGTACTAAACATTTAAAAAACTTTAACAGTTTAAAACGCGATATATTTTAAGTTAAACTTATTTGAAAATTATTTTAACTAAGGCAGATGCGAATGGAGCGTTTCAGATGCTTTGCAGACTGAAGATGGAGGTATATTTGCCTGATAACTCAGCTATTCAGAAGGAGTGTTAATCGTATCGCTTATAAACACACTGTCTGACATTTCAACGGGTTTCCTGGTTTAATGGGTGGTATTTGTAAGCTATTTGAATAATAAACGCAGGTCTTGATTCAAGCAGTTATGTTGAATGAACACCCGCTTACGTCTAAGAGAGATTTTTATGCACTTAAAACATAAAATAAATAAGAGGGTAGTCAAGCTCGCAAAAACATGTCGTGTTTTAATTTATGTAATATTTCATTTGCATAGACAACATCTATTTAGATAAGGACTAAATAGAATCTGTAGTTTAAGTAAGTGGCAAACATTGAATACAACACTTTTAACGATTTAAAACGCAAAATATATTGACACTTTTTTACAACAATCCGTCTTTTCGCGGTCAAGAGGAATACAATGTTATAATCAATATATGTAGGCGCTTTAAACTGCTTAATGTGATTTATTTCATTTAAAAGTGTAACAAAGGCGAAGAGAGATGCACGCTGCCTAGTCATTGAAGTATTCTTCCGTCTTTAATATATACTGTAATTTTATGTTGCTGTACAACAAAGATATATTGGGCACAATAAATTCCAGAGGTGAGTGGGTGTAGCGAAAACCGTAACTGTTTAAGACAATTTCGCGTTATTTTGAAGAATCGCTATCTCTTGAGAATCGTTACTCTTTATATTATGGTATATAACTTTAATACTATGACGTTTATTAATTATAAAAATTTACGACTCCGGCGGCTGAACCGGCATTCATAGCCGTGCGTCTTTCTAACCAAAAAAGTTACCGCATCATCGGCATTATGTGAAAAATAATAAAACTCTATTACGATGACATTTATGTTTCTCCTATTGAGTCTGTTCACAAAACTACCTTTGTTTTACTGACAAAATTATCCATAATTCTTAATAGTTCCGAAATGTGTAATAATTATTTAAGGAAAAGCGTGCAAGCCTATTTTAATATGAGATAGCTCTTTATTACAATTATCTTGTTTCTGTAACTATTAAACTAATAATCTAAGCTATTTTAGAATAAGGAAACCTTGCTTATTAAAATATCAAATTTTATGAGGTTATTCCGCTGTTATCGAAAACCTTAATTATTATGTCGTAAAATTTTATAAGAATATTAATAATTATATGTCAGTTTGATAATATTTACTGTGTTTGAAAATGTTGGTTAAAAACTTTATTGTTGATGTGTTTCAAATAAAGAATCATTTTTGCAATTTTAAGATGGAACGTAAAAATGTACTTGCAAAGTAGCAGTCATCCGTTAGTATTTAATTATCTGGTTGGAAACAGGATTATGTCGTGTCACAAGCCGATGGATATAACAAAATTTTCAGAGGCAAGGTCGTAAACGACGCCATCAAGGTTGAAAACAATCTCGTGTATTCAGACTGCGCTGGTCCGAAATAGTTTGCACGTATTTTTAAAACGACTAGCATATCTAAGATTAGACTGAATACTAATTAGAAAGTAATTATTGAAGGTTAACTGGTATCGGTAGCTATTTGCAATTGTAAATATTTACATAGTGTTTGAAAATACAATGTCTTTTTTCGTATCCGTTTTTCCTATATTTTTATTGTATTTCTCTTAATGAACCAATATACAAACTAGTATTACCTAGATTAACACTACTTTAAATTTGTCTTATATGGAAAATTTTTTTTTTTCATTAACAAGCATGTGCAAATTACGTAAATTTAAATGGCCCAGCAATGAAAAATGTAATACGTCCACCATTTTGGTTGTAGACATTCATATTTCGCTAAATTAGATTTGGGGGCTAAATTGTTAACTGAATGCCTATGGTTTCCAATTTTATGTTTTTAGTTTGTGCTTTCAGCAATGGAATGAAGCTAAATCTATGATTTCATATTTTTTATTATATTATTTGTAATCGTTAGATGACGTCATAACTAACATATTTTCGTGGCTGTGTCTCTCAAATTATCAATTTATCATATATGAATGCTGATGATATTTTGATCCAGACGGCGAGCGTCAGTGAAAACGAGACGGGCTATTTCCGTACGGCGAAGTGATAAATATCTATTACTGTCAGTGCATGAAGTTAGTGAATTTGAGTCGGACGTCAGGTGAGAAGCGAATAAAACACATACGTTCAAAGCTTTTATTAGAGCGATAGTTAAGTTTGATATTACCTTGTGCGGCGTGCGGTCGTGCGAGCGGTGACGGATCGTGGCTCTAACTGAGCGCTGGGCGGCGTTGGGCGGCGGCGGGCGGGAAGGCGCCCACGCAACCTCACCTGTTTCGTGATCATGAAAACCGTTGAATCACGTTACACTGCACTTGAAAGTTTTCACGGTTTCTCAACGGCTTATATATGCAATGACATAATTTATTTGTTATATATTTAACCTTTAGAAGCACATGGTTTGTACATGAATATTTTGCAAACTAGGAATAAATATGAATAACGACTAAAACCGGAAATTTATATAAATAATATAGACAAATGCAATAGTTTAAGCACCTATCATTCGCGAATATGATGTAACTAATAAGTACTTCATAAGTACACGATGATTGTAATAATTTATTATTAATCTAATTATTACACGTAAAAAACCAACAAAATCCCAATAGTGTATGTCTTGTTACAAAAATAAAAGGTTACTTTTCATACGCCAACCAAGCTTACCTCAAAAACAAACGCTGAACAATCCTTGAACTTAAACCTTGCACTAATGACAACGATGAGTGCGACAGACGATCTCTTGAAGCAACCGCCTCCGAATGAACTATCTTTCCACTGCGATAAATGAGAATTTTATTAAACATATCATCTATATTTAGCTCGTGGAAAAGTGGCGTAAATAAGTCTCCATCTCATCTAGACCCCGTTCGTTGTAGGGTTATTGATCTCCGGTCGATTTCCGCACTGAGACTGAAAATGCCCGTTTCGTTTTCGAAAAGCATAAGTTCGTTACTCGATGGGAACTTTAAAATTGGAACTCTGATTTATTACAACGGAAATCAAATTGTAATCAAGGCAACGCGAACGGCGCAATTATGGGCGCTGTAGAACTTGCTCCGCTACTTTTTTTCTTGGAAAGGACGTCCAATACCAATAGAATTTATGTAAAGTATTGCGTTTAGATGTGAAATCTTGTGACTGTCTTTGTGACTTTATCATACTCGATCGAAGCTATTAAGTTTACCGTGGTTTCAAACTTAATACCGCGTCTAATATCTATTTTAAGGTTTATTTAAACGAGGATATAAAAAATATAATAAATTAATATAATTTAATAATTTATTTATTATAATATCTTATCAATACGACTATTATCTTTACTAAGCGTAGTAGTGAAATCCCGTATGAAATGTGTTCGCCCCATACCCCACGTCCCTCGCTCTATGTCCGTTTCACTGATGGGTTATATTTACGTAAACAGTTTACTGTTTCCACAGTATCCGAACCCAGGACCTCTCGCGCTTAACGCAATGCTAGGTAACAAATTTAACTAATTAGTTACAGAGGCGGTATTAAGCGTAACGACTTTAATTAATTGCAAAAAAGGATGATAAAACAATGTCGTTTACAATTTCAGGAAGAATAGCAAATAAAATGAAACATTGAGTTATTTTTAGTCGAACACAAACACACGCGAGCAGGTGCGGCGTAAGCTGTCCCTGTAACAGATTTTCATGAAGAGAACTTGTACATTAGTGTCATAGCAATAAAAATGTATTATAATAATACAACAGTTTTTAGAGCCTCTTATCCATTTTAAGACAGAAGATCATATAGTAATACTTCTTACCTATTAACGTCCAATACTTGGGCACGAAAGAAATAGATATGATGGTCCAAAAACCCACTATGTGTACACAGTGTTTTTTAAGACACAGGAAATGTATAAATACATGACATCTAATATAACCTGGAAGATTTGACACATTATGAATTAGTTAAACGTAATTGCACTGTCTGTTTGCGCAACTACTACACATTTCAATTAAACTCTTTTAATGGTTTTAAACGCAAAATGTTAAATTAAATATTTACAAATTATTTTAAAGTTAGTACTTTTTATGTCAATGTCAATGTAACTTTATTTATTTGAGTTTAAGTGCACGGTTGCATATTAAAATTCCTCTGCGTAACCTTCAGATTTAGTGTAAAATATAATAATGATAGGTTATACACATTACATATTATTACAGATTAATATAGTATGGGTCCTAAACATACTTTTGAGAAAATATACTAGTGGTTTACGCGAGTAGTAGACATTTAAATAAAACACTTTAACGGTTTAAAACGCGCTACATTTTAGTTAAACTTGTTTTTAACTACGGCCCGACGTTTCGGATGCTTTGAAACGTCGGGCCGTAGTTCAAGTGTTTTGTTTTGTGTTTGTTTTTTTTTATAATTATGTCCAAAATTAATCGCGTTTTAAACCGTTAAAGTGTTTTATTTAAATATACTATATCTTTAGATATTAATATAATGAGTTTACTCTATTTTTTTATTAACAACACACAAGCCTACTCAATATATGAGAAAATTGATATTTCTATTAAGCGATCGCATTAACAATAAAAATAAGCAAACCAAGTTCAGACTATTCCCACATTAAAAACATAAAAAATAATATGACCAGTCCACGTTTCGAATTTACTCATTTGGAAGAATTGCAAATGCCTTTTTTATTTCAGTGTACAGGCCTTTTGCGCTGCTTTGTTTCAATGTACAGTCAAAACGAAAAGAATATAAGTAGGTCCTTAACTTTTATTAAGTTCTTTGTTAATATAAAAACTCTTTACGGATCAGTGGTAGAAGATTTACACAGTTAGTAATAAAGATGCCCCTTAGTGTGTTTGGATTCTGGTTACATTAATAATCCTTCAAATATAGGTCCTAATAAACTGCGACGAGTTCGTAGGTGTAATGGTAGCAATGTAATAATCAACGGGTCATTGGTTCGATCCCTCACCGGGTCCACCGTTTTTCTAACAAATCAGTTTTTCCTGAAATTGATTCGGGGCCGAGTAAGGCACAGATCACTGCCCTATCAATAAAACCGACATGCCCGTTGTTATACAAAAAGAGTTATTTCGTTAAACAAATAGTAATAATGATATGATTGGTATGTACACATCTCTCGCTGGTGTGAATCCTACATGATGTTTATTCTGCCCTTAAAGATTAGATTTGCAAAAGAATAGCGAGTGTTTGTGCCTTAGAAGGTAAATATTAAGGTTTTATTCGTACTTTCTATGTTAGAACTATAATCACACAAAGAAAATTATTGATATTAAATACATATGGGTTTGGACGAAGTAAAGAAAGATGACATTAAAGAATTATAGATGGAACAAATAGTAAGATTCTGTAAGGATACCGGAAGGTTTGAAAGGGTGAGAGTTGGATATCCCAAAAACCTTTGCAAGGAGGATTTGGGTAAATAGGTGAATTGGTCAGCTGATGGTGTAGACTGATCACCTGGCCTTACATAGGTGTCCCCGATAGAAAATAAAGTAGTGTCTATAGTTTACGCGATTAGTACACATTTAAATAAAACACTTTAACGGCTTAAAACGCGATATATTATTTAAACTTATTTGAAAATGATTTTTTACTTCGGCCCGACGTTTCGGATGCTTAACAGCAGCCGTGGTCAAGGGGAGACTAAAGATGGAGGATGTCTCTGACGTCAAAGTAAAAATTGCTACGCTAGCACCATCTGTTCCGTCGAAGTTTGTATTTGGCGAAACTGGGCGTGACTAACGATGTCTTCGCGTTTGCCGGTATGCTGTTTATTGGGATTCAGAGTTTTTAATATGGGATCCCAGGTGTTTGATAATTTGAGACCGTCCTCCCTATTGAAATTTTGGTGTTTTTTGATTTCGTTCGCGTACCAATCTTGGAAAAAATCGACTCTCCTTTGCGAGGATTTTTGGCTGGTTAAAGCGAATGAATGATTGGGCCCTTCCGATGAGTGGTGGCATACCGTAGATTTTGAGAGACGTTTATGTTTTATATCCGCGACGTGTTCTTTAATTCTGTTTGAGATGCTACGCTTTGTTTGGCCTAATGTCATCCCTAAGGAAGATGCGGAAGCAATACGGCAGGATATATCCTGTATCCTACGCTCCAGCAAGCCGCCTAAACACAATCTTTCCCTAGCGGAGTTGACTGCTCTCAATCAACTAAGAGCTTTTATTATTATTTTTTCTTCATTCACGATTCTGAAGCACCACTTTGTTTATTTGTTATCGTGAATATATAGTACACTAAAGTCTAAAAACTCTAAAAATAAAATTATCCTTAATCCTTACGTCGGCCGTCGAAGCACAATGGCTAAATGTGTTATCTGGCATTGCGTTAAGCACGAGAAGGTCCTGGGTTGAAATTGCGACGGAAACAATAAATTGTTTTAGTATAGCAGGAATATGAAGTTTGATCCAGTCGTTAAATTTTTTGCGTGTTAATAAAAAATGTAATCGCACTAAAAGAGAAACAGGATTTCTCATACATATAAATAAATGTGCGATATTACATACTTTCTCAGTGCATACTGGATTCTAAATCATTGTGATATTTATTCAACACATTTTTAACTGACAAAATTTTGGACCTGCTCAATGCAGAAATATTCTAGTCCAAGCTGTGTAAATGAACAAGTCGGATATCTTCACGTCACAATTTTATTAAATTCAGTTAAGACTGTAAAAAAAGAATCACGCACAAAATTTTCTGTCTATCTAATACCAGAAATTATGGTACAACTAATATTGAAGAATTGGATCTCATTAGGTATAAGTATATCTGAGTCAAATGAACAAGTCATTCTTCTAAAGTCGGTTAAGTCGTTTTCATAACAGAGGCGAGTTGATCACGTCGCCTTCACCATAAAAGAGATTTCAGCTCGAGTGAGTCTCGGTATGGCTCTGATTAATCAGTGAACACACACATACAGCTTTATACAATTTAGACGTGATTTCAGTCGGTAAAAACAGTCTTACAATGAAACATGTATACCATATGTAGTCTTCCACAATTTAAAAATTAAAGTAATGTTAAAATCAATGCAAATTAAATACTGTCTGTAGCTTACGCGAGTAGTGCACATTTAAATAAAACACTTTAACGGTTTAAAACGAGATATATTTTAGTTGACCTTTTTTAAAAAAAGTTAATATTCATATTTAAGAGGGAGGCAAGGTAACTAAACCCAATGAGTATTGTATTACTGATTTATTTGACTTAGTTTTGAGATAATTTACGAAATTATGAAAGTAGAATGATTAATAATCTAACGTAGAAGTATTCGTTTTAAATATAAACACGTGTATATGCATTGACAAAGGTTGATGATGATTCATCCTAGGAATGCTAAAAAATGATATTATACCTCTAAGAGTGTTTGTCCAGACTTGGATATGAAATTAAAGTAATAATATAATAAGACATAGTAATCACAAAACAATATCACTTTTAATTAAACTACACCGAAATGGCAAAATTAGATCTCAAAAAACATTTGGTTAATACATCTCTCTACTCTACCTATTAAAGCACTTCGGCGTATAATTACTATTGTAAAGTGAGGTAATTAGTTAAAAGAACCGGTTGTTACCATTAAAGGTTACATGCTATAAGTTTTACTTCAGAAATAGTTTTGCTTAAAAAAGCCTTACAGAAAAATTCGTATTCTTACAAGTCTATTTTATCCTATAATGAAAACCCCAATGTCATAATAGAAGTGGTTAAAGCGCTTAGAGAGTTTCAGAGTAAGCTGATAAACATATTTTTTTATTTTTTATTTACACTTTATTGAACAAAATATGGAGTGCAATGGGCGGCCTTATCGCTAACGAGCGCTCTCTTCCAGGCAACCCTTGGTGGTTTTGGTACTACCTATTTCAAAGTTCTGGGGTGGTTTTTTATATAGTCTTAGAAAAATACCGTATACCGACCGACCGTATTTCTTGCTTCCTGTGGAGTCAAATCCTGGAATCCGCAGTCAAGTGTGAAACAAAAGCCAAGTTTGCAGTTTCCTTCATAGACAAGAACTATGACGTAAGAGAAAAGGATATGACGTAAAATAAAAAGGTATGACGTATTCTCTATTACCTTCGCATTACGATAGCGAGGACGCTTGCATGTGACAGATTGACAAGAATAAGCTGAGTAGTCAGCAACAGTTCCATTTATTGACAGACTGGAAACTTAGACTTATTTATTTATAGCTAACTTTCTTTTATTTGTATACTTCTTTAATATGTAATGTCTTGAGGTTTATTACTATGAAGCTATGTTGAATGTATGTAGTTTTTAATCAAGGTAATAGTATTTAATACCAGATGGACTTAGAATCATACCTAATTAAAACTTTGTATGCCCTTTCATTAATTTTTTATGATAGAGGAAGACAGGTCTTTTGAGAAAGATCTTTTGGAGATCACTTGATGTTAGTTGAAATACCATAGCCATATAACCAACATTTAAATAAGATGAACTATTTTGACTCTGGATAATTGGATAGCGAATAAACCGCTTCACGTGATGTTCGACCTTCGACGGAATGTAGATGGTAGGAATCTACCATCCACTTAATATCCAGAATTCCAGACGAAGTCCCACATATTTCAGAAAAATAATAAATTGATGACGAACTTGTTGGACCTGGTGGGGATTAAACCCATTTGATTATTATCAGCCATACAATTTTACCATTAGACCTTAGATTTTAATCATTCTTACTGAAATTCAGATGGTGTATAAGGACTTCTATATACTACCAGAAAATATTTCTACATTTAGACAAAATATCATTGTTAATAAAAACTTACCTTACGTTTCCTGCTAATATACATACGTTTAAATATAAACAAAGCTTTAAACAAATAAAATATTTTCACGTACAAGAAAACTTTAGAAGCTACCTTACCTCAGTAAGTCTTGAGTAATGTTTTCTCTAATTAGTATTATTTGTTCGCTGCAGTCGTTCTTAAAGGATAGATGGCTATTCTTATTGTTTAAGTGATCGATAGTGGCGAGTCTTCGCTTACCTTTATCTTGGAACAATTAACAGTAACAATGTAGCTGTCCTTTGTTTCCAGTTTAATATTTAACACGTGTGTGTATATACTTTTAGTATTTCTCTGAGATAATACTCTGTAATGGCTTCTCTCGTTTATGTGCTGCAATAAATACATAGCACAGACAAGTTTTATTTCCCTACAATTCCAACGAATGTATCTCAATTAAATTAGTAAATATTTATAGATAATGGGACAAGTCCCATTATTTATAAATATTTACTAATTTACTATCAAGATAGCTTTGTTTGTTATAACAACTTCCGCTTAGCAGAGCTTGACACAACTGTTGTTGCTTCGAAATCTTCCAACCAACCTTTTGTAGATGTAATATTTTAATTGAAAGTCGTGTAGTTTAAAGGTTAATTATATCATAAAAGCGTTAAAAAATATAGTTATCAAAATTTCCGCCACGTTAACATTTAACTTCATTAGTTCACGCCGATATTAATAACCAGGTCATCACAAATTAACATCAATAATCATTTTATCGGGGATTTAATGAAACAACATTATCTCCGTTCGGTTTTATATTTCAACTTATACATGTACTAAACTATACAAAGTAAGGCTTGTAAAGCTAGACTTAAAACAACAGTGAGGCAATTTTACATTTGCCCAGCTCTAAAAATGCAATATTCCTCACTGTTCGAAATACAAAACTATAGAAGACAGTCTTTGGATTGACCAATAGCGGAGTTGGACAGCTCTAGCAGGGGTTTGACAGGTGTCTAATAGGCTAATCAAACGTCAAACTCCATTGACAATTTACCAACACTGTGTAATAAACTGCAATTAAACATACAAACGAAATTAGCTCTACAAATAACATTTTAACAAGATTATAACTATATGATTATTATGTACACAAAGCTTAAGGTTAATGAAATAACGACTAAATTTTGATTAAGAAGACACTTATGAAGTAAATAGATCAATACTTTTTTCTTAGACTAGGAGATTGACATTTTTATTTTGTTTGGAGCGGAAAGATATGACTTTATAGACTTGTATCGGTTTAGTTTTGTTGCCTTTCGTCTTCAACTGAGCTACTCGCTTTCACTTCTTTGGGTATGGCTGACTAGAAAAAAAATATTTTATTGTTATTTTTCGCACAAACATTTTAAGCAGCTATTTCTTATTTTTATTGTACTCAAAAATAGTATTGTCTGTAGCTTACGTGAGGAGTACAAATCTAAATAAAACACGTTTACCGGTTTTAAACCCAAAATATCTCGATTGCTTTTTTTATTAAAATTATATAAAAGTAATTTTTCAAATATCATATCATTGTCTTTCGGGCTGTTCGGCCGATATGAGAGAAGAGGTCTCATCGCAACGAACCAGCAACACTGATATGCTAAACGATGGCCGTGAAAGCCTTACACAATTTATTATTTTTCAAATATATTTATTGTTTTAAACAGTTAAATGTGTTTTATTCAAATAAAGTTAATAATTATCTTTATATATGACTGAAATCTTGATCTTTATGTATGAATTATGTCTGAATTTTTCCATTCAAACCAAATAAATCAATTTTGTACATACAGAAATTGTCAATGCGTATAAAAATCAAGCAGTGAAGTGAAAAGCTATTTGCGAATCGTTCAAATATTAAGAGATTCAACGGGAATACCTCAAACGGAAGTAAGAACATGTTGTTATCGGATCGTCGACCGAAGCGAAGTCGCATAGAGGGCGCCCGCACTGCACGCTCTTGGTCCTAAACAGGAAAACTCGTGAACAACGCTAATAAAAATGAACAACACCAATAACAGGAAACAAACTACCCCCGACACGTTTCGGCCATTATATAAATCCGGGTTATTAGCTGTTGGTTAGTCGAAACCACAAGATGTCGCGTAACGTTTAAATTTTATTGATTTCAATCAATTTTTATTTTTCAAGTTTATAATGTTTCTTAAATGAAGCTACATAAATAGCAACTACCGGTTATATCGAAAACTATTTATTTCTATAACCTTAACAGCATTTAGACTTTTAATATTTCTTTTACATCTCTGCAGCGGAAAGGTTGCGATCAAACTCCATAATGTCGGATGTCCTTTTTGCCCACAAATCATTAAGTAAAACGGACAGTAATTTTATGCTTCACGCTTACTTTTCACTTTTTTGTAATTACTCAACTTTACATAGTTATTTGGTATAACGTTATTTTCATGTCAATAGCAATATTTAATTGTCAAAATTAGTCCCCCATAATTACAGCAACATTTTAGACAAGTTTAATGCCTGTAGTGTACTCAAATACTACATATTCAAATGAACCACTTGTAACGGTTTAAAACGTGCAATATATTAAATTATTTAAAATTTTAATTAACTACCGACCATCCGCGTCGTTTTAGATGCATTGTAGCAGCCGTGGTTCCACCGTCGTAAATTAAAATCGTTTCCTAGTGTTGAGCGTATAAACAAGATACCAAGAATTCATTTCCACATTTGAAGATAAGCTTACTTAGTACTGGCTCGTAAAATTCAGTTATAACTAAGAATAGCGGTTTGTTAGGGTCAATAAGTTCATTTTCCGTTATACACGATACCTCGGAGTTTATAGTGTGTCTTGGAATGGATCAATAAGGCGTATAAGCCTCCACACAGAGGTGTTTCAATCACAAGATTTTCAAAGAAGAATTTATTGCTTCTGCTCTATAAAATGATCCCTTGTTTGGGAATCGTGTTTTGTATGAGAATTTTGGCGTATATAAAATATGACCTTACACTATGCTTTAGTAATGCACTCAAGAAATCTTACCGTAATTAATGAATGTTTTAATGGATACCAGTTCAAAAACTGCCCGCGTCGTAACTTTTTTTTAAATTTAAATATTTCTTAATAAAGATGATATTGGTCATATTAATTATATAAAGTAGTAGTACTATGTACAGTAAGCTTTGTTTTGAAGTTTTTTGTTTGAAACAGAGATGAAGTTATAGTCTTATGGGCAATTGTGACATAGAATACAATTATAATTACAAACCAATTACTTTCTACGGCGTAGTCATGTTGCTACGGCGTATCAAAATTAATAGATTTTATTATAATTGAATCAAATACGCCACACAAACTTATTTGGTAATAATTGAAAACCCAAAAATTAATATTAAAAACTTTTGTTGAGGCCCCATACATAACAAAAATGTTTATTATTAACTTCCTTACCAATAATTCACGATAAAAAACATACCTCTTGAGGGAAAATGTGTGGAACAGCTCGTTCATCTGATCTGCGACCGAAACGGAGGCGGACGGGAGTGCGAACATCGCGCAGAGACAGAAGTTCATCCAATTCATCTAACTGTTAAAGAAAAATACGTGTATTTTTTGTAGACCCAAAACATTTGATTAAAACGAAGAATATTGAATCTGAATGTATACTTCATAAGTTCTTTATTCGTTTAGAAAACAAACAAATTGCTAACATCATGGCGTTTTTTTGATGGCGTAATGTAAAATGTGCATTTCACAGAATTCTGTAAAAATTCTCTAAGATCTGAAATCTCTAAGATCCTGAGTTAAATATATCACTGAATAAAAACTCAAGCACAACAAATCTTTTGTGCAGCAACCGTTTTATATGTGATCCGGATTTTATTACATCAGCTGTCTACTTCCTACAGATATTAGTATTAAAATGCATCTTAGATTCAAGAATGTACCGATTAAAAGATTGTTTACAAATATTATTCCTATATTTGCTTATTTTCCCTATTTTCCAAAGAAATCGACAATCGTTATCGACTCTAAGGCTACTATAATATTTTGTAATTAAACTGAGAGCTGAATGCAAACGGAGGAAGGCTGAAATAGTGTTGAAAAAGAAGAAGAAAATAAAGAAGTGTTAAAGCCGAGACCGCAACCAAATTAAGCCACATCAGTAAAGATCATAGTGTAGTCTACAATTGACGGAGCACAGTCCAGTATTATAATGTTTGTATTTTGATGTTACCGTCGTGTGAAATCAGTCACATATGTTTCACTATCGGTGGACATGTGAATTATTGGGTTCAGTGATTCATATAATTTTCAACGTTGGGTAAAATATGCCTCTATTTTTTTTTAGATGGAAATGTATCTTAGTTTATTATAGTAATAATACATTTGTAGGCAAGTTGCACATATGGAGATAAAAATACGAGAAAAGTCTTCGAAAATATAGATACATAACATAGTGTATTGACGACATACGATATCAAACGCTGCGATAGATTATTCGTAGTATCGATACTAAAACTTCTGTACAGTTTAAATGAAAAATATCTAAAGATGTTTGAGATGGAGATAAGGTATCTAAATATGAGATTCAAGAGTCAATACGAATAGATTTCATGGTCATTAAAAGCGAGGGTTGGTTATTCGATCCTAATTGAACTTTCCGATACAATGTTACGTTACGAGTTATTAGATAGGACATTTTATTAGAGCTATGGTCTATTTTATTTTTATCTAGTTATTTTATATAATCTATTGATTATTATAATATATAGCTATTTCTTGCTCTGAAATTCTTTATTTGAATTTCTCAGCTACGAAATTATATATGTGTCCGTTTCACTGATTGGTTTTATTTACAGGCAAGAAGTGGATCACACTTCTGTGCCCTGCCTGTCTAAAACAATCTAATGTTTTCCTGGGATTCGAACCCAGGACCTCGTGTGCGCATTGCCAGGTAACATATTCAACCATTTAGCTACACAGGCGGTCTAGTCATAAAGTATTATTCTTAATTGCATTCAAGCCTTGCATTTACTATTAAGCGATTCATAAATAAATGCTAATACTACTATTAGCAGCTCTTTTTGCTTATTCAGATATCAATAAAAGATAGAAAAAAAATATGATAATATTATCTTTTGTGTATATATTTAATTAAGTAGAAAAAGGTAACCTAGACGGTATTGAAAGTAAATTTTGTATTGATCTCTTATTAAAAATCTTGTTACGGCCTAAGATAAAACTCCCGTATCTGAGCTACACGTTTGCAAGATACGTTAATGATACTTTAGAATTTTATGGAATACTCACAGGTGCTTGAGGTGGCATATCAGGGTCTGAACGACGGCCGAAGCGCAGACGGCGAGACGGTGACCGCACGGATTTACGCGCAAGCGCATGACCTCCTAAGGCGTCGTGCTGCGCCAGAAGTGCATACAGACCCCCCAGAGCATCCCAACTAGACTGGCTATCTGATACTGACGGTGAAGCTATAACAAACAATGTATTATAAAATGTATACTATGTACATTCTATAAATTTACGACGCAGGCGGAAGTTGAACCGGTACGCACAGCGTTTCTTGCCGCTGCTCTAAGCAACTGAGCTACCGTGTCATTTCCCTAATTTACAATTTCTAAATAGACATTAAACCGACCAAAATATAATAACTAAATACTACTCTTTTAATGGTTTAAAACGCGAAATATATTTTCAAATTAACAGTTAAATTTATTTTTAAATAATTTAGCTACTATCCTACTTTCCGGATGTTTACGAATAGCCATAATAAAGAGGAGAACTGTTTAAACCGTTTTAATTGTTTTTTTTTATGTGAACTATTCGCGTAAATTACAGACAGTCACAGTGACACAGAAATAGAGAGATTGCTTTATAATAAAAATTATATTATAAATAAATTGTAAATGTTGTTTCCCCTTTTAAAAAAGTCCCTTTGAGGACAACTCGTTACGTTTATACAAAGTAATAACAGTAGTTTATATTGCATTTCTAGAATTTCATTCCTAGAAACACTATCCTATAATCAAAATAACGAAATTATGCAAATAAGAATCTAAAGACAACTATTTATCTTGCAGAACGTGTGTTAACGTCGATTTTCAAACTCACGATTGTATTAGTTCGTTAGATGTGTCAATATGGTTGGTTTGAAGATTAAACTTCAAGTAAACTAATAGGTCTAATCAAGTGGAACGTAGCTTGCATATTTGGAACGTAACCACGGCGCAACTTGTGAGTAGCTTAATTAATTTCATAAACAATACTGTGCTTCAAGTTGCAGTCTAAACTTATATATACGAGTAGAATCAGACATTTAAAGATGTTTTTAAGTAAATACTGTCTTTACGCGAGTAGTACGCATTTAAATACAACACTTTACCTGTTTAAAACGCGTTATATTTTAGTTAAACTTGTTTGAATTGTTTTTAACTACGGTCTGACGTTTCGGATGCTTTGCAGCAGTCGTGGTCACGGGGAGACCCGAGGAGAGTAGCCTTACACGCTTTAAGCAGACTTTATTTTAACTAATTTACATCATTGGATGACCATGGCTCTTGTGAAGTATTCGAAACTACGCGACATGAATAAAAATAAATTTAACTGATATATATCTCGTTTTAAACCGTTAAAAGTGTTTTATTTCAACTGAAACGTGACTAATGTGTGTTCTCCAAAAATGTGAGTTTATTTGTCTTTAATATTTTGTAAGCAATGATCATAATAATTACGAGCCCAAATAATTTTAAGTTGGAACGTTTATGTCAAAAAAAAAAAAAAAAAAAGGGGTTTTTTTTTAAAATTTTTAAAAAAAATATTTAACTGCCAGAATAACACGTCAAAAAATCCCCCTTTCTTAGTACCAACGCATTTAGCATATGACGGTTTAAACAAAACATTTTAACGGTTTAATTTTAATTCAAAATTTTAAAAAAAATTATTGTTTAGAAAAATTGATATTTAACTGCGGCCCGAAACGAATTTCGGATGCTTTGGAGCGACAGCAATCGTGGTCACGGGGAGAAATATTGACGGTTTTTTATTGACACATACCGTTACAACAATTTCAAAACGTCACAATACATTTTCAAATAACTTAATTAACATATCGGGTTTTAACCCCATAAAGTTTTCTTAAATGACTACTATCATAAAATAAAGATAGCCACAAGCTGCAGACTTTCTTTATAAAACGACATTTTACTCAACATTCCTTACCGTGCCAATAAATATTGTCGATTGTCATATTTCTTCGAGTGACAAAATAAGCCGATTTCCAGGCTTAGTCACGTTTTTCATCGACTGAATAAGACAGCGTTGTTGATTATTTCTTAAGTATGAAAAGTAAATCGTTTTTCTATTTGTAGCAATTTTATTTATTATTTATTTTCTGGAAAAAAGGGTTTCAGCTTAGATACCAGTTGCTAGCTCAAGTTCGCGATTTAAGGAATATTGTCGGTTGCTAGTTTGCGTCAGCCTGAACACTCTTTACACGGCTTTTAAATGCAAAAATATTATTTAAACTAGATATTTAAAATAAATTTTTTTTAAGTAACGGCCCGACGTTTTCCAAGGATGGTATAACTCCTGAAAAGCCAATAATATTTTCAAATAATAATATATTTCGTGCATTTTAAACCGTCAAAACTGTTTTATACGAATAATGCTACCTTCAAGGCACCATGGAATATAGATAGAAGTCTAGTAATTAACACTTTCCTATTAAAATTGCATGTACATATTAATAATCCTTTGTGATAAGAAGGACCTTTGTATTTCTCTTCGAGATTCAGCCCCTATTGACACAGTATTAAATATGTAAATTCAAAGACCGCATAATTTAATTAATTAACGGTAGTTCATTCAAAGGGTTTCAGAAGAATACTTCAGCATTAAAAATCTACAATTATTCTCATAATAAAAACTCTACTAATCAATTTAAAAATCTTTAATTGACTCGGTAGCTCAATTGGTAGAGCAACAGCACGGTGATGATGCCGGTTCAAGTCCTGCCCGAGCCGAAAATTTTTTCAATTTATTTTCGATTTTTAAATTGTATAGTGCCTTCATGTGCAATAACATGTGAAAAATAATAAAGTTTGCAAACTCTACTAGTGTTGAAATTAAATTGATTTAGCTTCAAATTAAATCTCCGTGTCTCTGGGCTCTTTCTTGAAGAATTCTTATAGTTAGAGAGCTAGAAAGTAGTTTTGTAGTTGGTATTAGGTTGGATTAAAGGCAAGGCAGCGTTGCAAGGAAACGGAATGCCCCGTAATCCTCCTTAGTGGCTTCTTCAGTTGAGATTATGTTTTATCTGCTCGTTGCAACAATGAATACTAAATTTGCTTTGTTCTATTAAATCAGTTATTTGATGACTTAGGTATACTCAGATAATCCTAGTACAAGGAGACTCCAGAATTAACGGGATATATATATGACGGGGCTGTCTAATGTTAGCAATAAATGGCTAATCAACAGTCGTGAGTTCGATCGTAACTGGGTCCAAAGTGTTTATTATTCACTAGCTGTGCCAGCGACTGCGTCCGCGAGAACCGTTCTTTTGGGCATCCAAATTCGTTTATATTACCCACGACGTCGATCGCAAGTTAACCCTCAAATATAGACATATAGCGTCGCGGACTTTTTTTACAGATAATTTAGAGAGGAATCATTCGTTTATGCAGCGTACGCCTCGTAAACCCATAATAATATTTAATTTTCCCAATTTCTGTCACATTTCCCGCTGTATCTTCGCTCCTATTTATTGCAGGACGTTTTATAGCCTTCCTCGATAAATGCTCTAACACAAAAATAGTTTTTCAATTCGAACCTATAGTTCCTAAGATTAGCGCGTTCAAACAAACAAACTTTTCAGCTTTATATATTAGTATAGATATATAATTTTCCCGACATTCGTTGGACTTCATCTCAAAACCTATATATATATAGGTTATATATATAGTAGGATATTTATAGTAGGATATATATATAGTAGGAATATCGCAATTACGTCCGAGTCACGAATCACCGTCCACAGATCAAAGGATCGAAAACTTTATTCGCGTTTCATTATCAGTTTGTGGATTTCTGAATATCCGAAGCCAAAATAAATCGACAGTGCATATTGCGACAAGTGGCCCCCGTGCTTGTCTGCCCGCCTCTAGTATTAAAGAAGGTTCAAGAAAATCAATCTGTCGGTGGAAACACGCGTTAGTCAAATGTCATTGGGTTTAATATAACAAATATAAAATACTGTCTATAGTTTACGCGAGTAGTACAAATTTAATTAAACACTTTAATGGTTTAAAACACGATATATTAGGTAAACTTATTTGAAAATGATTTTAAACTTTGGCCCGACGTTTAGGATGCTTTGCAGCAGCCGTGGTCACGGGGAGACTAAAGATGGAGGATGTCTCTGACGTCAAAGTAAAAATTTTCAAATAAGTTTTACTAATATATCGCGTTTTAAACTTTTAAAGTGTTTTGTTTAAATAACAAACATATCTTTCGCTCTTTTTTCATGTGTATCACTCGCGTAAACTACAGACACTTCACTATTGTGTGAATCCTGGCGTAGTTAATAGTATTTTCAACTGTTGTCGGTGAATACTATCGACTGCAGATCAAGTGCCCAAGGGTTTGATATCCGAAATATAATAACCGTATTTGAAATTTTTCTAAGAAAAATATTTTGAGCTATTAGTATTGTTAAAAACACAAATATAGTAGCGCTATCCCACGTCTTACAAGCTTAATAATTAATTAATTAAATGTAGGTGTTACAATGGTACGAAGAGCTTCAAGTAAGCACCTTAAAATTGTTGAAAGATATAAATTCTACAGATAAGAGTACTCTGCACTTAAAAACTTTTAATTGCGACGTCATTAAGTCATTACCCTGTTAAGATGTTGTATTTTACGGTCAATAGGAACATGATAATAAAAATTATTCGTATTTTATTGAGACATTTCATTACTTAAGCCTACGTTATAGTCGTTAAATGATTTAATTCTACGGTTAATGGGTTACGTGACGCGAACACGTAGCTTAGATTTACGAGTCGAGTGATGTTTGTTTATGGTTGTTGTTATTAAAAGCCAGACAAATGTGGACATATTGTATCAATGTAATTGTTTGCATGATTTTATATTAATTAGAAAAATTCTTAATAATATTTGTATTGTATTATAGAATTTTAATTTGTGTTGTTTAAATTTTATATATGGAACGCTGCGGTATACGGATATTCAAACTGTTCTAACGTCGTAATTAAGGTATGGTTCTCGAAGTTTTGTCATCACGAGTGGTAATACCATCAGAAGGCAAGATTGTCTTCTGTCAAAGAACTTAGATACGTCCTCTTGGACAGAGATAAAAATGTGTTTGATTGCTCCACCTACAGAGAACAAAAACATTTTTTTAGAATTTTAATGTTTTGACCAGTTAATATTTAACTTATAACTCATGTTATACGGAACTATCTCAACTCAGTTAAAAACCAATAGATAGAGGGCACGATATTGTTACGATTTCTGTATTATAAAATTGTTTAAATAAAACAGTTTTAACGGTTAACAACGCGACACGTGCAACGTTTCACTCTCGTCAGCTGCGGCAAAAAATCCGAATCGTCGGGCCGTAGTTAAAATATTTTTTTAAGTTGAACTAAAACATTTCGCGTTTTAATAAGTAAAAGTATTTAAATGTTTACGTTTACTCACGTACACTACACGTACTATTTTATAAAATTGTTTTCTAAATAAATATATTTTTTAGTTATTACAAATATATTATTAATAAGTAAGGTTACTTTATGTTACCATTCCTATTATAGCACAAACTTTATTAATAAATATTATATTTTTATTTTACCTGCGAAGGTAAGTTTTTAAGTGTTTTATCAAAATTCTTAACATAATTGCACTCCGAAGACAAAGACTACCATTAATATCTTTTGATTGTTTAAAATTTAATGCTACTTAATAAATTAAAACTTTGAAATCCATTTACTTGGATATTGATGAATGGCGGTTTTGTTACGATTCCATTGTCTTGTTTTAGATTTAAATGTTTCCCGACAAGACGCAAAAGCGATCGTAAACTGTTCTCAGCAAAACAAAATAGGGTAAAAGTTAGGAGATGTAACAATTTTACACGAAAGTTAATGTTTATAACTTTTTATAAAGAATGTGAATAACTATTGCAAAGTTAGGGATTTTTATACTTTCCGGTAAGAGGTAATTTTGACCTTGTACTTGGACACGATTCTTTTTATAAGTGGGATATTTTTGATCTCATATATTTTAAAGCTTTTTAAGAAAATAATGTATCCCTTCATATGTTCAATTGATTTACGAATATGTTCCCCAATCGAATTCATTACCCGTTGTAAATATATTAATGATTGAGTTATTGTTGCAAAACGTTTTTTTTATGATAGATGAAAAGTGACAAGCACTATGACTAAGACTAATCCATAATTCCAGAAAAAATATAAATTGATTAGAATCATGTTAGATCCGGTGGGAATCGAACCCACAACCTGTTACTACCATTACATCAACAAGACCGTCAAAATTACGCCCGTTAATTTACGTCCCTTACACGACAACTCTATGCAGCTTTAGAACTTCGTATTTAATTGCTAGCTCCAATCTGTTGTGAAATTAATTCCATGTATATGTCAAATAAGACCAAGTACGAGTTAGATTTATGGCTTGAGCGGTTGAAGTGAATAGTTGATGTGATATCTCACCGTCATATTGTGAAATTGCCTGCGCAGAAGTTGAAGGCGCCCAGCCGATAGCCATCGCGCAAAGCGCCAAAATTGCTAAGTTCCCGGACATATCTGAAAAAAAAAACAGTCTGTAGTTTACGCGAGTAGTACACTTGTCGCCCCATGACCACGGATGCCGCAAAGCGTCCGAAACGTCAGACCGTAGTTTTTAAATGAGTTTAACAAATATATATTTTTTTAATTTACGCCGCGGGCAAACCTTGAACTGGCATCCACAGCGTTCCGCGCTGTTGCTCTAACCAATAGAGCTACCGTGTGAGACACGTAACCGTTTTTTTGCCGCTTGATGTGAAAAATATTAAAGATTTCAGGCACAATGATTCATCAAATTTTCAGACTTGTTTCGGCCTGGCAGGGCACAGAAGTCTGATCAAGTAGTATTATACTTGATCTTAATCTAATGAAGCCAAATATTTTAAAAATATCATGTAAAAATTATACATAATAACTTGTCTGGCTAAGCCGAGATTAAGCAATAGCGATACTAAGTACCATGTTGGAACATTCAACAAGTAGGATAATACGCGCAGGCTGCGTGTTGACGCGGTAATCGTGACGTCATTAATCACGGTTATCACGTCTGTCACGTCTGTCACGCCCTACGCTTGTCACGCATACGTTTTGCGGCTTCGGCAAAATTACTGCTACGCTTTTTATTTTCGTACGCGTAATGTTTTATCACTAGTTAAAGCGATTACATTGAAATCTACACGTGTAACGCTCGTGGCTAATATAGTTAAACATTAACTATACAGACTCACACAAATATATTTTTTCCTGCCATAGAGCTTAATTTAGTTAAAAATGCTGTTGCTGTGGTTGTTGGTGTCATATTATCAAGTCGATCCCCTGTATACTACTACTATACTAAACAATGGTTACGGGGGGAATCACAACATCAAAGCATCCGAAACGTCGAGTCGTAGAATTTATTGTAAATAAGCTAATGAATATACTATATCGCATGTAAACCGTTTTTTTTTCTTTAGGTGTGGACTTAGAACACTCACGTAAACTACAGACAATACTTAGTTAAAGACTATTTAAAAAGGATGAAATGAAAGCAAATCTACGAATATATTTGATAACGATTTTTAAGGCTATACTTAGAGATATATTTTATCAGAAATGAACCATGGAATCATCTTATCAAGTGATAAGTACATTGTACGTTTGTGAATTTGGGTGGTCGCGAATAAAAGTTCGGTCTCTTGGTTTGAATATGTTTTTTTGTAAATATATATTCATCATATATCTACATATCATATATATCATGTTCTTCTTCTTATTCTTTATGTATTTCTGGATCGTTAATGAAAATATAGACATATCGTCCGGGTCACGAACCATCGTCAACAGATAAAAAAGCCGTCAAGTCAAGGAAAAGAGTTAAACACTTATCTAACAAAGTTCATGAAAGGGTTTATTATAAAAATCTTTGAACGGTGGAAAATTAACGATGTTATCGCGGGCAAAAGAAGTCGTAGGCCAGACGAGATTGAAATAAATACGAAGCGGCCGAACATTGTCATTTTATTTATTCCCACTGCTCTAGTCGAAATTTTTATACAAATTCTTGCGGAGACCATTCTACTTTATGTCATACCGCAATATCGCTGGGCCCGGAATTTTTATAGCCGAAAATGTTTCTGTTAATAATAATGTGATGTACGCTTACAATTTTAATAAAATCCCGCCGATGTAAATGAGGTTCTTGGAAATTTTGAACGGTCGAAATTACCAATTTGTTTGTATGGGTATTCGTTGTATCTTGTTAGAAGTTTTCATAAAGCCATATATATGTTCATGGCGTTATGTCTCGCGTGGTTGTATTATTCTTAGTTAAGTTTAAATCAATGTAAAACAAAAACTGCTTGGAAAAGATTATTATGACGTTAATCAATATTTAAATGGTAAAATGCTTGGGGTGTGGAGGAACCTGTTCTTACAACAAAAAATATGTAGTGCACGTAAAGTACATGAAGAATGTAAAATGAAAAATTGGCGATAAAAAGAGTGACGGCGAGTTTATTGACAGTTCTTCTCGTTTGTTCTACGCCCTTGATTTAAGATTTGGTGGTAAATGTACAGTTAGATTCTTTAGTTTTGTGACGTTCTTAAGTGTACATAGTTACTTACATTAATAAATGCTATTTCTTTGACTTTAACATTCACAGTGTTTGGCTTGTATGTTAAATTGTTCTGTATACTTTTAACACAATTTAAATTAAATTTGAATCCTTTATGCTTACTTATTTAAGGTACTACACATCCATTTATATACCCTTATCGGCTTTATAAAAAGCAACACTTGCTACAAAAGGCTGATTGATCGCTTATATGATCATTCATCATATTTAGGGTACTGCTCGTTTTAATAAACACTAAGTACTTTATACCTTTTGCTTTAGATTTAAGACGAACCACATTTTTACACACATTAATTATATACGGGCCGTACTTAAAATAATCAGTTCAAATAAGTTAAACTGATATATATTGTGTTTTAAACCGTTAAAGTGTTTTATTAAAATACTAGTGACCTCATGTTCTTTAAGATATAAGAAAGTACTGTTTTTATATCCATTTAGATATTCATAGAACGCAGTCAACCACAACAATATTAGTGTCATGAAAGATGATCGTTTTATTAGTTATGCATAGAATTTAATATCCGATAAATCAGAAATAAATATGAACGTGCAGGCATGGTAATACCTACATTAGGGTGTACCGACGATTCACGACAGGTCTTTGATCCGTGAACCGGCAAATTGGTTGTCGGGCCGACCTCCACCTGTACACTATGTCTAACACTATATTTTCCTTCACGGGGGTATGCCCCATTGTAATGTATCACGCTATACCATAGACATTGTATTCATACTTTACTTTAATTGTGAGTTGCAGCATAATTACTAAATTCTTTTTTTGATTAAATTTTGCGTTTTAATCAACTCAGCACAACTTAAATCCCATTAAAGCTCTCTTGCAAATATTTAACCAAGAAACAAGGCACGATGTCCATTTCAATATTAATTTTTATTTAAATAGAGGTTTCAGCAAATAAAAGGAGTATAAAGCTACATTTTATAAGTTCTAAAGTCACCCTAAACCCTTACTGATATGTCAAACTATATTATGATATAGTCATAGACAAATAACAAAGCATAGTAACACAAACAATTTGAGTTCCTCCTCTAGTTAGTTTATAGTTATTATAAATTAAAAATCTAAAGTAAATTTAAAAAAAAATCGACTCGGGCGTTCCGTGCTGTTGCTCTACCAATTGAGCTACCGAGTCCTACAATATACAGTGCTTTCATGTGCAATAACATGTAAAAAATAATAACGTTTTAGTTATTATAATTTTTAATCGTCATACGAGTGTGTACTTAAAATGGTATAACAATTATAAATATATAAATAAAACCATTAATTTGTAATTATTCTTTAAATTAACCATTTGAGCCACCGTGTCACCTTTAGCTCAATTAGAGCACAAAACGCTGTGAATGCCGGTTCATGTCTTGCTCATGTCGTATTTTTTTAATTAGATAGATTTGTAATTAATATAATGCCATTATGTAAAATATTACATTAATTATTCATAGTTTTATTTATTGCTCGTTAGAAGATTTTAATTTTAAATGTCAATTGATTGATTGAAGAGTGTCAGATATACATGATGTTTTTTTATTCGCTTAGCATGGCCCTACATGTATTGTATATTAACTCACATTCTAAAGGAATAAGAATATATTAAACTTGGTTGCAAGTCACCACATAGTAGAATAAACAAACTACATCTATATTAAAGTACCGTAAAGTTTAATTGCCTTCAAAGGATTCGATATCGACGGATTCGCTGGAAGTTTGCTAGTTTCATTTGTGAAATTCGCAAGGGCAATCGGAAGTCAGTTATACGGCAACAATTCAGACGCAGCTTGGAATTCTGTGTATACTTTGAAACGAAAAGCATAACTTAAGATTTATTATTATTAATTTGTATGTAAACATAAAAAATACTCAAAAAATATACACGTTGACACCTAACTTCGTAAAAGTGGCTTTTTTTAAATGTAAATCATTCCTGCGATGTTTGTAAATAATAAATTATACAATTATAAACCTACATTTAATCATAGTAACCGAATATTTCAATCAAATTTGCCAGTTTGTACTATTATTTTTTTAACCTATTCCATAAAATGTATTATGCCCACGGCGATACTTCATCTGATGATAAAAATAGGATCTATAATAGTATTCTTGACATGCCAGGATAGAAACAGCTGACAGTGAATTCGTCTACTGTGTGTAACGTACGCGGCTTATCCCTTTGATAATCATAAAGTCTCAACTGAAGGATCGTGAAGCCTCGCCAACCCTCTGAGGTATCGCTAACGAACCGGCCTTACCTCAAAATCAAAAACTACTGTTACTATGTTAAAGGCTTCAGTGTGATTCTGGTTTATTTCAGGGATCCTTGACTGCATAAGAACTGCGGAACAGAAAACTGTCTACTATATGCAGTACGGGTTGGTATTTTGCTAAATGTTTGATATCAAATGTGTGTCCTGTATTTTCACAAAAAAAGGTTTTTGGATAGATAATTTGGTACTTATAGTAATGACTAAGTTATTATAGTAAACCCAACAATAATGAAAGATTCACCTTAAATTATTATTTTTTAAGTAAAGTTCGGATAATAAAATTTAAGTTAAACATTTAAAAAAAAAAAAAAATAAACTTCATCAAGTGTAAGCTAGCAATAGTAACATTGCCAATTTGTATTTGTTACTACTAATGACAATTTATAAAGCACATGACGTTGCCCCAATTAAAAAAAAACATTAATATACATATTTTTATTTAATTTAAATATATAAAGAATATCGCGGATGACAAGCCCAATTAGATTTCATAGCTTAATGAGGCTGATTTTGAATAATTTGTACCTAACAATTACGTCAGGACAAAATTAGATTTTATTTTATTATTAACATTTAA